AGGAAAATTTTTGCGGATGTAGTCTGGAACCCATGTATTGGAAGAGAATGATTTATAGAAGGCCAGCTCCTTGATGCCACGTTCATCATCCTAGATAGGCTTGTACAAACGTCCTGAATCATCTACGAGGGGGCCAAGATTTCCATCAATGGCCTGGTGACCTGCAACCTGATGCTCTGGGACCTTAAGCATCTTCTTATATTTGCATACACGAAGGTTTAAACTTTAAACTACAATGGAACCATGAAACATAATTTCCATGCTATACAAACACCCTTCAGATACAATTAAACAAAGAAATGCATAAAAATATCAAATTAACCCAGGGTTATTTCTTATTTGGCCAAAGTCCAAGTTCATTTAACTGATTAATGAAGGCATATCCATCAAAGCAGTAGCAGCACAATCGCATTGTTCTTTAGTTTCCTGTTCTTTTTGTGATTTGTATTCATTCAATGCTTTTAATCCTAGAAGAAACTTTTAAGCACCAATATCAAAAATCAAGAATGCCAAATGAACCAAAAAAAACAAAAAACAAAAAAAATCACAAATAAATGAAAAAAACTGAACAATAGGACGAGATTGACAAAAAAAAAAAAAAAGAAGATAAATTGACAGTTGAAAGAGGGATGGAGGTTTTGCAAGTTTGAAATATGATCCGTACGGTTTACGCTAATTTTAGGAGAGAGAGAATTCCAGGATGAAAATATGAGCGTCGAAGGCCGTTGCTTTGCACGGGGATTTGAACCATCGTTTTGAAGTAATCTAGTCCGTGAATGTGCAGGGAACACGATAAAAAAAGACCAAGTTGGTCAAACTTCAAAGTCAACGTGGTTGATCTTGATCCGCCTTTTAAGTTTCTTTTACTTCATTTTACAGTTGCATTCGCTACATCAAAAAGCTTATAAAATTAGTAACAGATTATTGATTCATAAAAAAAAATTACTCTAATAAAATTTATTGAAATAAATTACTATATTAAAAGATATAATTTTATAAAAATCAGGTCACACACTGGACATCTATGTCAAGATAACGATTAAATCTTAAATATTAATTAAAAAACTTTGATTTTATGCATGAACTTGACTACTTACATTTGTTGAACCCTTATAAAGACAACTAATCAACTGGTATTATCTCAACATATAAACTAAGCCAAATCAATGTTTATTATGTCAACTTTATGTTTTAATGTTGTGTTTTTGACTCTTGATTTAGTGATTAACGAGCTCTTAAAGAGAATATAAAAGTTTTTATTTCAAATTAGGATTTTTTTTCTTTTTTTTTTATGAGTTATGTTCATTCTATGTATAAAAAAAAAATTATGTTTTAATATTGGTTGTAACGTCTGTGGATGACAAACAGTAATTAATCCGAAATCTTAAATTGAACTGTTTTTGTCTTTCTTTTTTTCTTATTTTCTTTCTTTCAAAATGCATGCATTGGCAATGGCAATGACAATGGCTTGCCCGTCTGTCATAAAATCACCATAATTAAGCAGCGCCCTCCCCATTGATGATCTTGGACCAAATGACACAATCCCAAATCCCCCTTCATTTACCACCCTCCTAGACGATTGGATCCAGGGATGTGGCAGCCAAACTCTTCTCTACAGATTTCGATTTGATTTGATTTTTTAAGTTCGATTTTTTTTAAATCAAATTTCGAGTCAAGTAATTAAAAAATAAAAGTCATAATTAAATTTTAAAAAAATTCGTCTTGATTCATTTGGTATATACATAAAAAATTATTTTTAAAATTTTTTTAAATTTTTAAATTTAAATATATTTACTTAATTTTATATTTATATTAAAAATTAATATTTTATTATTTTATGTCAAATCAAATTGGATACGATTTTATATAATATTAAATAATGTATAAAAAAAATTAAAAATCAGATTAAATTAAATCAGTATTATAAATATAAAATCAAATTGAATTTGAAACGAATAAATATTCATTTCGATCCGACCCGTTGTTATTCTTACGTTGCATCTTCAAACAATTAAAGTGATATTGAAGAATCATACTATCATCCAATGGAATGAGATTCTGTTTGCATCATCCTGAGAAAAATATGGATAAATCTTCCTTCAGCAGGCAGAAAGTTATCCAGGCTTTACCCATATACCTTAACGCACAACTTTGTTGTCCATGCCGCTTAGCAATGAGATTCTCCAAATAAAGTGCTGTGGCGCTTGCCTTTCCCTGAGGTACAAGTTAGCTAGGATAGTTTTAAGATGTACTTTGTCTTTAGCTTGGAGTCAACCATGTGTTTGATGTGTTGAGCAAATGAAGTAAAATTTGGTTCATAGATTCTTCACTCCCTGGAGCAAGTTAGCTAGGATAGTTTTTTGGGGTGTGTTTTGATTGAGCATTTGAATATTTCAGTCAAAGTTTTATAAATTTTAAAAATAAATGTATTTATTTAGGTAAAAATAAAAGAGAATTTCAAATTTTAGGTAGAATTTCAAAGCTTAATTTTTTTGTTTGAAATTTCAATGAGGTGATTTTTTAAAATTCCTCTAAATTTATTTAATTTTAATATATATTTTTTATTTTTATATTATTAATAATATCTATATTTTTACAAATCTAATGATACCATAGTGTAAATTTTATTTATATATATATTTTATGTTTAATATATTTTTTGTAATTATTTTTTTATCTCGTCAAATTCCAATAGATTAAATTTCTTTCTAATAAATATTTTTTCAAACAAAATATTTATTAATGTTAATTTTTTAAAATGATGCATTTTAAAATGTCTTTATTTCAAAAAATTTTTATCCAAACACCCTCTTATGGTTAATATATAATTTGGCTTTTAAATTATATTATTTTTAACTAGACTTATTCATAAGTCAAGTTGGTTTAGATTTGAGGTGAACTTAGATAGAATATTAATAAATTTCAAGTTTACCCGAATGCAACTTGAAACATATGTCTCATTTTATTATCTAGGTTGGCCTTAAATGAAAACAAGTTCGGTTCAAGCATATTTATATTTTAATTTTTTAAAATAAAAAAATAAAAATAAATTTTATAATAATATTAATATGAAAATAAATAATAAAAAAATAAAGCCTACAAATTATTTTGTTAATTTAATTTTTTTTTAGGTGGATTGGATAAGGTAGACATAAGGTATTAACTTGTACACATATATTATTTGATTATTTATTTTATATAATATAACTATAAAAATAAAATATACAAAATAATTATTAGGCCAAGGTTGGACATTAAATGTTATACCTAAAGCCTAATTCATTTTTTAAACGAGCTTAAAATTTAAGTTTAAATCATTTAATGAATTTAAAATTTATGTTTAAAATTTTTTAAATCTTGGATTTTGGAATTCGATTAAATAGCTCAACTCTTAAACATGTATACTTTTAATAATTTGATATTTATAAAAAATCCATGATTAAGTACATTAATTTTATTTTTATCAAATATTTTACATTATTAATTAACGCTATTAATCAAAGTATAAATATAATAAATATTGATTAATAAAAATATATAACATGTTAAGATATTATTAATAAAATTTTCATCATATCAAATTATCGTTAATAAAATAAGCATGAGAAATAAAATGTTTAATTAAAACAAAATTAAAATACTTCATTGTGTTTTTTTAATAAAAATTAAGAAAAATTATTATTTTTTTATATAATACCACTATACAGAAAAAATTATGAAATAGAATGAGAAAGAAAATTAGTTAGTCAAAAAGAGCAAAGACTGCAACCAACAAAAAGAGGCTTATTGGTCAGAGAATTTCATTGTGTTCATATTTAGTATTGCGTTTCTTGCAGTTGCAGAAATTATAAGTTAACGGTGAGACCGTGAAAATCATGGGTGCGTTTTCTGTCATTTGAAATGTAAACCCTTTTTTATTGTAGAAAATGTTTTCTGTTTATCTTATTCAATTTAAAAAAATTATCAAATAAATTTTTAATTTCACCAACGAAATAAAAATAATGACATATATTTTTTTATTATATATTTTAAAAAATTAATTTTAGAAAATAGGACAAGCATTTTCATTTTAACCTTTCTTGTAAAATTAAAAAATTATATTATAAATATATCAAATAATTTTTCTTAAATTTATGTATAACTTATTGAATTGGTCTTTCCTACTTCTTACAAAAGTAGAAATATGCTCAACTACTACTATTACTTAAACTTATTGATTGATATAGAAAAATGATACTAATATACTATTTTAATTCTTTTATCAATTCGGTATTTTAAGTTATGAATATAAGAGAATAATCAACTTATATTAATATAAAATTTGTTAATTTTATATTTTTTAATTATTAATTTTAATAAATTTAAGGGATGAAATTAAATAATTTTTTAAATTTATCTCTTTTATTTTTTGGATTTATTAAAATCAATAGTTAAAAAAATATAAAACTTTTTTTTTGTATAACTTGATCATTTCCCATAAAATCTAATATATTTATCTTTTTTTTAATTTAATAAAAAATATAAAAAAAACAACTACCCGAAAATTGATGTAATTTGTTTACTAGCCAAAAAAATTAATGTAATTTGTTAATGATCAAGTGCAATTGTGAGATTTATAAGTAAAATATTTAATTTTTATTTTAATTATCAAAATTTAAAATTTAATTTAATTAATTTATATAATTATTTTTATAAAGTAACATTTAATAAATTTAATATTTGAATTTTAATACTAATAATTTTTTACTTTTAAATTACTATTTTTTATAAGAAAATCAAAATTCAATTCTTACACCCTCAGTTAAAAAAAATTATGTAATTCATAAATGTTACATCTAATTAGTTCTTGATGTTATAATAAAACAAATCTCAGTAGAAAATAAAATAATTAACTTTAAAATTAAAAAATTTTAATTGAAAAAAAACTCATGGTGATATCAGATGTCAAACCCCGATTGTTTTTAGATATAAATAGGAAAGGACAAAATCTGGCATAAATCAGAAACAAATCTAAATCCAAAAATCCGAAATCAGCTTTTTTTTTCAACTTAAAAAATGTATATTTTGTGACATTTCATGTAATTTCCCTAAAAACAGAGGGTACCTTCATCACCACCTCGCCTACCTTTCCGTTTCTATATAAGCCCTCTTTCTCTAACTTAACTCTGATAGCCGTCTCGCCCTCATCACTTGGTGTTTTTATTTTTTAAAATTTATTTATTTTTTCTAAATAAATCATTCAATTTTTTTTCCGATTTTCCCGTAGATCAATAAGCTTCCAGTTTTTCTCAGCTGATTCAGGTAAAATATCATTTCTGATAAATTTTCAGTTCTTTTTTTTGGCGTTAGATCTTTTTTTTTTTATTATTGTTATAATCTGATTTTTTATGTAATAGTATTAATCATGATTATATATATATATATATTTTTTTTTTCAAAATTGTTTGATTTTCCTTTGTAGCTCTTGTAGTTTCGTATGATCAAAGTAACAGATCAAAGCGTTTTAAATCGATTCTGTTGTGTATATTTCAACGTTCCGTTGATGCATGCAGACTTTTATAAGATTAAACTATGAATTTTCGGTCGTTTTGAAGTTGCGATGAATCGGATGTTACAGATCTGGAATTTTATTCTGAAATTCCGTTATTTAGAATGTTGCTTATTATTATTATTATTATTATGTTTATGGAATAATGATGTTGAAAGTGGAGTGTTTGGTAATTTGATGTAGATCTTAGCCGTTGAGAATGGCGGCATCAATAGCTGGGGGAACGCAATGGTACAAAGCGAAAGTCAAGGCAGTTCCATCGGGGGATTGCTTGGTAGTAACGTCCAATTCCAGTACCAGGCCTGGACTCCCACCTGAGAAAACCATTACCTTGGCATCTATCATTGCTCCCAGACTGGTAAAGCTCATTTGAGTCTCTGTTAAATTTAACGATTTGCTTGTTTGTTGACATTTATGTACTGATTAGTTTTGTTTTGTTTGGATAATGGTTTTGCTGAATGATTGTTACTTTGAGAATTTATACGGTACTAGGTTAGTGTTTTGATTGTATAACTGCTTCAGTCTAAGAGAAATTTTGGTGCATGTCGATTGAGTCAACCTTCCTGTTGATGCTTTTGTTTTTGTATTTCTTGTCTTGTTTTGCCCTCTATTTTGTTAATAGGCCCGTAGAGGAGGTGTTGATGAGCCGTTTGCCTGGGACAGCAGAGAATATTTGAGGAAGCTTTGCATAGGAAAGGTGCTGCTCCTTTTGAATTATTCTGGTCATTTTTGTTATTGATGACATTTGGTTGTTTAGAATAAGACTGGTTCTAAATTGATTTATTCTTTACTTAGGAAATCACTTTCAGAATCGAATATGCTGTACCAAGCATTGGCAGAGAATTTGGCTCTGTTTACCTTGTTGACAAAAATGTTGCAATGTTGGTTGTCTCTGAAGGCTGGGCGAAGGTAATTTGCCTTTCAGTTTGTCATAATACTGGAGAGAGGCGATTCAATTTTTTTTCTTTTTTTTTTTTTCGGTATTTACTTCAACCGAGCCTGGTTTGTACAGGTTAGGGAGCAAGGACAGCAGAAAGGGGAAGCAAGTCCTTTTCTTTCTGATTTGCTGCGCCTTGAAGAGCAAGCCAAACAACAAGGTTTGGGTCGATGGAGCAAGGTAATTTCTTTCCCCTTTGTAACAGTCCATTAGAAATTGACTGTCTCACTGACCTAGCAAAGAGTAGTATTTAAATGATCCTGGTCTTTGTAATTTTGGTGCAGGTACCTGGTGCTGCTGAGGCTTCTATCAGGAATTTGCCTCCATCTGCCATTGGTGACCCTAGTAACTTGGATGCCATGGGTCTTCTAGCTGCAAATAAGGGTAGTCCAATGCAAGGTGTTGTCGAGCAGGTTCGTGATGGTAGTACTCTTCGAGTCTATTTGCTTCCAGATTTTCAGTTTGTGCAAGTGTTTGTTGCGGGTATCCAGGTACATGTTCTAAACTTTGGTTCAGTGATTTTTTTTTTGTTTGTTTTCATTTGCCATACGAGTTTTTCTTTTAAATATCTATAATTTCTCTTGTTTATTTAGGCCCCATCAATGGGTAGAAGGGCAGCTGTAGAAACTGTTGTTGATTTGAACTCTGATGAACAAAATGGAGATGCTTCAGCCGAGCCACGGGCTCCTTTAACATCTGCACAGAGGCTTACTGCCTCATCAGCAGCTACTCCTGAAGTTGCCCCAGATCCATTTGCACCAGAAGCTAAATATTTTACTGAAGTTCGTTGTTTGAGTAGAGATGTGAGTGAATGAATACTCTAGTTGACTTGTGTGTATGCATTTTGCATAGATCGTCTAAATTCTTGATTGATTTTGTAGGTCCGCATTGTCCTTGAAGGTGTTGACAAATTTAGCAATTTGATAGGGTCAGTTTATTATCCTGAAGGTGAAACGGCTAAAGACCTCGCTTTGGAGCTTGTGGAAAACGTATGTTCTTGGATTTTGTTTTGCTGCGTGCCTAATAAATGTTTTAATCAATTTTGTCAGCACTGAAATATTACTGAATTATATTTTGTAGTATTCTTATCTTAGACATTGCCTAAGTTTTTTGTTCTGTTTTGGTTGTAAAATTTTTATTCTCTCAAAGACATTAGTTTCTTGATATAATATGAAAAAATATCCTTCCAAGAGAATTTTTACACTTCAGCTATCTTTAAAGAATCTCCTTAATTCGTTAAAGAGAGCTTATGTAAAAAATTTCTTATGTTTGCAAATGGTGTTGGAGCTGTATCTTAATGGTGTTTGTATAAGAAGCTTGATGATTATCTCCTTGTTTGCCTCATTTTGTTTCTCATGTTATGTTGTTAAAAGAAGTATATTTCCTTTATTGCCAGATTTTTTACAAGACTGGTTTTACATATATCTGTAATCTGTAATTGCCATTCTCTGAAACAAATATTGTTAGCTGCTTTTTCCAATGCTCTAGTTTAGATCTCTAGGTTACCTTCTCTTTTTCTAATCACTATGCACGCTTGATAATTTAAAGGTCAGTGCCATTTGTACATACATCTTAATTTTTTTAGTTTTATGTACTTATGAGCAGTTTTAGATGCTACTTTATGTGATGCTGTGGTATCAGCTAAAATGTTTCTTTGCATAGCAGACTTCTTTTCATCCCAATATTTTTTTTTATAAAACACTCAATGAATTCTTCTTTTCTTGAATTTGTTTTGATGTATTCTGAATTCTCTATTGGTGTCTTCCCCTCGCTCCTCTCTCAACCTAACCATTTCTTCTCTAAATAAAGGGTCTAGCAAAATATGTTGAATGGAGTGCTAATATGATGGAAGATGATGCCAAGCGGCGGTTGAAAGCTGCAGAGCTTCAAGCCAAGAAGACTCGGCTGAGGATCTGGACAAACTATGTACCCCCAGCTACAAACTCAAAGGCAATTCGTGATCAAAACTTCACAGGAAAGGTAATAGCAACATTATTTTTTAATTAATTTTTCATGTCATTTTTCTTGTACCATTTATAGTAGGTAGTTTTTTTTTGTAATTATTTTAATAGTATGATTTTTTCGCAGGTTGTGGAGGTTGTTAGTGGGGACTGCATTGTTGTGGCTGATGATTGTGTCCCATATGGCAGTCCTCTCGCGGAGCGCCGAGTCAATCTTTCAAGCATTAGATGTCCAAAAATGGGCAATCCTCGTAGAGATGAAAAGCCTGCTGCTTATGCCCGGGAAGCAAGGGAGTTTTTAAGAACACGCCTTATTGGAAGACAGGTTTGGATTCCTGTTCTTTTAAATCTTATATTTTGGTAGTCTTAGGAGCCTTTATTTATAATTTTCAGCAGACTTTTGTCAGGCCTTATTTATAATTTTCAAACTTTTGTCAGGTGGATGTACAAATGGAATATTCCAGGAAGGTCACCATGGCAGATGAAGCTATGGCTACTGCTGCACCTGCAGATTCAAGGGTAATGGATTTCGGCTCGGTCTTCCTTATGTCTCCTGTTAAGGGTGACGGTGACGATGCTTCTGCTGCTGCCTCATTCACAGCTGGTAGCCAGCAACCTGGCTTGAATGTCGCTGAGATGGTGGTTGGACGTGGCTTTGGCACGGTGATAAGACATAGGGATTTTGAGGAAAGATCTAACTATTATGATGCCCTTTTGGCTGCTGAATCTCGTGCTATTTCTGGGAAGAAAGGAATTCATTCTGCCAAGGATCCTCCAGTCATGCACATAACAGACCTTACAGTGGTTAGCAATGTGTCCTTTATGTTAATTACTTTCTTGCTGGTATATTTCTATTTCTTATTTGAATTCAAATTTTTATATACTGTCTTGTCTACTTCCAGGCATCAGCCAAGAGAGCTAGAGACTTCTTGCCATTCCTGCACCGGAGCAGGAGGGTTCCAGCTGTTGTGGAATATGTCTTAAGTGGTCATCGTTTTAAGTTGTTGATCCCTAAGGAAACTTGTAGCATTGCGTTTTCGTTTTCTGGTGTCAGATGTCCCGGCCGTGATGAGCCCTATTCAGATGAAGCCATAGCACTGATGAGACGAAAGATCATGCAGAGAGATGTGGAGGTATAGGTCTTTCTCTTTGAACTTCTTGTCTGCCATTTAGTTGTTTTTCTTTTTAACAAATGTATGTTTTTCTACACAGATTGAAGTGGAAACTGTCGATAGAACTGGAACATTTTTGGGTTCTTTGTGGGAGTCGAGAACCAATATGGCTGTGACACTCCTTGAGACTGGCCTTGCAAAGCTACAAACTCCATTTGGTGCTGACAGGATTTCTGATTTTCATCTTCTTCAACAGGCTGAGCAATCTGCCAAGAGGCAGAAACTGAAAGTATGAGGCATTACATATATTTTATAACCACCGTTTTTTGGTAATGTTGATTGAAATTTTTTTCCATTATTTCTTTAAATTTTTATTTGTAGATTTGGGAGAACTATGTTGAAGGAGAGGAAGATTCTAATGAACAAGCCACCATCGAAAGCAAACAAAAAGAATTGCTGAAGGTGCTCTAGAACTCAACCAAATGATGCCATTTGAATGTCTTGAACTGGTGCATTATGTTTGTTGTTGTTTTCAGGTTGTGGTTACGGAAGTATTGGGTGGTGGAAAATTTTATGTCCAGACGGTTGGAGATCAGAGAGTATCATCTATTCAGCAAAAGCTTGCAGCTTTAAATATTCAAGAAGCTCCTGTGATTGGTGCTTTTAATCCTAAGAAGGGTGACATTGTCCTTGCTCAGTTTAGTATGGATAATTCTTGGAATCGTGCAATGGTTAGTTCCGCGTACTTGATTTTGATTCCTTAAGGCTTTATTTTTTCTTCATTTTCCCCATCTTCCTTATGACTTTGTTTGTCTGGTTTTGCTGCTGAAGTGTCTTGCCTTTGACTTCCCTTTTTATAGCTTAATACTGAATGCATCTTGGTTTGACTTGTGAAGATTGTCAATGCACCTCGAGAAGGAGTTGAATCTCCGAAAGACAAGTTTGAAGTGTTTTATCTTGATTATGGGAATCAAGAGGAGGTTCCATACAGTCAATTAAGACCACTTGATCCATCGGTATCATTGACTCCCGGGCTTGCTCAGTTATGCAGTCTTGCATTTCTTAAAGTTCCAAGCCTCGAGGATGAGTTCGGTACTGAGGCCGCCCAGTTTTTGAGTGAGCAGACATTAGGAAGCTCACTGCAGTTTAATGCTGTTATAGAGGAAAGGGATGCTTCTGGTGGAAAAGTCAAGGGACAGGGAACTGGTACTGTTCTCATTGTAACTCTCCATGCTGAGAAGTCAGATCTTAGCATTAATGCTGTAATGTTGCAGGTTTGAAGGATAGCCCTTTCCTATACTTAACCTCTTCTACTAGTAAATATTATCATGCCCCCATGAGGGATTGGCTAATTTCACTTGATGGACACTATTTCAGGAGGGACTAGCTAGGTTGGAGAAAAGGAAGAAATGGGAACCGAAGGAGAGAAAGTCGATGCTCAATCGTTTAGAGGATTTGCAGAACGAGGCGAAAACTGCTAGGCGTGGGATTTGGCAGTATGGAGATGTGGAGTCGGACGATGAGGATTCACTTCCTCCAGTTGCAGCTAAGAAAACCGGGGGACGGCGATAGAATAAGGTAAACCAAAAATCTCTTGGGGGTACACACCAAATGAGTTTAAGTTATACGTTCCCCTCATTTGATAAAAAAGGTTCTCAACCTGAACTTGCTTAAATTTCGGCTTTATTTTAATCTTCTTTATCAGATCTTTTTTGTTTTAAATTTTCTTTTATTAGAGAGGGGACAATTTTTTTTATACATGTTTAAATAAGGCGAGCTGTAGCATCTCTGTTCTGACTCCATTGCTAGGGAAACATTAGAAACATTTTTGTTTTATATTTTATATTTTGGCTTTTGGATTATTTTTGTGGTATGAGAACTTACTTCCCTTTATATTGCTAGCATGGTATGGTATTGAAATGTATCCTTTTGGTAAAATAATTTTAACTTTTAAAGAAGACTTAAATCTGAAAAAATTCTTGTGGTAAAACTTTTTGACTGGTAAATTTGTCCGTTGAGCGAATTGTTATTTTACTGATAAATTCTGGCGAAGTTGTTTTATTTTCTTTCAAGAAGGGTGTAAAAATTGGACTATATTTTCTAAATCAGACTATTTTAAGAACTTAATTGCTCATAATAAACACCAAAAGATGCCAAGAATTAGATAATCTGTTCATTTACTATCAGTGCTTGTCTAAGATAAGATAATATGTTAATTCATTATCAACATAATGAATGTATGTATAGGATGCAATTCTACCAAATGAAAAATGAAAAATATATATTTTATATTTTCATATTGAAAAAATTTTATAGGAATATTCAAAATTTAATATTTTATATTAAATAAAATATACATTTTGACCTGTTTTACGGGGAAAAGTCATTCCTAAGAAATAATACCTCTACGACATATTCATGCTCCGCCAGCTGCAACTCAACAATTGAACTTCATGTTTTTTTTTTCAAACAGAAAAAATGTTTAACAAAATTCTACACCATCTACCATTCATTGGCCGCAATGGGATTTGGACGTTACGATCCAATTTAAAAGTGAAAACCATGCTTTAGCAGCGGAATATGATAAACTTCAAACTCCGTCTACTTGGTTTTAGCTTTTCGAGGCAGAAAAAAATACTCTTCAATTCATACATATAATATTCAGAAGTAAAACTTTAAAAACACAAGGACCATGAATGTTTCGGCTACGAAAACCACCTAAAGCGCAAAAATTTGCCCAAAGTGAAAACTGATAATCACCGGCCAGGCGGCCACCTCTTTTTATGACTTGTTTCAAGTGTCACGCCGCCTTCGTCGAGGAGCAGCAGCGGCTTCTTCTTTCTCTTCCTCTTCAGCCTTTTCTCCACTGCTTCCTTGATCAGTTGATGTCTCAGCAACCTCTGGTTTCTTCTCTACTCTTGGCTGCACACGGTTAACCATTGAGTAAGACAAACAGCTGATGCGGATCACGAAAACACAAACATAAAGACTAGACCAGACAAGAGGGGTTCAAAAAATCCGTACTTGCTTCTTCCCACCAAAAATGAGCTTGAAGAAAACCGTGAGGATAATCACCACAATAGAGACTAGGACACCAATGGTGAGGTTTGGTTGTGTCTCGGCCTTCTCAATGAGATCCTAAAAGAGAAATTCAAAATTTCAGATTAAATCCACCGATGAATTATTGATTTGCATATGAAAGATCGTATCAAGAGAACTTACGAGAATTTGAAGCTTGTATTCACTTAATAACGGAATATCAGCAACCTTGTATAGGATATCAAAGACCTTTTTCTGCAGGAGAGATATTACCAACTTTAAGTTATATGGTATAAGATTGAATAAGAAAAACAATCAAAAGTAAGCCTGCTAGTGCATTACCTGGAAGCCTGCATGCCCATCTGAACCAGCAGCTTCGTCCTCAGCCTTCTGTTTTTCCTTCTCAACATCAAACTTTGGCTTCCATGTGGTCTCCCTATATGACTCAGCAACTTTCTCGTTTTTGGCTATCAAAATATTGTCAAACAATATACCATCTTGCATTGTCCAGATCTCAATACCAATGGCAGCAATAGCCTCAAAGTCAGGCTTTTCAAGCTCGAAGTAGTTGGGGTTTGGAATCTCCCTAGGCTTCCAAATACCCTTGTAATTGGGGTTGTCAATTAGTGGGGGAGACCATTTTCCCTTGTAAGCTGGATTCATCTTCATTGGCCTCTTCCATTCACCGCAACCAGGGGCTGTTTCACAATTTGGGTTATCAATTTTTGGGGCTTCCCAATCACCATCCTCTTCATCATCCCAATCTTCTGGCTTGGTTGCCTCAGGATCATCTATCTCCTCAGGCTCATCATCTAACCATCCTTCCGGTTTCACAGCCTCCCCATCTTCAATTTCCATGGGTGCATCTTCATCCCAATCATCTGGCTTCACAGCATTTGGATCAGGAATCTTTGCTCTCTCATCCCAGTCCTCAGGTTTCTTATCATCAGGATCAGGAATTGTCTTAGCAGGGATAAGTGGAGGCTCAAAATTTTCAGCTGAGAGGAAGTTTGCCTTCTTCTTCTCCTCTCCATCAATCAGAATTCTAATTTCATTGTCAGGCTTTAAGATGGCAGTGTACACATGAGTAAGCTTGTCAGATGGGACAGAAGGTGGGTATTTAAGATGGTGTTCAATGTATTCCCCACTTTTAGGATTCTTATGCTTCAGGATGAAGTGCACCTTGTTTGTGGCCCCACATTTGTCGGGTCCAAACATGATAGAGTAAGGGGATTCATTGTCAAATTCCTTAGGCTTCCACCCAGCCTCTTGAGGACGAAGATATTTCAGGTATGCACCACCACATTCGAGTCCATTCTGGAGGCGAGTCTCAAACTGAAGCACAATGGTTCCATCTTTGAGACTCACAGGCTCGTCAAGCTTATTCACTATTGCATACTTCCTTGCCTTCTCACTCACAAGAAGACCATAGTCATCATGCCCTTCACTCTTTGAATGCTTCCATACACCTGCAACCCCAAAACCACATTAACATATATTCTTCACTCCCTAAAATGCCCATTTGACATATGGACATCACAATTGATATCACAAAGGATACTTCTACAACAGTCAAGACTAATTTAAACTTCAACACCTCAAATTTGAAGTAACTTGGATGCAAGTGTACAATTAGGTACATTAAATGGCAAAAAGACACAAAATTTCAGGAAAGATAAGATAATTCCATCTCAAAAAGTATCAAAAGATTGATTACCAATGATGGAGCAAAGATAAGATCGTGAATTTTGCAATGCATTAACATGTAAGCAAAGCCATGAGGTATGGTGCATCATAAACATCATTAAGCATCTTATCTCTATTTCCAATTTCCCAAAGATCCATCCTTTAAGCTTACTTCTATGCATATTTATACAATGATCAGTGTCAAGAAAAACACATCAGAAAATATCCCACTGAAGAGATCCAAAAATCAAACGTAAAAGTACTAAAAAAACCTACCTTTATAATCATCTTTATCAGAGACGACCCATCGCCCATCAAATGACTCTTCAAATGAATCATAAAATACCTAAAGAAACAAACCCCAAAATCGATAAATCTCATTTTTCAATTTTCACAGATTCAAATATTCTTAAACAAATCGAGGTTAAAACAAAGTTCAAATTACCAAATCATCATCGGCGGCGAAGCAAAGGAGCTGCAGCGACGCGAAAGCTAGGAGGAGAAGAAGAGCGAAACGCCCCATCATCATCAATCCAAGAACCCTAACTCTGATGTTGATTGAATCGAAATCTAAATCAAAGCAGGAACTGTGTGTGTTGTGGACTTTTATACATCTTCGTGACACTGGCATCGACTTGTTTGGCCCAATGATAGTACGTGCCACGTGAAATCAACAAATCGTTTGTCGACACGTAAGCCATCCCATGAACTCTGCTTATGTACAATTTTAGTATAGGATTTTTTAATTGAATTTGGAAGCTTACGTATTATGCTTTGGTTAATCGCTTGCCGGGCTTGACCTAGTCTAAAATAGGAAAAGCCCCATTTGGTGGATGGTGATCGGACCCAATATTGGCCCATTTTTAGCTTTTTTATTATTGTTTTCTTTTTCCATGTTTGCATACTATCAAGCTAAATTAGTCTTAAAATTAAATCTAATAATTTAAACTATAATATAAATATGAAATAAAAAAATAATACGATTAAAATTTTAATAAAATTATATATATATTTAACAAAATAAAAAAAAATCTCATTTTTTCTTGTCGATACGAATTATAATATGTAATTTTCATGTAAAACACGATACGAATACACGAATTTTAATATTTTACATTACATAAAATTTTAAATTTACCTAAAATAAACATGAATTTTAATTCAATTGATTATATAATTATTCTTGAAAAATAATATGTAATTGATTTAAAATTTAAATTTTAACATTTTTGTGATTTTTTTTATTTGAGTTTTTTTCAGCCTCAATTTAATCATGGTAACTTAATGATGTTCATGTTTTTAATAACTTTTATACAAATTTAATTGCACTAATCATACATTTACTATATGCCCATATTTTTCAAATTATCTTATTTTTATGTTTGTTGATACTCTATATATATATTCTTCTCTGAAAAGCACTACATTCTATGTAAGAAACACTTTCCTTTTCAATTTGCAAGTTGAATAAAAGTAAATGGAAGGTGATCCAGCTTTGAGAAAATTGGAGCTTCTATAATGCATGAGATATCTGCGGTTATAGTTTTTTAACTAATGCTCAAATTTTCAAGTTTAATGAACTCAGTTAAAACTAAACATTCACTTGTATAATACAGAGATGGAAATGAATTTCATAGTCTGTCTCATGGTTTTTGAAGTTATTAGCATAATAAGGTAACTTTTTCTTTTGAGTCTGTTGGATAAGCCATTGTTATGACTTCAAGCTTTCAAATTAAGCATGTGGATTTGAGGGAATCCGTAGGTTAAAGCTGTCAGAACCATCCCTTCACTTATGGCGCCACACAAGCTTCAAACTAATTATACCTTTGCAGCTTGAACTTTCATTGCAAACTCCCTGAAATCAGTACCTGTTGCGACTGAGAAAAAATTGTGCTGTAGCAATGCGTTTGATTTTTACAAGGTAACTTCAGAATATAGAGATTATTACGAGAACTGCATGCATTTAGTAACTGATAAGTTATAACTAGGCACTGCTAATTTGCACATTATATGCAACTGTCATCTATGAAGCTGAGCTGAGCCATAGATGAAAAGCTGTATATATATATATATATATATATATATATATATAATACCTGGTTTCCAGCATAGCCATCGGGTTACATAGTCGATCATGTGCTGCTGAAGTGCTGATAGACTGAGAGCCAACATTCTGTAACGCTCTCACCTCAACGGCTCCTCCTGGAAACAGAAAACAAGGATTTGCAGATCTATGTATATCAGAAGAGCCATTGAGGGAGAGAGTTAGAGACCGTTGGATCCCTGGTTTTCTTCACTTGCAAAGAGAAAGAAATAAAAAAGCAGGTTATGAAAAAGAGCTCTGAGATTTATTTATAGAGAGATTCAAGAGAAAGTTTTGTCTCTACCTTTCTTCTTATTTTGTACTTTTTTGCCCCTTTTCTTGTTTTATTGTTTTATTAACCAATGAAAGCAACTTACAAAGAAACTTCCTGTTATTTTCTTACATGTTTATGAAACTATCAAGATTTAGAAAGAAAACAAAATTTTGTTTAGTGCAGTGTCTTTGGGCTTAGTGCCAAATCATTTTGATTCAATCAAAAGTTCTAAAAACGAAAAGACAAGAAACAGTCGATCTCTATGTAAGTAAACTTCGAAGATCTTGCTCTTGCTGTCCAAACATGTTTCTGAAAAGTATTATACCCTTGTATCGACATGAAATCTTCAATAAATTTATGAGAAGCAATATGCCACATACACTAGTCGAAATGGCCTTTAACAATATTCTTAAAGGCTGCTAGGGGTCCCGAGAACAATTCTCCAGCCAGAAAACAGATATTCCAACTGTCGACGTTGCACCTAAACTGTAACTACTGTTGGCGAGTATGCCGAAGTTGGGTTATGCTACTGTTCGGTTTTCGAAACTTTCCAGGCTGTTTGTTTGGTAAGTAATGATTGTAGGAAATTAAGATCAACCACTTGTAATCACAAAATCATGTTTTTGCACAAGGATTCTTCTTTTGTTGTTGATTGCATTGGAATTTGGGGGTCTGCACCATGAGTTCAAATATGTCAAACTCTCTCTAACCTTTTGTTGAGACCATACAATACTTATCCGCATGTTCAAATTTTCAGCTATCTTGACTGATGCAGTTTTTTTTTTATGATTTTACCGAAATTAAATTTTGACATAGAATCTGCCATTTCTCATTGATTGGGGTTATAAAAGGCCCCTTGTATTGAGGAGTAAGTATTCAGTCTCCCTGGCAGGCTGCTCCAATGAGGAAAGATTGGAAGCCTTTGAGGGAAACTGGAACTTTTACGGATTTCTTAAAAAATTACTCGACAGATTCCTATGTTTGCTTCGTTGCTTATACCTATCACAGACCTGAAACCTGGGGAAGGGGGGTTTATAGAGATAATTGCCCCTATTTTCTGTGAAAATTTGTGTCAAACCCTACATGCAACATCAACTACTACATCCTTTTATATTACTCCATTGACTCTTATTAAGTGCATAACTATTCATCTTCGATAATATTCTTAATCTTCACAATTGATGATACTCCATCAAAATGGCAGACCAGATTCCAAGAGTTTCTAGCATGAAATCTAGTCGAACTCAATTTCAATTCCAATCTGACCTCGCAAATGGTTTTGATTCATTTGCATCCAGATTTGTTGGAACCTCAAAGAATTTTTTGGATAGTATTAGAGAATACATTGAAGCTTTAAAGCAACATAAATCTAGGCATGATTACAGTAATATCTCATGCTTTTGTTTTAACCCTTGAAATTATATTACCTTTCTCCTCAGTGTCACGCTCTCCTACAGCCAATATTTTCAAAGTTTTGATAGACTGAGAGCCAACATTTCAAAGTTATAACTAGGCACTGTTAACTTGCACGTTATTTGCAGCTGTCAACTATTAAGCTGAGCTGAGCCATAGATGAAAAGTTATATATACCTGGTTTCCAGTATAGCCATCGGGGTATATAGTCAATCATGTGTTGCTTGAAGTGCTGATAGACTGAGAGCCAACATTCTCTAACCCTCTCAACTCAACGGCTCCTCCTTGCAGTAGAAAAGAAGGATTTGCAGATCTATATATCAGAAGAGCCGTTGAGAGAGAGAGTTAGAGACTTTTGGATCCCTGAAACCGTCTCCGGTTTCTTCAAAAATTACTCGACAGATTCCTATGTATGCTTCGTTGCTTATACCTATAACAAACCTCAGGCTGGTTTATATAGAGATAATTGCACCTGGGATCTGTAGCCTTCAAATCTTCAGAGAATAAAACGTTGATCTTAGTTAACTGGCTCATTACATACTACAAGGGTCAAGTACTATCTCATGCTTTTCTTTTACATGTCAACCCAAGTGGATGGTAAATCATGAAGAAATATTCTGCAATAATATAAATCTTATCTCTATCTAGAAGCTAAAAGTGAGACCACTAGAGCTGTATATATACCTCTCACTGTACACATGGAATCCATGCCTGACTGCCAATTGAGGGAAAAGACCTTCACCCTTAAAAGTCAAAATATAAGAGTAACAATATCATGCACATTGGAGGAGAACTTGGCTGGAATAAACAATTTTTCATAGATAAAACGAACTGTCATTTTGCAATCTGTATCTTTCCTGAAAAATGCAAAATCACATATTAAACCATATTATATCTTGAAGAATCTACTACTTCCTGGAACCAACATATTGGCCCTTAAGATGATAAGGTTGGTGGTTGCACATAGTCGAAGGAATATATAGGCGTAATTAACACTCAAGCTAAGGTATGGATTCTCAAGATGTTAAACATCGACCTTGTCTAGTATAAAATGGGTATCAATCAATATATTTCAACCATTATTATTCTCCATGAGCTCCACAGTAAACATCACACACTAATTGTCAAACTCAACCCCAATCGACATATTTCTTTACAATTGCTTTTATAAAATATGAAGAGAAAGCCTCCCTGCATATTAGCAAGAGCCCAGTTAGATCTTTAAGTAGTATATTGAAGGCTGGAAATTTAAAGTGTCTACATTAGATGGAACCAAAAATATCAAATATGGCCTGTTTCTGATTCATTTGTAATTGCTTGAAGGTTTCGAACTGAGTCGGAAATGTTAAGTCAAAGAGTTTAAAAAGATCAGCCGGATGCATCGATGAAGAAGATGTTGCTCAGCTGCAAACGATGGGGGGATGTTACATATAATCCTGCCAGATTACACGCTCTTGTTGAATTATTATTGAATGAAATAGGCTTTTTAGTTTTCACCGGGAAAAGAAGAATAGATGACTCAATAAAGTGAATATTGAACCAAAATCATTACTGTCTTGGTTTCACAATCTCAGGGTTTTAGGTAGTGAGTCTAGTGACATGAGGTAGCAACCAGGAAGAGAACTAAAAAGAGCAAAATAAACAAAATCTCGGCATTATTTCACTATGCAGTTACATCACGTCATGAGCCACAAGGAAAACCTAGAAATTTCCCCTCTCCCTCATCAAAAAAGGAAGAAAAAAAACAGCTTGTTATGTGTGGCAATTAACCATCTAGGACACGAAATGTGGGATTATCACCAATTGGTTTAAGAGTTTCAGGCCGAGGCATAGGCCTGTGAGCGAAAATATCACCGCGTGTAGTGTCATGAATGGCATAGTCATCATTATTTTCCTGAACGTGGGCAATTATCCTGAAAAATGACTGCTTGGTGAACCTATCAGCTTCATCCAGCACGCGATCAGGCTCCTCCACTTCCGGTAGAGTCTCTCTTAGCTTCTTGGTCTCTCGCACTTGTGGCGAGTTCTTCAGCTGCTGCAATGCGGTGTGAAGCCCTAGGGTGGTTGACAGCGTTATCGTGCCCTTTGCTACGTAGACCGGCAGGAAGTCAGCCCTCACTTTCTTTGGTGGCTTGGCATCTTGAGTGTAACCAAAATCGGCAGCCGGTGCATATGACTTCAATTTTGGTGGGGTTGAGGTCGCATATATTGCCTTCCTAGTAACCAATCTGCTAACAGCTTCAAATAACCCTGAAATCATAAAGCAAATTTTAATGAGAACCCAAGCAGAAAATCAGAGATGAAAACACGGAAAAAAAAAAAAAAGTCCTTCTATAAACAATTACTTACAGTCGATCTAAATGCCACGATATTTACTGGAGTGAATAGTGGGAGATTACACTAGGCTTTGCTTGATCGGATTGTATCAGGAACTGATAAAGATATATATATATATATATATATATATATTTTGCTGATGACTTGCTTGGTGGCACGTCATTCAACTACAGTTTTCTGTTTCCATTTTCTTTTTCATTAGGTCGGAGGCCAATATGATACAAGGCCTAATGCTAAATTGCTGTCTTTGACCTGACCCAGATGTTTTCCCTAGTCCTTGTTCTTTTTAGGCTTCATTACAACCGCAGTCCCTGGCCACTTATTACGACTTTGAACTTCTATTACATTTCGAGATCATGCCCGAACCCGCAAAATTCGAACCTGCACGGGCTGAGTCATGCCCGAATTAACAGTGATATCTGTGGTTAACAAAATAAATCTTGTTTAATATTCCAAATCTAATTCGAAATAATGCCATTTCCGCAAGCCAGGGAACACACATGTGATTGACTAAGGAGTAATGCTGGTCTTGTCTGGTCATGCTAACCCTCCTTAGATGGTGACTGCCTCTTGGTTGTTTCATTTGCATGTTCATTTTCTCTTGGTCTTTCCTATTTTCAATGATTCATCATTTTTTTTCTTTAACCTTCAACTGCCGGTAAGGGAATTGCTGGCAACAGGACTCGATATTTTATTTGAATCTTACCAATCCAACCAATCTTCAACTTTTATTATCAATATTAATGATTTAATCCACTAGGTTAGTTTAATTGATAATAATAACAGAATTTTTTTGTTATCGACCAAAGATTTTGATTTTTGTAAGAATATTTTTTTTAAAATATATCTTAAATGTAATAAATCATGAAAGAATGTATTTTTAGAAATCATACACAAAGGAAATTAGACTTAGATGTATATTTGATCATATTAAAAAAATTAATGAATTAAAGTGGTAATACAACACATGCTTGTGTATCATAAAAGTTACTGTTGAAACTGTAATTGAATCGAATCGAGTTAATATAACGAAAATTTCAAGTTTGAACTTGACATGAAACTCGATATTTGAAATATTAATTTGAGTTCAATTAAATTTTAGTTTTCAAATTCAAGTTCAATTCAAAATAAAAATATAAAATATTCAAATTTATTTATCAAATAAAAATGAGCTCAATTTTTATATTTGATTTCAAGCTTAATTATTTATATTAGAATATGAATTCAAAATAATATATAAGTTAAATAGTAATTTTAATTAAATAATAAAATATATATTAAAATATAAAAGTTCAATTAAATTTACAAATTATTCAAGTCGAATATTAAAATACTCAAATTCAATTCATTCAATGAATTAAACTATTTGAACTCAAAGTTAATTTAATAATGATCAAATCAAATTCAAATATTATTTAAATTAAACCAATGCATTATTTACACTTTAATCACCACCCATCAGTCTCAACTTTATAGAAAAGATAATAATTTGAAAAAACCTTTGTTCGAAAAGCTAATAATAATTAAAGATAAGAATATATCCAAGCTTCAAGTATTCCAAGGAACCGGTCTACTTAATTTATCACTCCACAATCAAGAGTTTCCAAAGAAGATAAATTCTTTGTGTTCTTTAATTTAATTTGTTTGTTTTATGTCTTTTTCACATATAAACCCCTAATATCTCTCACTATTTTTTATAAAAAATTGGTGTAACTTAAAAATAGATTTGACAATTCATGTCATCGTATCATATAAAATATTATATTCATATCATATTTTATACGAAAATTACATGTCGTAGTTTATATCAATATGAAAATATAAAATAAATATTTTTGATTTTATTAAATCTATTTATAATTTTTTTAAAATTTTAAACTGTGTAATTTTCGTATTCTTTATTTATATTATTTTCGTATTATATTATCATATTATATTTTAATTTATCAAATTTATTTAGAAATAAAAAAATAATTATAAACATTAAAATTTGATTATCAGATGTATTGAATTATCATTTCTTAAAAATAAATATATGAATAAAAACTCTGAATTATTTCCAGCTAAATTTAGAGCAGTGCTAATTGAAGCATAGATGCTCACATCCTCCCCTTTTCAAATGGGGTGAAGAGTAAAACTAATAGGTGGATGGTGCAAAGCGATTGTACCCTCTATATTTGAAAACAAAAGGTCATATCTCCTTCCATAATCCTCCCTTAATATTTTCTTTCCTTTCTTGCCATGACTTGCTTTAACTACCTTTCCTTTTGTTTATCTTTCATTCTTTTCTTTGGAGTGGAAATCCTTTGTTTAAATTTAGTAATTCGTATATTTGATTAATCTAACATGCTAATAATTTATATATTTATATTATATTTTAAATAAAAATTATATATTATAATTGTATAATTATAAAAATATCAAATATAATTTTCTCCACTTGTTATGTAACCTTTTCATCCTTTTTTTCTTCTCTTTCTTTCTCTTCTCTACTTTTCATCATTTATCATTGTACTATGAAAATTTAAATTTAATTGATCATGTGTATAGAAAGTTTATCTATATCTATTTAATTTTTAATGAAGTATTGATAAATTAATGAATTTGATACAAATTCAAAGGAATAAAAATGAAATTCAAACTTTTTAAATCATAAATAAAAGTTTACATAAAAAAAAAAATCAAAAACTAAAAATGCAATTTAGTCCTATAACTATAATCATGCTTAAAAAAGAAATGATATGTGTATTGACCAATATGTCTTTCTTGTTCATGAATTTATGTTAATTTTATATTAGTTGATGATTATGATAACTATAACCAACGAATCTATGTATGTGATTTATATCTTTGTGACACTTTCTTATTTTTTTCCATTTTTTTTGAGTTAATTTTCCACCTTTTCTTTTTGAAATGTCTCTAATAAATTTTTTTTTAAGTTTTAAATATCTAATACTTTTATTTATTATATTTAATTGATTTTCAATTTTTTACATTTTTATTATAAAAATATGGTAAATCAATGTTATAAAAAATAAATTCATAATGTTAAATATACAAAAATAAAAAAAATGAAATATATGTAAAAATTAAAGGAAGTATTAAGGAGGGAGCAGTCACCATTTATGTAATAGCAAAGAATAATAATATTCTTATAGTGGAAGATAAGATTACCATGGGTCCATTTCAAATTTCACACACTTTAGGTCTTGGCTGATCTTTTTCCTTTGTGTCCGTTCTTTTATTTCTTTATTTTTAAATGAAAGATTGTGCCATTGACACCTGTCTAAAGGGTCAAGGGTCTTTATAAAAGCATGGGTGCTAAAAAACCAATGATTATTCAATGCAATCTGTTCTTGTTATTTCTTCTATATGAGCTCTGAGCTTTAGAGCTTAGATTTCCTGCCAAAAATGTGGATAAGAAAGAAGAAGAAGAAGAAGAAGAAGACTACAGGTGATGATTACTACTGCATGTATGACATAATGTTACCTACTTCTTCCTTATAGAGGATTTGAAGGGGCAAAATGCAACTAGGCAAGTCATTGAGGCAAAGGGAAGGCCATGCCTTTCTTCCAGGTTTTACTTTTCTTGTTGTGTTTCATCTTCACTCTTGTGTCTAAACTCTGAGTCTATGGTTCAGATTGAAATGAGCTTGTCAAATACTAGCAGACTGAGTTGTTCCAAGTTGTTAGATTTTCACTGTTTGACATTATTCTGCTCTTTCCATTTCCCTTGATAAAAAAGTGTTTCAGACTCATCTTTTCTATTTGAATAGATTGACCCTGTGAAAAGGGTCTCCTGAGTTGTTGCTTCAATATTGCCAGGATTTCCTCAGGTGACGAATGGCTTGTTTCAGGTTATGAATAAAATTTTTCTTCATCGACATGCTATTTGTACACAAAATTCTCAGTTTCACCAGCACTTAAGTTTAGTCTCTAAACCAAGTTCAAGTTCAAAGATTTTGATGGTAATTGTTGCACTTTCATGTCTTAAAAAGTATATTTGCATATATTCATGTGGACAGGAGCAAGACATTGCAATTTTTTTTTCTTTCTTTGCCTTTCTACTCAAGGCATGAAAAAAAGAGTACCCATACTTGATATTAGCACAAACAGGTACTTAAGTACAATCAGAAGCCAAAACATGTGGGCAAGCAAGTTGTATTTGATACTTCAGCACAATCAATAGAATTCTGTAAACTTCTCAATGGCTTTTTTTAAGTAGCAATCAACCATGGAAATGTAACATTATCTTATTCTCATGTTAATTGGAAAAGTTCTGTCCAAAACCAGCATAAAACCAGCTATAGCATTTTAACAACAATCCCATTAAAAAAAAAAGAAGAAGCCTTGTCCATGATAAAGAACCATTACTTTGTGCTCAGTTAACGAGCACTTTCAACACAAACAGATTGCATATTAAATGAAGATCAATCTTTAGTAACTCGACATCTATAAGAGATCCTTCATCTCTTGTATTGGATTCAAAGACATTAAAAAGAAGAGTTTGCGAGGCAGGAGGAAGAAAAAAATGAACTGTTTGATACCTATCAACCTGGAAGTCAGACATCATTGTCTTATAAACCCGATTCTCAACATTTAGTTTAGGTAAGCCTGGGGAAACATTTTTTCTTACTACAAAATTATGCACCCCATTCTCTGAAGGGGAATTATCACCTATCATATAACTCAAATAATCATATTACTTAATTGTTGAATTATCTTATTACGGTTATATTCATCATCAACTCTACTTTCTTTTCAGCAATAAAATGTAAGGCCACTAAGCCTGACTGCAGAACTTCTCTAGCCAAGATCTAGACTCTTTTTCATAGCCTCATAAACCAAATATGTAATGCTTGCAGCTGGGACAACCTTGAGAAGATTGGGAAACAGTCCTTTGTAGAAACCTCTATAACCTTCATTCTGAAAGGTTCTCCAAAATACATCGGACATTCCCTTATATGGAACATCAGAGGTAGTACGTTGAGCTTGCATTCTGGGAAAACAAAAAAAAAAAAAAGAAAAAACCCTAAGCAATAAGCAAACATAACAAATTTGTTGATACAGATACCAAAACCAGTATATTGTGATGCAGATGCCTAAATTACCAGAAAATGGGCTTATTCACATAATCATACCTTGTTCTAATAACCTGCAAAGGGTAAACGCAGGTTGCTCCTAAAGCTCCAGAAATTGTTCCACAGCCTAGTTGCACAAGGGGACCAGGTTCTACAAAAACATGAAAGAGTCGTCAGAAAGCAATTTGAGCGAGAAATCCTGAAGAAACTCCAAAGTTAATGAAACATAAGGAACCTAAAGCAGACAGAAAAGTACCACCATCTTGAAGAATATATGTCCTTGAAAAATCTTTCAAGGTCTCATAGACAGCAAGGTCGATGCCAGCATATGGGATAATCCCAAGAAGAGATGGGACAAGACCTTTATAGAATGCTCGAGGTCCTTCCTGAACCCATATATCCTTGGTTAGTTTCCGCACCTTTGGAGCCCTTCCACCTTCAGAAGCACAAGTCTGTAACCGAGTTTTTACAAGATCCATCGGGTAGATAGCAGATTGTGCCACTGCACCTGCTACACCTCCAGCAATTAGTCTTCCACTGGCACCTATATCACCCTTCGCATCTCCCATACTGTCTCCTATTACATTCTTTAACATTTCATATGCATAGAACTTGATAGCACTTTCAGGTGCTACCTTCACAACATTTAACCCATTACCTCGGAAAAACCCCAAAACACCATCTTCCTTCCATATCTTCTTTACAGCTGGCAGAATGTTAGCACGTGTAGTCTGCACTTGCAAAACCACTTTCAGGCGATCAAGAGGAGCAGTTGCAGTGCGAGAAGTTGCTCCTGCTATTCCTCCTGCAATAAAATATTTGCTTCTCTTAACATGTTTACTGATGCCTTGAGGAATAACAGCATGTTCTCCAATATCTACAAGGCAAACCCTTTCCCAATGATGATAGATGTTCTCAATCGTAGCTTCATGAGGATAGAGTAGAAGGAAATCTCTCCATTCTTCAAATGTTATAATTCCATTATTGTCTTTATCAACATGCTCTACAAATCGAGCAAGCTCCTCATCATCAATTTGAATCCCTGCAAAATACAATCTGCCAGGGCTTATAAGATGAAAACAAATGTTTAATTGCAACCATGGGAACTACCAGCCCTTCCACATGAAGCATTAATAAGAATTAAATATGAGAAATCATGATGACAGGAACTATCATGTGTTTCCATTGCATATAGTGTATTTTCAAGAAAGCAGCGCTTCCAGAAAGCCCACAAACTACACCATAGGCCAAGTATCATAAGCCAATCCACAGTTTCCCAATCTCTATAAAACTCAAAATTACGATTCCAAAAAGCTTAGAGGTAAAAATCATGTAGGGTAAAAAGGGAGCACCAGATTCATCAATAACATCCACAAGTCCAAGTCTGTAACATGTTTACTCATCATGTAAGAACACCAATAGATACCTAAATATATTCCAAGAAGAAACTGTCTCAAACATCCAGCAAAACAAATTAGAACATATTTTACACCGACCAAGAAACCGTCTCGAATTCCACGCCAAACAAAGTCACACATGAGCATACCAACAAGATACCGGAGAACATTTTCCTTCAATGGTGGAAAACCTCCCTAAAAAGCTCACATAGAACCTTTGTTACCAAACCATAGGATTCATTCAGGTACCTCAACAAATGCAGATGCATTCATAAAAGAAATATAAAAATCACAGATTCACATTTAACGTAGATTTTAGAGACAAGAAAACACTCATTAGCAACTTCTCTAAAATAGAACGAACGTACAGTTCAGACTTCCGCTCGCCAATACTTGGGTTTCAGAAAAGTCTGTGACTAAAAGAACACATACTTGAACAATAACAAGAGAACAGCAGATTCAAAAAATGCATCCAAAGTCCTTTCTTCTTCTGTTGATTTAAGAACTGAAATAAGAAACGCTTAATATATCCATACAGAAGGAAACTCATCTGGCATGTAAAGCTTTATACCCACCTCATTATCTTCCCTTGAGAAAATTTCAAATAAAGGCTTTCCATTACAAACTGTGGAAGCAACCTCCTAACACCTAAGTATAACCTATTCCAAATTCCTTGAGAAATTTGATCAAGACAATACATACCCACAACTCTATATTACCAATAAAAGTGCAGCTCTGATTATGCTCTACAATGATCTCCAAGGTCATGGTTTATTTTTCTGTATTGCCATTTGCCACTCCGATGGGATAAAGATGTCAAAACACACAGAGATCTAACAGCAAGTGTAAGACATTTAATTAAACTTCCATTATAGAGAGTTTTCAGAGTCAATGTTACAAAGTCTTAAAGAACTATGTCACACCTTGTAAATGTATGATTCACTCCATTTAGAATCAATTATTTTCACAAATTTTACCTAAGATAAACAGCATTTCTTTGGCCCGAAGACCATCTCCTTCAAGCTTGTTATCTACGCACCCACCCCAAAATCTCAAGATATATCTAGTTAAGGGAAAAAATTATACATGTGTTTCACCCCCCAAGAAAAAGAGTTTAAGCACCAAAATTTCACAGAATGAATTCAATCTGCCACCAATAAAAATTTGAAAAGACGTGCTTCTATAGTCACCCATCATTGAGATTTGAGCACAGCAATTTTCTATAGTTGTTTTAATCACTTCATTTAGTCTCCAAGGAAAGTTAACCAATTGCTAAATTATTAAAAGCTTTTGTAAAAAGTAGGAAAATCAATTCTAGTGTTTAATTAGTCCGACTGCACATAGTTACCAAACAAGAAACGACACCAGGAATTCTCTAGCAAACAACACAGACATACAGATCGAATTCAAATTGCAATCCAAAACAATGCTTCTGGATGAATTACTATTAACGCAATCTACTTTCCTTACGGGTACCTAGCGCCAGTTCGAATTACAAACACAGCAAAACCAAATTCTCCAATCTCGCAATGATTACAAGTAATTCTAGTGAAAGGGACATTAAAAAGATAGAAAGCAACATACAGCTTCTCAATTTATGAGCAAAAAACTAAAAATTGTTCAAATTTTTTAATGATTTCACTATCAACCCAATCAATGCAACCACCTCACCAAACCAATCAAACATATCAAGGTAAGAGAAACAAAAAAATAAAAAATAAAAACTCAATTATTATACATAATAATGCAGAGCATAGCATACCAGCCTTAACAAGCGCATCCCATAGCTCCTCAGGCAAAATGCATCCGTTATGCTCCACATCAATAGCTTGAAAAATCCTATAAAGTTCAAGCTCCTTATCATCCATATACCTCTTAAACTCGTGGTAATCCACGCGCCCATCTCTGTTTGCATCACAAACTTTCAACAGATCATTGGCGTACTTATACTCGGCCGGAATCTGCAAAGCAGAGAGACCCTTTTCGATCTGAGCATAATCCAAAAATCCCACATTGGCTGCATCAAAAAAATTGAACAAACTCCGAATCCTTAAATCCCTTTCTTCGTTGGTCTCGCGTAATGCTAAGAGAACATGATCCATTGTGACAGGTCCCGATTTTTTGACCGGGTTGCAACATTCGGGTTTGGATTTTGTCTCCATTTTAGGCAAGCCCACATGCTCCACGCCCTGCCCTGCTGCTCCAGACATAACAATACCAAAACGACAACGTTTCCAATTACCTTACCAAATTTCACCTATTTTCTTCTTCTTTTCTGCTAGCATGGAGGTTTGGCAAGAAGAGATCTGTTCTATAAAATTGGAAACAAACAACATAAAAAAGACCTTTTTTTTCTAAAGGAAGTAATTTTCCCAAAAATCAATTCAGGATCCAAAAAAATGGAACCGAATCAGGGAGAGAAAGAGGACAAGGATGAAGGCTTGTCTTTGATTGGAGAGGAGGGGGTCAAAAGGAAGGAAATTTAGTCAAAATTCCAAAGGAACAGACTTACTACATCAAAAAATGAGATAAATTCAAAGCTTTTTAAACGAGTTTTAATTTGGGTTTTGTTTTCTTTTTCCTAAAATCAAAACCAACCAAGGAAACAACATTACTGCAGATTGAAAGAAGGAAAACGGGCGGTTCCAAGCAATGAAAGAGAGAAAGAGTGATTACAAATTGGAAAAATACACGTGCAAGATAATTGAAGGTAGAAGCTGAGTGTGGCTCCAGACCAGATATTGAGTTAACACGTCTTGGCCCCAAAGCTCTACACCTTCCAAATTCCCTTTCTTTTTGTGGGCTTTGAGAGGCAGCCAAGTTAGAATCAGGGACAGGCAGAGATTTTTCTGGGGTCTGGGTTTTTTTCTTTTAACTTATAACTTTCCTTTACTTTCCTCTCCTCCTCTGCCTACCACAGCTACAGGGGTTCAAGGTAGAAGAGGCTACTAGAGAAAGCAATATCATCCTTTCAACTGTTATGTTAGTAATCTTTTTTTTTTTTTCGCCTTATTTTGGCCGGGGTCGGATCATCTGTCCGGAAGAGAGTTGTGCTAATGTGATTCTTTGGGAATTTTACTTTCTTTACTCTCCACTTTTTTTCAATCCTTTTCTTATAACTTTGCATATATATAATGCCTTCAGTTGGAGTAAATTTCAAGTAAGCTTGTTAAATGTATTCCCAATTGTTTGGATTTACTTCCTTTTTATGTAAAAACTTTAGGTTTATATCAATGAATAATCAGCCAAATGATTTTGGAATCGACTGATTCGAATTTGAAGTTTAATTGTAACTCCATTTGTCTAGGCTTAGATGTCGCAAGATTTGCATATGGAGAAGCAGAACTGCGAAAAGATGAGCCAATGCCAAATCCAATTTAGACCACTCAAACGCCTTACACATAACATGCAAGTGATGTTAAATGGACTCCGATATTCAAAGCTTCAAATTATTACAGAGAGTTGCTTTATTCATGCCTATATATCTCTCATTTGACAACAAAATTAATGGAATTTATTGATGCAATACATACTACAGTGTCACAAGAACATCTTCACATCACAATTGCTACCGCGGCCCAAAGGATAGTTAAAATATAAGAATGTCCTGTGTCTGCATCAGATCAGAGTTTCATAAAAATATCAGAGGTTTAATCTAAATTGTTAATAATCAAGAAGCCTTATTGCAACAAAGCCGCAGTGAGTTAACTATTCTTTAGCCTTTTAATAAAAAAAAAAAAATTATTTAAGCATTAATCCGATTTGGTCAGCACCGATCAATTGTTTTTTTTTTCTTTTCAAAAAAAATTTAGGAGCATGGGAGGTTACCTGTCTCCAAAGGTGGATAAATTATTAATCTAATTGAGATTTACGGATCTATTAAATTTTTATCTATGAATTTTTCAAACTTACAAATCATTTACCAAAAAAAAAAAACCATCGAAGGATTAGCACACAGGTTTCCCCCTTTACCACTTCTGCCAACCCATGCTAGCCAGCACCTATCAATAGTTTGGTTTATGTAAATAACGATCTTAAATGCTCTATTATAGTCATCTCTCTTAAAAGAAAGCTAGCAGAAATTTCTCTTATCTCCTACACTTACGAATTTGCTTAAGAACACTAGTCTGGTAAGATTAATGATTTTTCTTCATCAATCTTTATCATTTGAGGATTAGAAACTTACTTGAACAAAAGTGTGCTAGGTGCGAATTGGCTTGGGCAATTGTTCGGCAACCAAAATGTAGAATAGCCCCATGACTCCTGTATGATATCTGAAACTACTGTAATTAGATTCCAGAATCAGAGTCTCCCCCTTAGATATCTTGACAGTTCCTGGTTGAGGATAGCAGGTGGACATTCCTACAACATAACCAGCTTCATTTCCTGCTTCATGCCCCTTCCCATAAGTCGGTATTGAAGAACAAAGTAGTTGGCCATCCTGAATTCACCACATGCAAGCAGGCAAAGCTCATCATCATAAGAAGACATCATATTACTTGAGTTCACAAAATGATCACATTAAACATCTAAATTTTTTTAGCAATGGCACAAAAGTACTGTCAAGTAGAAACAAGACATTTAAGTACCTCTCTATAGAGAGCAGAACCAGAGCCCCCTGCATGCTGGTGTGCAACACCATAAATGACATAACCACCAAATGGCATGTCAAGGCTTATCCTTTTGGCGTCAAGGCACCCATCCCCAGCCAATCCAGTAGCATGGCAAGATTCAACGTCATATTCCACCTGCATCAAAGATGTTCAGTGACTTGATACTTCAAAAGAAATTTTATTTGACAAAAAAATTGTTGCAGCACATAAACAGTTCATTTACCTTGCAAGAGTGCTCTGCATTAATCCCTGTTGAATTAGCAGACCTTTTCCAACCATCGGCGATGTCAAATATATAAATTTTAACAGGCACAACAGAGCTTTCCATATCGACCCACTTCACAGTGTATCGAAGGTAAAGGGCTCTTCTGATGCCCTTAAACCCTTGTTTCAACCTGCATTGTGTACGATCATAGCAACATAACAAACCCCCTTTGTAGTCTGGGCTCAAAGGGTTTCCAGATTGATCCTTTGTAACATTATACAGATCACACCTGCATTCGGTACATCCCCATCTATCTTCCACACCCCTTGTATCAATTGCATGAATGTTAAACATCCATCTCTCCTCAAACCCAGAAGGAACGTCAGCAGGATTACCAACTTCTATTCCATATGGATCGGGAATATGAGTTGCGGTTTTTCGTGTCTCAGACCCAAGGCCAAAGAACTGATCAAGAGCACCATCCTGACAAATCCCACTATTTCTCCCAGAAATAAAATCTGACATGTTAGGTGTTTTATTTTCATTAGACTTAAGGTCATAGTATCTTGAAACAGTCCAATGATGGAGATAAGTCTCATGAAGGGGAACAGGATTCCCTGCCTCATCAATCAGTTCTGCATTGAAACTTTTCAAGGCAATATGACCTTTTGGAAATTCAAGATTGTAATATAATCTATTTTCCACTGATCCTGGTCCCAGCACAAACTTAGGTGATAGAAAAACAGCAGTTTTTATCTTATTTTCATGTCTCCGAAAGGCTTGTGAATGTTGTAAACTTAGTGTCACCAAAATTCCAACCAAAAGTAACGACCATGGATTGGAGCTTGTCATTTTAGAAAACTGCAAGTGCAATCTGGGGAAGGAAAAACACAGACGGGCAATAATCAATTCCACAGGCAAAAACAATCCAATTAAAAGGAAACTGAAATTTGGATAGGATTACCAAAGATAAAGAAAATTAAAGCTGCTATCATTGACATAGAACTGGAAAAGAAAAGGAAAGAAAAAACAAGGAAAACAGCAACGTACCGGTACGTTCTGAGATTGCTTCTTCACACCCTTCAACCACTGCTGTGCTGTGTAAGCCACACGTGTTGAACGTTCCCAGTTCTGGTTGGAGAAATCGAGACTTTTAGTTGAATATATATACATACATAAGATTCAAAAAACAGGGAAGCGTACAGAATTTTGCTTAGGTTACTTCGTCACGCCCGTCAGCCACTCGTATTGAACGTTCCAAGTTTTGGATGGACAAATTTTCCACACTGATAGAGTTGAATATACGTTCATAGGATAAGAGCATTGCTCAACTGATTTATGCCATAGACGAAAAGTGTAACGAATATGAAACTGCATGGGAATTTTGTCGTAATAAGGGTAATAAACAAATGATGCAAAAAGCATAAGCCATGACGCCAAGTTTGAGAACTGCTTTGAATGGTCATCACCTAATTAACGAGACTTCGATGCTAAGCAACGCCGCCATCCATGGTGGACTATTAACAAGGCAAAAGCGTCTGGAGATTCGTGTTTTTTTTTTGTTTGATAATGACATCAATAACGATCCCGGTGGATTTTGTCGCTGTCCCACGAAATTTCATTTAAAAAAGTCAAAATACTGTTTTGATCACCTGGGTCGAAAAGTAAAAAAAACAAAAATACTAAAAACAAGTAAGATAAGTCAAAGCCATAATCTAGACTTTGAACATGTGCTGTTTCGGTTTCTTCGGAGGCGATGGTAATAACTATCTAGCATGTTTACACCGCTTCAACGCAAATATTTATAAATTTTTTGTTTGAATTGAAATGTAAAATAATAGTTTGTTCAAACTATCACATGCTTCTTTCTCTTTCGAAAAGCTACCTCTGACTTCATCTTTCCTCTTCCACCAAAGTTTTCTTTTGAGTTTTAATTAATAACCCACTTTCATCTGTTTTTTTTTAACCGAACCTCTCACGGAAATCCGAAAAACTCCTTTAAAAGTCTCAAAAGTTTCACTAATCTTATCTATTTTTAGTGTTCTTAGATTTTTTAGATTCCAAAAAAAAAAATTGAAAATTGCAAATCTTTTTTTTTTTTATAAAATCTTAGATTTAAAGGGTTTTTTTTTTTTTTTTATAATGGCTTGTATTGGTCTGTGGATGTTATTTTTTAGGAGAAAATTGTTTAAAAAAATAAAATTTCAAAATTTATGATTTTTCAAACAATTTTTGTTATTTGCGATGGATTTTTTAGTTGATTTTTATTTAATATATTTTTTCAATTGATTTTTGTTTTATCTGTATTTTGATAGTTTTGATTATTTGATTATGGCTAATCTTAGGGTTTTTGAGTTCTATCTGTTTGCTTTTTATTTTTACAAAATTTTAACGATTTTACCATTATATCCGACGGTTCTTTTTTCATTTGTTGTAGACAGGAGATCAAATAATAATTTTTAATTATATTTGTACACAATATTATAATAAAATAAAATATATTATATTATGAATAAAATTATATTAAATAATATTATTTTATTTTATATTTGATTTATATAAAGATTATGATATAATAATTTATTCATTCATCAAAATTATATTCGGTAAATATAGATCAGCTTAGGTACACTGGAATATCTATGTTGGACCTTCTCTGTCCTAAGCTTTTGGGCCTATGGTTGCCAATTGAGCTAATTGGAAGTTGGAACCATCGCCTTTAGAAGCTTTTGAACCCTTTCTTCATTTCCTATGCTGATAGGTGACTTCAAGGTCCAATCTCCAACAACATAACCAATTGCCTGATTCATTTTGCAGGCTGTAGTTTTAGGCCAATTCTGGATAGAATCCAATGACCAAAAAAAAAAAAAAAGACTAAGTGAAGGAGTTTTATTTTTAAATAAAAAATTTGAGAATAAATAAATTATTTAATCTTTTAAATTAAAATAAAATATATCATATCTAATAATTTAAGATAATTAATTAGAAATTATATATTAAAAATGACTTTAACAAACTATCAATTGAATTAAACTCAAAATTTTTACATAAAAAAATAATAATAATTTTTTAATTGAACCAATCATTTATTAATAAAAATTAATTAAAGTTGTAATACAATGGAAGTATCTTTCATTATCCTACACTGTCCATCCAATTATAATAATTTTATTAAAGAATTTTACTATCATTTTTAAATAAATTGTGATGAGTGGTAAATTTAGTACATTCTACTGCAAATTCAAATATTTTTGAGTAAAAAAGGCAAATAATTTATGCTTACATTACAGAAATACCCAACAATTAAGGGTGACTTCTTTTTATGTAGGTCAAAAGTATTCTCAATGAATTTTTGTATAAAATTAACTAAATTAGAGAATAATTATATCATAAAAACAGAATTTATAGGCCATAATTCAGAGAATGGAAATTATTTAATTATTTTAATAATTTAATAATTTCATTTAATTATTTTAATAATTTAATAATTTTATTTAATTTAATTATTTAAACTTGACAATTTCTTTTTCTTTTCACTGAAAATTTTCTTAATTAGGTAGAACAATGAATACGGAATAAAATATATCTAAATATTATAGTATAATTTTTTGTTTTTTTTTTTGTTTAGTAAATAGTTTCCAATTAAGCATGCAAAGAAAGATATGGAATTTTGATTTTGTAATTAATGACATAAATACCATTTATTACTTTATCAAAATTATCATTCTATAGTTAAAAAGATTAATTGGTGGGATTATAATTTTTTTTTATCTTATCTTTTAATAATTTATTTTCAAATTAAGTCATTATTATTGTTGATGGTATAACCATGTATGAGTTTGGCACTGAAGAGGTAGGAGTTGGCAACTCAATTAAGTGATTCTTTAACCAAATTAATTAAAATGATTAAAGGGATATGATCCTTCTACTCAAGAGGTAAGAGTAGGTAACTCAATTACTCAAGATTAAAATCAAAATGAACTCATTGGAAAAAAGAAAGGAGAATGGCAATTAGGTAATTCAATAACAATAGTTTAGGAAGAATTAAAAAGTAAGCTTGGGATGATAAACTTGACGGTGTTATTGACTTTACTGATTTGACGTCGAGTGTGACACGTGGGAAATAATTGACTTGAAGACATTGATGATGACGCCAGAGGAGAGAAACAGATTGGTCAGAGAAGAGAAGGAAAGAGAAGCGAGTAGATTCACGAAACGTGGCAGCCGGTGTCAACCACTCATGTCAACCGAATAAAGGTTTGATTTTGATCAGTGGATTCTGAACTGATACTAATAAACAACTCATTAACGGCTATCACCAATTCACCATTATTATTATGAGAGCGCTTTTGCACGATAATCATAACTTTTGCTTTTGTATCTTTCTGATTGTAAATTGGATGCCACGCTGCCTCAAATGGCTTTTTTTTTTTTTAAATGATATTTACGTGTTAGTAACTTTTTCCTGGTAAACATGATGAAAATTAAACATTACCGGATAATGAAAATTTTCAAAAAGAAAAAGACATTGTCGAGTTTAATAATTATTTAATGTCAACATAAAATATTTAATTATTTTAATAATTTAATTATTTGCTTCTCTTAACATGTTTACTGATGCCTTGAGGAATAACAGCATGTTCTCCAATATCTACAAGGCAAACCCTTTCCCAATGATGATAGATGTTCTCAATCGTAGCTTCATGAGGATAGAGTAGAAGGAAATCTCTCCATTCTTCAAATGTTATAATTCCATTATTGTCTTTATCAACATGCTCTACAAATCGAGCAAGCTCCTCATCATCAATTTGAATCCCTGCAAAATACAATCTGCCAGGGCTTATAAGATGAAAACAAATGTTTAATTGCAACCATGGGAACTACCAGCCCTTCCACATGAAGCATTAATAAGAATTAAATATGAGAAATCATGATGACAGGAACTAACGTGTGTTTCCATTGCATATAGTGTATTTTCAAGAAAGCAGCGCTTCCAGAAAGCCCACAAACTACACCATAGGCCAAGTATCATAAGCCAATCCACAGTTTCCCAATCTCTATAAAACTCAAAATTACGATTCCAAAAAGCTTAGAGGTATAAATCATGTAGGGTAAAAAAGGAGCACCAGATTCATCAATAACATCCACAAGTCCAAGTCTGTAACATGTTTACTCATCATGTAAGCACACCAATAGATACCTAAATATATTCCAAGAAGAAACTGTCTCAAACATCCAGCAAAACAAATTAGAACATATTTTACACCGACCAAGAAACCGTCTCGAATTCCAAGCCAAACAAAGTCACACATAAGCATACCAACAAGATACCGGAGAACATTTTCCTTCAATGGTGGAAAACCTCCCTAAAAAGCTCACATAGAACCTTTGTTACCAAACCATAGGATTCATTGAGGTACCTCAACAAATGCAGATGCATTCATAAAAGAAATATAAAAATCACAGATTCACATTTAACATAGATTTTAGAGACAAGAAAACACTCATTAGCAACTTCTCTAAAATAGAACGAACATACAGTTCAGACTTCCGCTCGCCAATACTTGGGTTTCAGAAAAGTCTGTGACTAAAAGAACACATACTTGAAAAATAACAAGAGAACAGCAGATTCAAAAAATGCATCCAAAGTCCTTTCTTCTTCTGTTGATTTAAGAACTGAAATAAGAAACGCTTAATATATCCGTACAGAAGGAAACTCATCTGGCATGTAAAGCTTTATACCCACCTCATTATCTTCCCTCGAGAAAATTTCAAATAAAGGCTTTCCATTACAAACTGTGGAAGCAACCTCCTAACACCTAAGTATAACCTATTCCAAATTCCTTGAGAAATTTGATCAAGACAATACATACCCACAACTCTATATTACCAATAAAAGTGCAGCTCTGGTTATGCTCTACAATGATCTCCAAGGTCATGGTTTATTTTTCTGTATTGCCATTTGCCACTCCGATGGGATAAAGATGTCAAAACACACAGAGATCTAACAGCAAGTGTAAGACATTTAATTAAACTTCCATTATAGAGAGTTTTCAGAGTCAATGTTACAAAGTCTTAAAGAACTATGTCACACCTTGTAAATGTATGATTCACTCCATTTTAAATCAATTATTTTCACAAATTTTACCTAAGATAAACAGCATTTCTTTGGCCCGAAGACCATCTCCTTCAAGCTTGTTATCTACGCACCCACCCCAAAATCTCAAGATATATCTAGTTAACGGAAAATATTATACATGTGTTTCACCCCCCAAGAAAAAGAGTTTAAGCACCAAAATTTCACAGAATGAATTCAATCTGCCACCAATAAAAATTTGAAAAGACGTGCTTCTATAATCACCCATCATTGAGATTTGAGCACAGCAATTTTCTATATTTGTTTTAATCACTTCATTTAGTCTCCAAGGAAAGTTAACCAATTGCTAAATTATTAAAAGCTTTTGTAAAAAGTAGGAAAATAAATTCTAGTGTTTAATTAGTCCGACTGCACATAGTTACCAAACAAGAAACGACACCAGGAATTCTCTAGCAAACAACACAGACATACAGATCGAATTCAAATTGCAATCCAAAACAATGCTTCTGGATGAATTACTATTAACGCAATCTACTTTCCTTACGGGTACCTAGCACCAGTTCGAATTACAAAAACAGCAAAAGCAAATTCTCCAATCTCGCAATGATTACAAGTAATTCTAGTGAAAGGGACATTAAAAAGATAGAAAGCAACATACAGCTTCTCAATTTATGAGCAAAAAACTAAAAATTGTTCAAACTTTTTAATGATTTCACTATCAACCCAATAAATGCAACCACCTCAACAAACCAATCAAACATATCAAGGTAAGAGAAACAAAAAAATAAAAAATAAAAACTCAATTATTATACATAATAATGCAGAGCATAGCATGCCAGCCTTAACAAGCGCATCCCATAGCTCCTCAGGCAAAATGCATCCGTTATGCTCCACATCAATAGCTTGAAAAATCCTATAAAGTTCAAGCTCCTTATCATCCATATACCTCTTAAACTCGTGGTAATCCACGCGCCCATCTCTGTTTGCATCACAAACTTTCAACAGATCATTGGCGTACTTATACTCGGCCGGAATCTGCAAAGCAGAGAGACCCTTTTCGATCTGAGCATAATACAAAAATCCCACATTGGCTGCATCAAAAAAATTGAACAAACTCCGAATCCTTAAATTCCTTTCTTCGTTGGTCTCGCGTAATGCTAACAGAACATGATCCATTGTGACAGGTCCCGATTTTTTGACCGGGTTGCAACATTCGGGTTTGGATTTTGTCTCCATTTTAGGCAAGCCCACATGCTCCACGCCCTGCCCTGCTGCTCCAGACATAACAATGCCAAAACGACAACGTTTCCAATTACCTTACCAAATTTCACCTATTTTGTTCTTCTTTTCAGCTAGCATGGAGGTTTGGCAAGAAGAGATCTGTTCTATAAAATTGGAAACAAACAACATAAAAAAGACCCTTTTTTCTAAAGGAAGTAATTTTCCCAAAAATCAATTCAGGATCCAAAAAAATGGACCCGAATCAGGGAGAGAAAGAGGACAAGGATGAAGGCTTGTCTTTGATTGGAGAGGAGGGGGTCAAAAGGAAGGAAATTTAGTCAAAATTCCAAAGGAACGGACTTACTACATCAAAAAATGAGATAAATTCAAAGCTTTTTAAACGAGTTTTAATTTGGGTTTTGTCTTCTTTTTCCTAAAATCAAAACCAACCAAGGAAACAACATTACTGCAGATTGAAAGAAGGAAAACGGGCGGTTCCAAGCAATGAAAGAGAGAAAGAGTGATTACAAATTGGAAAAATACACGTGCAAGATAATTGAAGGTAGAAGCTGAGTGTGGCTCCAGACCAGATATTGAGTTAACACGTCTTGGCCCCAAAGCTCTACACCTTCCAAATTCCCTTTCTTTTTGTGGGCTTTGAGAGGCAGCCAAGTCAGAATCAGGGACAGGCAGAGATTTTTCTGGGGTCTGGGTTTTTTTCTTTTAACTTATAACTTTCCTTTCCTTTCCTTTCCTTTCCTCTCCTCCTCTGCCTACCACAGCTACAGGGGTTCAAGGTAGAAGAGGCTACTAGAGAAAACAATATCATCCTTTCAACCGTTATGTTAGTAATCTTTATTTTTTTTCGCCTTATTTTGACCGGGGTCGGACCATCTGTCCGGAAGACAGTTGTGCTAATGTGATTCTTTGGGAATTTTACTTTCTTTACCCTCCACTTTTTTTCAATCCTTTTCTTATAACTTTGCATATATATAATGCCTTCAGTTGGAGTAAATTTCAAGTAAGCTTGTTAAATGTATTCCCAATTGTTTGGATTTACTTCCTTTTTATGTAAAAACCTTTGGTTTATATCAATGAATAATCAGCCAAATGATTTTGGAATCGACTGATTCGAATTTGAAGTTTAATTGTAACTCCATTTGTCTAGGCTTAGATGTCGCAAGATTTGCATATGGAGAAGCAGAACTGCGAAAAGATGAGCCAATGCCAAATCCAATTTAGACCACTCAAACGCCTTACACATAACATGTAAGTGATGTTAAATGGACTCGGATATTCAAAGCTTCAAATTATTACAGAGAGTTGCTTTATTCATGCCTATATATCTCTCATTTGACAACAAAATTAATGGAATTTATTGATGCAATACATACTACAGTGTCACAAGAACATCTTCACATCACAATTGCTACCGCGGCCCAAAGGATAGTTAAAATATAAGAATGTCCTGTGTCTGCATCAGATCAGAGTTTCATAAAAATATCAGAGGTTTAATCTAAATTGTTAATAATCAAGAAGCCTTATTGCAACAAAGCCGCAGTGAGTTAACTATTCTTTAGCCTTTTAATAAAAAAAAAAAATTATTTAAGCATTAATCCGATTTGGTCAGCACCTATCAATTGTTTTTTTTTTTCTTTTCAAAAAAAATTTAGGAGCATGGGAGGTTACCTGTCTCCAAAGGTGGATAAATTATTAATCTAATTGAGATTTACAGATCTATTAAATTTTTATCTTTGAATTTTTCAAACTTACAAATCGTTTACCAAAAAAAAAAAACCATCGAAGGATTAGCACCCAGGTTTCCACCTTTACAACTTCTGCCAACCCATGCTAGCCAGCACCTATCAATAGTTTGGTTTATGTAAATAACGATCTTAAATGCTCTATTATAGTCATCTCTCTTAAAAGAAAGCTAGCAGAAATTTCTTTTATCTCCTACAATTACGAATTTGCTTAAGAACACTAGTCTGGTAAGATTAATGATTTTTCTTCATCAATCTTTATCATTTGAGAATTAGAAACTTACTTGAACAAAAGTGTGCTAGGTGCGAATTGGCTTGGGCAATTGTTCGGCAACCAAAATGTAGAATAGCCCCATGACTCCTGTATGATATCTGAAACTACTGTAATTAGATTCCAGAATCAGAGTCTCCCCCTTAGATATCTTGACAGTTCCTGGTTGAGGATAGCAGGTGGACATTCCTACAACATAACCAGCTTCATTTCCTGCTTCATGCCCCTTCCCATAAGTCGGTATTGAAGAACAAAGTAGTTGGCCATCCTGAATTCACCACATGCAAGCAGGCAAAGCTCATCATCATAAGAAGACATCATATTACTTGAGTTCACAAAATGATCACATTAAACATCTAAATTTTTTTAGCAATGGCACAAAAGTACTGTCAAGTAGAAACAAGACATTTAAGTACCTCTCTATAGAGAGCAGAACCAGAGCCCCCTGCATGCTGGTGTGCAACACCATAAATGACATAACCACCAAATGGCATGTCAAGGCTTATCCTTTTGGTGTCAAGGCACCCATCCCCAGCCAATCCAGTAGCATGGCAAGATTCAACGTCATATTCCGCCTGCATCAAAGATGTTCAGTGACTTGATACTTCAAAAGAAATTTTATTTGACAAAAAAATTGTTGCAGCACATAAACAGTTCATCTACCTTGCAAGAGTGCTCTGCATTAATCCCTGTTGAATTAGCAGACCTTTTCCAACCATCGGCGACGTCAAATATATAAATTTTAACGGGCACAACAGAGCTATCCATATCGACCCACTTCACAGTGTATCGAAGGTAAAGGGTTCTTCTGATGCCCTTAAACCCTTGTTTCAACCTGCATTGTGTACGATCATAGCAACATAACAAACCCCCTTTGTAGTCTGGGCTCAAAGGGTTTCCAGATTGATCCTTTGTAACATTATACAGATCACACCTGCATTCGGTACATCCCCATCTATCTTCCACACCCCTTGTATCAATTGCATGAATGTTAAACATCCATCTCTCCTCAAACCCAGAAGGAACGTCAGCAGGATTACCAACTTCTATTCCATATGGATCGGGAATATGAGTTGCGGTTTTTCGTGTCTCAGACCCAAGGCCAAAGAACTGATCAAGAGCACCATCCTGACAAATCCCACTATTTCTCCCAGAAATAAAATCTGACATGTTAGGTGTTTTATTTTCATTAGACTTAAGGTCATAGTATCTTAGAACAACCCAATGATGGAGATAAGTCTCATGAAGGGGAACAGGATTCCCTGCCTCATCAATCAGTTCTGCATTGAAACTTTTCAAGGCAATATGACCTTTTGGAAATTCAAGATTGTAATATAATCTATTTTCCACTGATCCTGGTCCCAGCACAAACTTAGGTGATAGAAAAACAGCAGTTTTTATCTTATTTTCATGTCTCCGAAAGGCTTGTGAATGTGGTAAGCTTAGTGTCACCAAAATTCCAACCAAAAGTAACCACCATGGATTGGAGCTTGTCATTTTAGAAAACTGCAAGTGCAATCTGGGGAAGGAAAAACACAGACGGGCAATAATCAATTCCACAGGAAAATACAATCCAATTAAAAGGAAACTGAAATTTGGATAGGATTACCAAAGATAAAGAAAATTAAAGCTGCTATCTTTGACATAGAACTGGAAAAGAAAAGGAAAGAAAAAACAAGGAAAACAGCAACGTACCGGTACGTTCTGAGATTACTTCTTCACACCCTTCAACCACTGCTGTGCTGTGTAAGCCACTCGTGTTGAACGTTCCCAGTTCTGATTGGAGAAATCGAGACTTTTAGTTGAATATATATACATACATAAGATTCAAAAAACAGGGAAGCGTACAGAATTTTGCTTAGGTTACTTCGTCACGCCCGTCAGCCACTCGTATTGAACGTTCCAAGTTTTGGATGGACAAATTTTCCACACTGATAGAATTGAATATACGTTCATAGGATAAGAGCATTGCTCAACTGATTTATGCCATAGACGAAAAGTGTAACGAATATGAAACTGCATGGGAATTTTGTCGTAATAAGGGTAATAAACAAATGATGCAAAAAGCATAAGCCATGACGCCAAGTTTGAGAGCTGCTTTGAATGGTCATCACCTAATTAACGAGACTTCGATGCTAAGCAACGCCGCCATCCATGGTGGACTATTAACAAGGCAAAAGCGTCTGCAGATTCGTGTTTTTTGTTGTTTGATAATGACATCAATAACGATCCCGGTGGATTTTGTCGCTGTCCCACGAATTTCATTTAAAAAGTCAAAATACCGTTTTGATCACGTGGGTCGAAAAGTAAAAAAAAAAAAATACTAAAAACAAGTATGATAAGTCAAAGCCATAATCTAGACTTTGAACATGTGGCGTTTCCGCACATTGTTTTCTTCGGAGGCGATGGTAATAACTATCTAGCATGTTTACACCGCTTGAATGCAAATATTTATAAATTTTTTGTTTGAATTGAAATGTAAAATAATAGTTTGTTCAAACTATCACATGCTTCTTTCTCTTTTGAAAAGCTTCCTCTGACTTCATCTTTCCTCTTCCATCAAAGTTTTCTTTTGAGTTTTAATTAATAACCCACTTTCATCTGTTTTTTTTTAACCGAACCTCTCACGGAAATCCGAAAAACTCCTCTAAAAGTCTCAAAAGTTTCACTAATCTTATCTATTTTTAGTGTTCTTAGATTTTTTTAGATTCCAAAAAAAAAAAAATTGAAAATTGCAGATCTTTTTTCTTTTTATAAAATCTTAGATTTAAAGGTTTTTTTTTATTTTTTTTTATAATGGCTTGTATTGGTCTGTGGATGTTATTTTTTAGGAGAAAATTGTTTCAAAAAATAAAATTTCAAAATTTATGATTTTTTAAACAATTTTTGTTATTTGCGATGGATTTTTTAGTTGATTTTTATTTAATATATTTTTTCAATTGATTTTTGTTTTATCTGTATTTTGATAGTTTTGATTATTTGATTATGGCTAATCTTAGGGTTTTTGAGTTCTATAATTTTACAAAATTTTAACGATTTTACCATTATATCCGACGGTTCTTTCTTCATTTGTTGTAGACAGGGGATCAAATAATAATTTTTAGTTATATTTGATACACATAAAATAAAATAATATAATATTATGAATAAAATTATATTAAATAATATTATTTTATTTTATGCTTGATATATATAAAGATTATGATATAATAATTTATTCATTCATCAAAATGATATATTTTTAAATTTTATATAGTTTAAATTATTAATATAATTTTTTAAAATATAATTGGATATGTAAATTTAATTTTATGGATTAAAAATAATCTATTTTACTTAAGAAGGATTGAATAATCTTATATCAAGAAGATATTAATCTCTTTTACAATCTCTATCTCTCGTATACAAATCAAATATAATATATGATAATTATTATTTTATCTTATTAATAATTTTATACATCAAACATGATCTAAGATCTTGCTTGATGCATAAGATTATGATAAGATAAGATAATATAATATTATGAATAAGATTAAATTAAATAATGATATTTTATTTTATATTTGATGTATATAAGGATTAAAATAAAATAATTTATTTGTTGGTTAAAATTATTATTATTTAAAATTTATATTATTTGAATTATTAATGTAATTTTTAAAAATATAATAGGACATATAAATTTAATTTTATAGATTAAAAATATTTTTTTTAAATGATAAAATTATCTTATCAACATAAAATATCTAATCATTTTAATAATCTAATTATTTTATTTAAATACATAATAAATATATAATAAAATAATTAATATCTTTTTTTAATTAATTTTACGTGTCAAACGTAATCTTAAGATATTGGATCAGTCTCCATACGTAAGCTTTTAGGGATACTTTTTATGCAGTAAGTATAGACAAGCCTAGGTACACTTGAATATCTATGTTGGACCGTCTCTGTCTTATGCTTTTGGGCCTATGGTTGCCAATTGAGCTGATTGGAGGTTGGAACCATCGCCATTAGAAGCTTTTGATCCCTTTCTTCATTTCCTATGCTGATAGGTGACTTCAAGGTCCAATCTCCAACAACATAACCAATTGCCTGATTCATTTTGCAGGCTGTACTTTTAGGCCAATTCTGGATAGAATCCAATGACCAAAAAAAAAAAAAAAAGACCAAATGAAGGAGTTTTTTTTTTATTTAAAATAAAAAATTCAAGAATAAACAAATTATTTCATCTCTTAAATTAAAGTAAAACATATCATATCTAATAATTTAAGAAAATGGTTAGAGATTGTATATTATAAATAATTTTAACAAACGATCGATTGAATTAAACTCAAAATTTTTACATAAAAAAAGATAATTTTTTTTAATTGAATCAACCACTTATTAATAAAATTAATTAAAGTTGTAATACAATGGAAGTATCTTTCATTATCCTACACCGTCCATCCAATTATAATAATTTTATTAAAGAATTTTACTATCATTTTTAAATAAATTGTGATGAGTGGTAAATTTAGTACATTCTACTACAAATTCAAATATTTTTGAGTAAAAAAGGCAGATAATTTATGCTTACATTACAGAAATACCCCAACAATTAAGGGTGAGTTCTTTTTATGTAGGTCAAAAGTATTCTCAATGAATTTTTGTATAAAATTAACTAAATTAGAGAATAATTATATAATTAAAAACAGAATTTATAGGCCATAATTCAGAGAATGGAAATTAGGGGTGCAAAAATATTTAGCAACGGTATCTAACTTTTTAAAGGCATAAAAATTGGAAAGTTGACCTAAAAATATGCTTCAAACGTTTGACCAATTGCTCCAAAGTTTAGGGAGATTGACAGCAAAGCAGGTGTTGCAACCAGGTTTCACCCCATGTCTTGTCTTTGTTATGTCTCAGATACATTCATAGATTTACTTCTTGTTTCTTCTTTTGTGTCTTCCTGAAAATAGTCCCAAAACCTGAAAGAAAAACCAAGCACTAGGAGATGACAGGAAAAAAAGAAAAATCCAAGGAGAGAAAGGAAAAGAGACTCCAAGAGATTTCTCTTCTCAGGACCATTCCTTATTCTGATCATCAGAGGTACTCTCTTTTTTTTTTTTTTCTTTCCCTTGGAAAATTTCATTTTTGTTTTCCTTTGATTTTGGTAATACCCAGATTGGCATATCAACAGATATTGCTCTTCCTCACTCCTTAGCATTGCAGTTATTATTATTACAACAAATTTGATGCAGTTTGCTTGGTGATCTTCTGTAAAGGAATTTCTTTTTATGATCATCATTTTTCAGTGTTTGATTATTCCTTGGAAGTTGGATAGATTTGACAATCTATATAAAAAAATCTTGCAAATTATTTACTTTTTGGTTTCCTTGTTCTAGGTGGTGGTCAGAAGAAACTATTGCTGTAGTAACTGGTGCTAATAGAGGAATCGGGTTTGAGATTGCAAGACAACTTGCTGGGCATGGATTGACAGTAATACTAACATCAAGGGACACTAGCGTCGGCATTGAAGCAGCCAAGGTCTTACAAGAAGGGGGTTTCAATGTGGATGTCCATCAGCTCGATGTCTTGGATCATGAATCAATTTCAGCGTTTATTGAATGGATAAAAGAAAAATATGGTGGCATTGATATTCTGGTAAACGATAAAAATCCATTGTTCTTTTTTCCACTCATTTTAGGAACTCAGCTTGGTGTCAGCTTTTCATGCAAACTTACATTTTGCAGGTAAATAACGCAGGTGTTAACTACAATCTTGGGTCTGAAAATTCGGTGGAATTCGCTAGGCAGGTTGTTGATACCAATTATTATGGCACCAAACGTATGATTAAAGCAATGATACCATTGATGAGACCTTCTGCTGCTGGTGCTCGTATCGTTAATGTGAGCTCACGGCTAGGTAAACTAAATGGCCGGCGCAATGTAAGTAAATTATTCTCCTCCCTTTCATCCACAGACTAAACACTCATTTTTCTTTTTGATATTAATGGTTTGTACAACAGATTGCTGAAGGTCATCGACTGTTGTAAATTGCTTTTTATGTTCACAAAATATTCTTTTTCTCGAATTCAAACTAAATTTAGGTTGTTTCTGACAGAGAATTGAAGATGAAACTTTGAGAAAAGAACTAAACGGTTTGGACACTCTCTCTGAGGAATTGATTGATAGGACACTGTCTACTTTCCTACAACAAGTTGAAGATGGCACTTGGGAATTAGGTGGATGGCCTAAGGCTTTCACTGACTACTCAGTATCTAAACTTGCTGTTAATGCTTACACTAGGGTGGTGGCAAAGGAACTCTCTGATCGGCCAGAAGGTGAAAAGATATATATCAACTGTTACTGCCCAGGATGGGTGAAGACTGCAATGACAGGTTGGGCAGGCAGTATTTCAGCTGAAGATGCGGCTGACACTGGAGTCTGGCTTGCCCTCCTTCCAGACGAGGCAGTAACAGGAAAATTTTTTGCGGAGAGACGGGAAGTGAACTTCTGAGGCAACGAAGCTACTATTGCAGGGTTCAGGAATCCATTCTATTCTTGAAGATTTCAGGCGTAAAACAGCTGAAACCAACTTGTTTGGGATGGTTTATCTGCCCTGCATTAGCTACTGAAGGATGAGAGCCAGCACCTGTCATTTATCGAAATGGAATCTGAAAATACGCATGGTGCTATCTGTTTATACGTACACTTAACAGAGAGTAAACAGTACTTCAAATTCTATGATAATCTTCCCACCAATTCTGCTGTAGTTTAAAGCTCATCAAATATTTTTGTGTTTTGGGTTCTTTTGTATTTCATCTTTCAAAATGAAGACTCTTTTTATATTTGATTTTCTTTTATCTTTTAAAGCTTGTTTACTCATCATTCCTTTCTATAATATAAGAATAAAAAAACTGGAAACAAAAAACAATAAAATAAATCTTCTTCTTGACTTGAAAGCAAATTTTAGTTGAAAAACTCTAAACTCGAAAAGTAAATTGAGTTTGTAATCCGATCAAAAAGCAAATTAATCATGAAAGCCAACATCCTTTGCTGGAGATTGCGATAGAAGTTTCCCTTTCCATGAAAAATTCATAAACTTTTCTACCCTATTTAAGAACAAAGAAAAAGAAAATATGAACAGCCATTAATCCAACTATATAAGTATAGTAGTACAATTTTCTTACAGGAAATGCTGAAGATAGACCGTGAACAAATAGATGGCGTGACGTGGCAAACACTGACAACACCAGTACTACCCGACAGCCGAAACACCAAACCTCCGGCTTCTATTCAAAAAAGTATCGACTATCGATCCATCCTTCGTTATCACAAAATTTTAATCTTTGCTGTCCCTTCTTTTCTGGAAAAAAAATCCATTTTGACGTTGAACGTGAAGCAATAATCATAATAATATAAAAGTAATATATCATAATAAATTTATAATAATAAATAATATCAATAATAAAAAATAAAAAAATAAAACATATTAAGATTTAAGTGAAAAATCTTTTAATATATAAAAAAAAATCACGAATCATCAAAAAAATTTTCACTACCAAATAATATATAATGTTCTTCTCTAGTTAAAACTAGAGCTAATCGATAACAAGAGAAAGACAATTGAAGAAATCTCATCAAATAAATTACTCAACAAATACATCTTGAATTTATTCCTAAAGAGCTTTAAACTCGATCTTCACCATTCAGAATGTAAAACTCTGAATTATAAACTTGTTAACAAAGTTTCAGCTCAATCAAATCACGAATCAACTTCTGTTCAATCAACTCTCTCTTCTTCTTTTTCTCTCTATTTTTCTGGCTTTTCTTATTTCTCTTACACTACCTTAAAACAGTCACACCTCTTTTTACTAAGTAGTTAGGGCACTGTGTAAAAAGAAAGACCAAGGCCCATAGCCTTTGATTGGTCCAAAACCAATTACATAGGATTGAACCCCATTTTCCTAATAATCTTCCCCTCTAACCCCATTAGGAGGAGATTCATTACCATAGCAGTTTCATTTGAAACTTACCTTAGTCAAGGAACTCATTCCGACTAAATTACTATAGAGCTCAAGCTTCTCATTGAGAAGTATTTTAGTTAATATATCTGCTACATTCTCATTAGTATAGACTTTTTTTCACAGCATTTGTTGTTCCTCAATCGTAACCAGTGATATCTAACATCAATGTGTTTTGTTTTAGCATGGTACATAACATTTTTACTCAAATCTAAAGCACTCTGACTATCACAAAACACCACATACTCTTTCTGATTCAATCTCAATTGAAAAAGAAAATATTTCATCTAAAGTATTTATTTACCTGCTTCAATTGCTATAATATATTCAGCATTTGTAGTTGACAAAGCAACATATTTCTGTAATTTAGACTGCCAAGACATGGTTCTTCCTACAAAAGTGAACAAATACCCTGAAGTAAATTTTTTACCATTAAAATTGACTGTCATGTTAGCATTAGAAAACCCTTTCTAGAACTGATTGTGAAACTTCATAACTCAAGCACATTTATGAGGTGCCCTCAAATGTCTGAAAATCCATTTCACTACTTTCCAATGAATCTTTCCCATATTAGAAAGAAATCTACTTATTACACCAACTGCATGAGCAATGTCAGGCTGTGTGCAAACCATAAGATATATTAAAAAACCAACTGCAAGAGAATAAGGAATACTAGATATACCTAGTTGCTCTTTCTTATACACTAGATAAGATTTCTTACTTAGATGAAAATGATTGACAAATGGATTGCTAACTGATTTAACATATTACATGTTGAATCTACTAAATACCCGTTTAACATACTTTTCCTATGACAACCATAGCTTTTCAGCTCTCATGTCTCGGATAATATCCATACCAAGAATTTGCTTTATTGGACCTAAATCTTTCATGTCAAAAGATTTAGATAATTATTCTTTCAACCTGTAAACCATACCAGCATCTTGTTCCACAATTAACATATCATCAACATATAATAAGAGAATAATAAAGTTACTATCAAATTTTTTTTGACATACACACAAGGATCCACTGTCATTCTTTTATAATGTGACTCATCATAAAAGAATCAAACTTCTTATACCATTATCGCATAGTTTGTTTCAAGTCATACAAGCTTTTCTTTAATTTGTAAATTAAGTGCTCTTTTTCTTTCACTTCAAAATCCTTAGACTGATTCATATAAATATCCTCTTACAAGTCACTATACAAGAATGTAATTTTAACATAAAGTTGCTCAAGCTCAAGATTCAAACTACCTGTTAATCCCAACACCACTCGAATGAAACTCATCTTCACAACCGAAGTAAAGATCTCATCAAAATTGATGCTTGGTTTCTGAGAAAAACTTATTACCACCAAACGAGTTTTGTACCTCACTAGTTTGTCACCATCATTTTTCAACTTGAACAAACATTTATTCTTCAAGAGCCTCTTCTCTTTTGAAAGTTTAACAAGATCATAAGTACCATTTTTTCATAATGACTATATTTTTTCTTTCATTACTTTTAATTAGTACTTTTTATCTGGAGTAATCTACATATCTTAGAAGCTCTCTGACTCTTTCTCACTGGTAACTAAAATAAAATATAAACTTGAATATCTGGTAGATGGCCTGTGCTCTATAGTACATCTCCTAGGCTGAGACTCTACATCACTTGATGTCGAAGGTAGCTCCTCATACTCAAAACTCTCAAGTATAGAGGATTGCTTCCCCTTGCTCAAAACTAATTACATTTGGCTTATCACTGACTGTGGCTGGCTTATTCATATCTTCAAGTTCTTTTTTTTTTCTCATTTTCACCATTTTGTGGCTCTTTTCAGTAGAACCTCTATCGGTGTTGACACATCACACTCAACAGTAACTCGTGTCGTGTAATTTTTTTATTTTTTTCAAGGTCTATTATAGTTTTTTTTTCATGAAAGACTACATCTCTGCTTCTGAGTGTCTTTCTTTTCATTGGATCTCATACCCTGTAGCTAAATTTCTTATCACTATATCTTACAAACACACATTATGTAGCTTTACTATCAAGTTTTGACCTATGTTCTTTCGGCATATGTATGAATGTTTTATACCCAAAAATTTTCAAATAAAAGTATGAAGGATCTTTCCCTGTCCATACTTTTTCTAAAATGTCAAAGCCCAAAAAATTGATGGTGATCTGTTAAGCAAATAACAAGCTGTATTGACTGTTTCACCCCAAAATGGCTTTGGTAATTTTGTCATTCTCAGCATACATTTAACTTTTTTTACAATGATACGATTCATCCTTTCAGCTACACCATTATGCTACGATATTTCAGGTTCTGTCATCTCATACCTAATCACATGCTTTGAACAGTACTCTTCAAAGTCTTTAAATGTGTATTCTTACCATTATTAATTCGAATACACTTCAAAGATAACCCTGTCATCATTTACACCATAGCATAAAATTTTTAAAATATTACAGTACCTGACTTTTGTATTTCAACATATACACCCGAGTTTTACGTGAGCATCATCAATAAAAGTAATAAAATATCTGTTATCACTTAATGACTTAACCTTAATGGGACCACATACGTCAGAATAAATCAATTCCAATATATTTTTTTTTTGAAAACTCTTACGAAAAGAAACCTTATGATACTTACTAAATAAATAATAATCACATGAATCAAAAGATATACCTTGATCAAGGGAATGAGAGACTGTCTTGTCAAAACCTATAACCTCTTTTTGCTCATGTGCCCCAACCTCTTATGCTATAAGTTTGTTGAAGCATCATCCTCAACGGTATTTACCTGATTGCCATTCAATTACATCCATGTCTTATATATTGTGCAACATAGTTTTTCTCTTGTAACTATCATAGATCTTTGAGAAACTTTCACTGCTCATTCTTTTATCAACTCTCATATCTTTTTTTATCAAAGACATCAATAGCAAGCAAATTCATTCTCATATCCAAAATATGTCTGATATCCCTAAAGTCAACATGCAGCCTATACTAGTTTGTACAATAATATCATCAATTTCAATAATCTGTGACAAACTCTTGTTTTTTATCTTGGTGCAATCAAAGTTTTCTGTTTTGTAAGTTGTAAACAACTCTCTCTTAGAAATACAATGATATACCACTCTTATGTCAACTATCCACTCAATACTGGGATCACCAACATGCTTACAATCATCATGTGTACAAATCAAAGTAATTGAATCACTATATGAATTCACTGTTGCAACATTGCCATCATTCGAACTCTTGACTTTCTCATCTTTTCGCCTTTACTTTAAGATTTTACAATGTCGTTTTATATGACCTACCTTATCACAATGGAAATATTTCACTTTATCTCTGAACTTGGATCTATGTTTAAACTTACTACGATTTTTTTAGTTTTGATCTTTGTCGATGTTTCTACCCCTGTTCTCTATGACAATAGCTTGATTTTCAGTGTCTACATCTTTTCGCTTTGCTCTTCATTAAGCATAATGTCTTTTACCATCTCCAATATTACCTTATAATTAGGAGCTAAATTAAGAACAGTTACAACTAGAGTATTCCAGTTGTCTGACAATAAATCCAAAAAAAAAAAAACACTTTTATTTAATCATCCGTCTTAAGCTCTATAGTAGTCATCAGATTAAATATATCTTAAAAATCATTCAAATGTTTTGTAATCAATTGTCCATCCCTGTATTATAAAATTGTAAGCTTTTTAACAAGCATAACTTTATTCATACTTATTTTTTTCTTATACAATGCTGTCAATTTTTTTTACTTCTTGCACTACATGATGAAATACGGTGATATCAACCCATTTTTTAATTGTAGCCAACGTCTTTCTACCTAACTTCTTTCAATTTTTATCTTTCATATCTGATAGTTTAATCGAATCATCCAATACCGACTCATACAAATCTTTACAATATAGATTATTCTCCATCATAGGCTTCCAAATCGAATAATTTGATGCTGTTAATTTTATCATGGAAACCTATATCGTCCTCTATAATCTCAAACAGAATTTATTTCTGTCCTTGGTTGCTTTTGTATCGATGTTTCAAAATAACTCTTGCTTTAATATCACTTGTTGGACCTAAAGCAATAATCACAATAATACAGAAGCAATATATCGTAATAAATTCACAGTAATAGATAATAATCAATAATAAAAAATACAATAAAAATAAAGCACTCTAAGATTTACGTAAAAAATTTTCAGTGTAGAGAAAAAAATTACAGACCATCAGAAAAATTTTTACTATCAAATAATGAATAAATAATGTTCTTTTTTAGCTAAAATTAAAGCTAATCAATAACTAAAGAGAGATAATTAGAAAATTTCACCAAATAAGTGACTCAACAAATACACCTTGAATTTATTCCTAAAAAACTTCAAACCCGATCTTCACCGCTCAAAATATAAAACTCTAAATCATAAATTCACTAACAACGTTTCAACTCAATCAAACCACAAATCAATTTTCGTTCAATCAACTCTCTTTTTTTTTTTTTTTTTCTTTCTCTTATCACATCTTAAAATAGTCTCACCTTTTTTATTAAATAGCTAGAATACTATATAAAAAAATTATATTATCTTAAAATAGCCTCACTTTTTTTTTTAAATAATTAAGATACAATAAAAAAAAAAAAAATCAAGACCCGTAACCCTTTATTGGTTCAAAATCAATTACATGAAATTACTCCCCGTTTTCCCATGACTTGGGAACAGCAATCAATCAACAGTCCAGACATCACAAAAAAGGCTCCTTCTTTGATAAGGACACAAGAAGGTGGAGTCAGAAAAAGATGGTGGGTGTTTGGATGAGGTGAGAAGATTGGGATGGGAAGGGGTTCGGAGTCGGAGTTGAACGGATGGAGCCGAGCTCGAGGTTTGGTAGTGAAGACTCTAGTGCTAATTGGAGGCGCCATTTTGATCAAGAGATTCACCAAATCTACCACTCGCTGGTACCACGCTAGAATCGTTGTTCGTTCCCTTAGCGGCGAAGAGGTACTTCATTTCATTCTTCTGATTTTTTTTTTGTTTTTGGCTTTTCATTTCATTTTTCGTTGTTGATGGTACTTCTCGAGGGAGCAAGCCTCTAGAGATCCAGATAATTACTTAAACATCAGGTACTATTTGCTTATTCCTTTACTTATTTGTTGAGCTTGATATTACTCAAAGCATTCATCTTTAGTTTATATTGTGATTTATGTTATTTCCAGTAATGGGTATCAGGCTGATGCTTTATATACAGTTATATTTAAGAATTTTATCATTGCAGAACACTTACTTGCCCAGCAGCTGAGAGCGTGGATGGTTCAAAGGTTTTATATTTCGAACAGGTTGGTTCAACTCACTGCCCAGTTAATCTTTCTGTCTCCAAAATTTCAGTTAATATGCATCAATTTACTGGTTTTCACTTGGCTATGCATTTTGAAGGACTCCTCAGAAACCCTTTCGGCAGGTAAGCTATATTGCGAAGAGCTTTGCTGATCGGACAACCTATGACAACTGAAGTTTTAATGAATAATGGACAAACCATAAGTTAAACTCTGTGCTTTTATTCTTTGTGTTTTCCTTTGATCTTTTAGCTATTTTTTTGTGGAACACCTTACCTCATACAGTTCTGACAGTTTTTTGGTTGCAGAGGTTTTTCATGGTGAAGCCTTGCCCAAAAGATCTGAAATGTGATGTTGAGGTTTGTTTCTGATCTGATTTACGATAAGAGATTACCCTGCTGTTGAATTATGTTGTGTTTAGGATTTAAAAGAGAAAAATGAAGCATGCTAGGAAACAATCTCACTTATGTTTGAGGGGTTATGTATTCTGAAACCAAGTATCCTTTATGTTGAGATTTCACATATTTCTTTGATCACCTATTGCCTTCATATGATGCTTTGGTGCTTGCTGGCATTCAGATTTCTAACTTGTATCTTATGGCATAGGTAAGTTCCTATGCAATTAGAGATGTGGAGGAGTACAAGAATTTATGTGATCGCCCAAGGGACCAATGCCCACTACCTGAAGAAGTTATTGGTGTAAGCCTTTTCACATTATTCTCTTTTTGTCCATGCATGCATGAGATAATTTCTTTGATTTTTCTTTGCATTTTGCAGATATTCTCAGTTTTCGGCTTGAATGTTGCTAATGCTAGCTGTTTCTATCATGTCATAGGCTCATAGCTTATATATTATGCTTAGCATCTTTTTTGTTTTTAATCATGAAACAAGTTTTCTTTTCTTTTGCTTTTTAAAGCCAGAAAGTGGTGGATAATCATTAGTAATTTGGCAATAAGAATTCTGCTGCACAAATTTGAGGTGAAGGCCTAGATTTGCATTTGGGCAATGATAATTTTGCATTTTGTTAAATAATATTGTACGGACAGGATATTGCAGAACATCTAACAACTATATATCTCAAACCATGTGGAAGGGGGAAACACTGTTTATATGAAGGTTCAACTCCACCTGGTGGATTCCCGAATTCATGGGTATATTCCTCTCCCTGTCAATCATATTGTCATTACCTTAATTTACTTTATTGCCAACCTTCCAAGGTCAGGATCAGGATATTGACATGATCCAGTTTGCATCAGTCCAGTGTATGGTTATTTAACAAGTAGCTATTACTATTTTTTTTTCTTTGCTGTTCTGCCAGAATGGAGCAACATACTGTACTTCAGAACTTTCAATTTTGAAGAATAATGAGATACATACCTGGGATAGGGGTTATGATGATGATGGAAATCAGGTCATTTTTGACAGTCTTGGTTTTCATTTCACCTTATTTTGCATGAGAATGATGCGAAAGCCTCTATTAAATGTGCTTTCTTTTATGTTTTTTAAAGGTTTGGGGAGTGAAGGAAGGTCCTTATGAGTTCAAATCTGCACCTGCCTCTTGTTTCAATGGCATGTTTTCGCCTCTAAATTTCCCCCCATCACAACCCATGGAGAAAAGGATAGAGGGTTCATTTGTCTTGCAAGAATGATTGACTGTTACATATACTTTTTATAAGCTGTAAATTTTTTAACTCCTTCAAATAAGCTCGAGTGAAGCTCCCTGGCTGTACTGTTGGTTACTATATTTTGCCAATTTTTTTTTTGTCTAGCAATTATAGATACAATGCTGTACACAAGAAAGATTATGCAGTACACATTGAAACCTAAGGCAAGGCACATGAATATGGCATTGCAGGATTCAGGAGTTAAATTTAACGTGTGTGAAGAGTTGCAAGTTGGAAAGTGATGGCAAGAAGTAACCAAAGTCACTTTTTCAACAAAAATTTCATTTTTTCTGCAAAATTGAGTTGATGCATACACATTTTCGGCTGAATCAGATGGTTTAATCAACGGTTCATAATATCTGGCTTCTCCATTGCTATGATTTATGTATACTGTATTTTCATTCAAAATAATGTCGATATTGCAGTTTCAGCTCTTGGGATCCAAGAAAGTAACCAAAGTGGATTAAAATGAAATTCTAAAGATTAAAGTTACAAGAATGGTCCTGCTGCAAACTCTGAAACATTCACAGAATTACTGGCTTTCATTCAGCCTACGATGTAATTGTTGAGGTAAAAGTATAAACCAGCAAGTGCTGCGATTCCAACCACAATGGCAATAGGCAATGCCCTCCTGCATTAGTTCAACATGAAATCAAAGGGTGAGTGATGGAAAAGAAAACAAATGGTTTGGGTTTTCTTTAAAAAAAAAAAAATGCAAAAGCCCATTTTAAGCAGAAACAAAGCAAACAAGTGGCGTAGGGTTAAAGGTACGAAGAAGTGTAGGGTTACCCAACAGCTTCGTCTCTTTTCATTTGTTCTTTTCGTGCCTTTCTAACATCTGTGTCATTAGCATTTCTTGCCACTGCAGGTTGATATGGCCTGAATCTCCTCTTAGGAGCACCACAAACTGCAAGATCCCATTCAAAACATCTTTGTTCTTACCTCAATTTTGCTTCAAGGAAGTTATGTTATTACAGGAAATAATATGCAACAATTGGTTCAACTGAACTGTTTCCTTAACAGGATAACATTGATAAGTAAGGAACCTTATTCTAAAAAGACGCAGGGGCAAGAGGAGATGGGCATATGGCATGGCTCTAGCAAGGCCAAATTACATGGGGAAATACAGTAATTTTGAGTTTAACAGGAGACCAAGTTCTCTTTCTTTCAAGTAAATTCATTTATAAGAGTGAAGATTACCAGGACAAAAATAACTATCAGGTGCTTTCTCAAAGGGAGTCCTCTCATTATATATATACCTGCAACAATCATTATCCAAGAATAAATTCAAGAACCCCATCCATTTCAAGCTATAAATAGTGTAAAGCAACAAAGGCAAAACAAATAAGATAATGAGCTGCACCCGCAATCACGGCAAATATAGGCTTGCTTGGAGGCCACACGCATGTAAATCCTTGGTGCAGTAGTAGCAGTGGGAAGCTGCTGACGAGAAGGAAGCAAGAGGTGGAGTGATGGAGAAAAGAAAGCTGATTTCAAAGCAAAACTATCAAAGGGTGCCCGAAGTCCGACATTGCCTGTAGGAGCAATTGGAGAAGCTGGTCTTAAGGATTTTGTGGGAGCCTGAAGGGCCATTTGCTATTTGCTGTGCTTTCTTCTGCTTTCTCCTTTGCTAACAGCTGCTGCTTTGTGCAATAAGGAACAGAAACGAATGGAAAAGCAGAGTTGAGAAGATAAGAGTGGTAAATTTGTAAAGTGGAAAGCGTGGCTTTCATGCTGCCCACGCAAGCTCTTCCCTACCCTTTTTTTGTTGGATTTTCCTTATCTGGTTTTATGGGTTTTAAGACATTTTTTGATGCCTTATTTTTTATGAAAAGTGGAGTGAAATTCCAGGTTTGCCCTAGCTTTGCATATGTTGATTGGGAAGAAATCAAGATTTGATGAAGGCCCGAAATGAGAGGAAACATCCAAAGGACCCAACGCAAAGGTTTATGTGTGACCATTTTACATTTTAAACATGATATCAAAACAACAAAAAAAAAACCATATTTAACATCTTGACAATAGATACTCGTGTCTACGAATTGCCAATTGTATGACATAATGTTCTTCTATCTTATGAACCACCTAGAAAAGTTTTGACATCAAACTCTACCCACACAAGGTTCATTATTATCCAATAATGATGCAGTTAATTGAATGAACTAAAGATTGGTAAGTCCGGAATTCTGAGAAAACATATTGAATAGTCACAACCCAAAAGCTGAAAAAAAGAGAATTTATATCTAATGCATTTTGGCAGAATTAAGATTTACATTTTGTATCAGCGGCTCAATTATACAGGTAAACCCCTGTAACGTTCAGATGTAGGTCTACAGGGTGGAATGCTGGAAGGTTGTAGGAACCTGATGTTACATTACAAGTGCTAGTGTTACCAAGGTTTCAGGTCGCCAACGAGGCCAGCGGTCCAATGCAAGACCTTTTCACCGGGCTTCAAGTACACGCTCTTGTCATGTGGCAATTTACGTGCAAGTCCATTCAAAACTTGATGGAAAGCATCTCCTGGTTGAGCAGGTTGGGGGAACAACATTGCCTGCTTCATTGAAGGGTTGGCAAGCAGTCTCTGCTTTCTTAATATTACTTCCGGTGGGATAGATGTGAGTATCGTGTCCAAGTTAGGAACATCCTTCTCATCAACAAAAACTCCAATTTCCTCCCACGGAATTGCATCAGCAAAGGGTAGAACAATGTCATCTGCTATAATAACAGGAATGCATCCGAATATCACTGCTTCAACTAATCTAGGACTCCAAGGTGCCCAGCCAAGTGGACACAAACAAAATACAGCTCGTTGCATGTCCTCATAGTAGGTAGTTGGGTGCTCAGTTGAAATGTCAAACAGTGGATTGTCCTTAAAGTTCTCCCATACTGCTGCTCTAGCACCTCTGTATAATTGTTGAACAAGTTGAAGGCAGGTATCTAGGATCAAATTTGTCTTACAGCAAGCATCCATAAATAACTCCACAAATCATCTAAGAAATTTTTAATTGAATCAATTTTAGTTTGACATATGGAATTTCTACATGGTTCTGTATAGTGCTTCTTAAGTAACATGAAAGCAGACCCACTATTCCATTCTCATAATTGCCATGGCGTAACATCTCTAATTAACATGTTTCAGCAACTGTATTTTATCACAATGATTTTTCTTTTGTTTACATCTCCTAAGAAAAATAAAGACCCTTGAACTTTCAAACAGCAGTCTATTAACAATTAAGCTTAGAGAGACATACCTTGCATAGTAACCACCTTCAGGGTCGTTTCCAACATCATAAAACAGTCCACGGAAGTAAACAAAGATGGACCTAGGAGTTTTTTCAGGAATCAGATGTGTTTGCATTTTCTGGGGTGGAGCATATGGTGGAATTGTGATTGAACCCTCTTTCAGGCATACATGATTCCGCTGTCCAAAAGTCTGAACCAATGTGGCACGTTGGAGCAAGGGGAGAATTCCTCTTTCAATGGCTTTCTCCTCCTGCAATAACATATTTGAGTAATTAATGATTATCCCAAATAAAAGATAGGGAGAAAATCATTTTCCAGAAAACAAGAACCAAATAACATTCAGACAAACCTAAAGACAAAAAACCAGTGGGCCACCATAGGATATCATAATAATCAATCCAATCAGTTGAAAATGTGTCACGTATAACTGAGAAGAAAACAGAGTAAGGATAAACACTTACTTGATAATGGAAGCATGCCCCAAAGTCATGTGGCACTAGAAAAAAGTGATCAGCCCCTTCTGTCCTGTTCCAGTAAGGCCAATTCGAAGAAATAAGCTGTATTGCACTTCTCATCATTCGTGGTGACTTAAATGGCAAAGGGAGGCCATTTGGCGTCAGGTCACATGTAGTGTATACAGGAGTGTAAAACCAATCAGCCTCCTCAGGATTGAGGGTTCGAACAGGGCTAGATAAAAGAAACCTATGCATGTAAATCTCAGCTGCAAACATGTGGTTGAGGCATCTTTCGTCCTTCTGCAAAATCTTCTTGTTGTACTTGCTAGGAAGCTCGTAAACAAAAACTTTCAACCTTCCAATTGGATCATCTTCCAAGACATCACCAGCACTGCCTGCAATCCATGAAACCCTATCAAATTAGAAATGGTATGCTCAAATTTCATAGCATGAGAAATTCGATAGTTTAGTAAGACTTTTATTATTTGTGATTTAATAGTGGAACCACAAAATGAAGAGTGTCTGAATGGCAATCCTTGAGGAGCAGGTGTGAAGCACAAATTGGAGATAAAGAAAAATGATATAGTAATTGACAGGATACCTTGGTATGCAACTTCTTAAGAGGAATAAGTAGACCTTCAATTGATAGTAGAGATATGAAAAAGTATAACCCTCGCATCCAACCTCAAAAAATAGGACTCAGCTCCTATATTGAACTTCCTAAAGTGTTTTGATAATATACATGTCGTTGAGAAATACATGGTAAAGGTGTCCAAAATAAATTCTACTGACCAAGGGTGGGTACCTTTCCTATTCTTCAATCTCCTTAAGTGAACATGCATTCATAAATTAGCATGGGGGAGAAGTAATGGAAATGTGTAGATTTGGAAAATGTTTTCCATATTCCATCTCCCCTTTTACTTTATTCTGATGAATAAAATATGGTAAATAACTAAATTTGGAAACCCTTGTAAAAGGAAAAAATTGCTCCCAAACTACAGGCCTTATAAGTGGATCACGCTATATTCATAATAGGATCTCCAATCATTATACAGAGCTGATATAATCCATATGCACTTGACCAGTTTGCTTGGAAAGAATCCCCTAATAATTTCACTTAAAACAGCCCTAAGCAACCGTCAGAATCGAAATTTGATCATTATATTGTTTCTGCCAGCTATTTATCACACATAAGCAATTATGCATAAGACATCATATTCAGACAAACTAAACCTCAAACCAAATATCATACTAAAACATCAGATATCAGAATATTCTCATTTTCTTCGTTTTCTGCTTCTTGCACAATTCTTATACAGCCTGCCACGCGGTTGACTCAAAGAAGATCAATACTACAGTAAGGATGTGCTAAGAGGATTCCGCTATATCAAACGATGCTGCCTCCGTTTTAGCATTATATAGATTAACAGTCCAAACAAAAGTTCATCAATGGCTACATTTCTTCTAAGGTACTAATAGGCAGTTCTATCCCTGTTATCATTGGGACTAACTAATTTTTCACCCTTAGCAACTGTATCCACCTTGACAACATTGTAATTTTTTATGAAAATGGGCACTTTTCTTGGAGAGGAATGCTCAACTACATTGCATGATTGTTGAATACAAAACATTCTAATTGAATAAAAAAAAAAAGCCAGAGGAACCAATTTAAATTCAGAAACCACCAAGCAAACGTCTAATCCAGCTTAAACTTGAAGAAGATCAGAAAAATTCTTCACTACATTAGTTCTTAATAAGTAGAGAAAACCCAACAAAAATTATCAAAATTACACTCCTCAAACTCAGCTAAATGAAGCCTCAGAAAAATATATTAAAGGTTAAATCTTACCTGAAATTCTCTCAGTAGATTGTCTATGACCCTGCTTGAAAGCCTCAATCTTGACAACAAAAGCGGCAAGAAAAAGAATTCCAATAAATACCCATCTCCAAATCTCCATTTTCTCTTCTCAATCTTACTCCTTCAAGACTAAACAAAATCTCTCAAATTTAGCAAAGAATCATAGCTCAAAAGATCAATCCAAGACACAGCTGCACCTGCACCCCCTCCCTAAGAGAAATCAAACAAAAAGAAAAGCAAAACAGTTGTGCTGTCACAAGAACAAGTAGTTAAGAGAGGGAGATTTCTCAAGAATTACTGAGTTTTAAAGGTATGAAAGACATGGGTTTTCTTTGCTTTCTATTGTTAGTTTGACAAAGAAGGTGCATGAGATTTTGGTAGAGAAGGACAAGCAAATTCTGGTCCAACAAAATTCTTCTTTGTTCTTTTTTTTTTTTACCAATAAAAATATTACTGTCGGCATGCAGTACCATGTGATTTGATGAGAAGTCCATTTCCTAGTTACCAGAACCCAGCCACTGGCATCAGCTTTCAAACTGCTTTCCTTTTATTTATATAAGAATATATTATATTAATTATCTAATCAATTTCTTCAACATTTACAACAAATATAATTTGCTGCTGCCGACATAAAATTTTCTACTTTGACCATTTTCTCAGGGTTTTTTTTTTTTTTTTTTTAATTTTCTTTCTGTTTTAGCTGAAAAGGGGAGATGAAGATATAGATAAAGTAATGATTATCGTTTACATATTATTTAAATTTATAAAATTTTTTCAATCATATACATAATAAGTAAAAAAACTTGTAAAAATAGATTAAAAACTAAAAAAAAATGAAAGTTAACCTTAATCCAGTAAATATTATAATATTTTAAAAAACAATGTTGAATAAAAATAAATTTTAATTTCAATACATATAATTTTTTTTATTTTCAATTACTATTTTTTATAAAAAAATTTATTAAACCTTTTTCTCATAAGAATAAAATGATGATTATATTTATTTATTTACTGTATATTTAGAACATACATGGGAAATGAAGGGTTAAGTAATTTATTTGTCTTTAGTTACTGTATTTTTATAGTATATTAGGGAAATGAAAGTTTAAAGATTTGTATTAAGGGTAATTTATGTTTTGACATTTTTTTTTTACATCAGAAGTACCAAAAAAATTTACAATCATAAGTAATTATTATGTTTATAACAATTAAATCTACATAAATAAAAAATAAACTAACAAATTTAGGCTCAATTGATTTTTTTTTTTTTTTTACATATCTTTACTTTTTAATTGTTTTTATAAGGTATCAAATGGTTTGATCACTAATTTGGATCGATCAAAACATGCAAGAATTTAAAATTAATTAAAAAAAATTATTATTAATTTTATTTTTGTTAAGGCAAATATTGAAAATCTAAAATTACTGTTTTTAAATAAATCTAAAATTTTAAAAAAGATTTTAAAACGTGTAACAGTATCACTCTTCTTAAGGTTTTATTTACCTTATCGTATTATTTATTTAATAGGTGTGCAAAAGGGTTATAGATAATAAATCTTGATGATACAATAAAATTCAATGATTAACTGTGTTTTGTACTGATAAAATCAATTCATCAAGCAATCACCGGTATATCACAAAATCAGTAAACTTCTATATAAGTTTTTTACAGCAAAATTTTTATTAAAAAAATTTGGAGTTAAAAAAAAGAAAGAGTTTCAAGAATTATTTCTATCTCTTGTCAAAAAATTAGAGAAACCTTTTATAAACAGATAAGTATTATTTTCTACGAACATAACATTCTATTTTAAATAGATAAAAATTATTTATTTTAAATAATTGAAACTGTTTATTTTGAAGAGACTTATTTATTTGCTTTGAACAAACTTAACTAATTGTTTTTTTTTTTTTTTAACGTGAGATTATTTTTTATATTTTATTTTAAAAATCTTTAACAATTTTAACATAAATTCAAAAGAATATAAATAAATTAAAACAAAAACCCAAATCTAAAATTAATGGATTCTATTGGTTGGTTTTAGTCTTTTAGACTTAAGAGTTTTAGTTAGACCTTTAAATAAAAACACTTAATCCAAATCAAATAAAAAAATTGATTCAAATTAAATTAAATTAGTTGTCATCATTTATTTATATAATTGAAGCAGTTGAAATTAAATTTAAATTATTAAAATTAAGAATTCATCATTTATCAATATAGTATACAGTTGTTGGTCGCATGTATATATATATATATATATTGATTACATTAAGAAGAAAAAATCTTAGTACAAGGAGAAAGAGAGGAGGTCTGATTCGAAATCAGATCTTTGATATTCTCTCAAGCGTCTTTAACAATTAGATTATAGGTTTAAGGGTAAGTCATGTATATATTTTTTATTCTATCAAATATTTGATTTTATCTCTATCAAAATAAGAAAATATTTTATCAAAAAAAAAATCTAAAAAAAAATTAACATATATATAATTAATAATAATTAATTAATGTGCTGAAAGATAGTAAAAAAAATATGCATGCTGCATTGAATACAGAAAATGATCGATACCTAGCAGACATGTGATTCAATCATCACAATCTTAAACGAAAAAGAAAATGAATGAGTGATTAGTAATTAATCTGATGAGCAACCAAAGTCGTTGTTTGGTTTGTATTGATTAGTGTTTTAATTTGTTGTTTAACTTAAAATGTGGGATGTTGGGTTCATTATGTCAAAAGAAAAAAAAGTTATATCATCAGTTATATATAAGAAGAATCGAGTTACACTTGGTGTAAAATAATTTGTTTTATATATATATTTTATAATTTTATGGATAATAACAGAGAGAAAAGAAAAGGAACTGAGAATTATGGTGATGATGATTTCTTCTAATAACATGGATTACTCCGAGGTACTCCAAGGAAACAGGAGAAGAGAGCTTGGAAAGCAATGAAATGGAGAAGGCTAAAATAAGTCTTATGAGAACCCTGGTTAAAAAACAAGATCCTCTTCCAAGGTCTGCTTGCTTTGTTCTCCAATTCTTTCTTTTTTCCTTCCTGTTTAGTTGCAATTCTTGCTGCTATATCCATCTGCAGGAACAAATGATTTGCTTCTTCGGTTTCTTGTCAGTGTTGTTTCTTTGTGTTTTGACCGTTAATTTCCCTTCATCAAAGCTGAATAATTTGAGATTCAGAATCGGTTTTGCAGGAAGTAGATGATTTGACATTCAGACGATTTCTGCGAGCTCGTGACTTGGATGTAGGGAAAACATCTGCCATGTTTCTGCAAGGATCAGACAATAAAGGACGATGCTTACCAATTCTTCTTGCCGCAAGACATTTCCAACATAAAGGTGGTGTGGAAGAATTCAAGCGTACGTTACTTTTTCCAAATTCAAAACACTTCTGATAATTTTGATCTGACTTTGCCCTCAGCATGTTTCTTTATTATTCATTTTAATCTACCATGTCAATGTTCAGGTTTCATAGTCTACGCTTTCCACAAAATATTTGCAAGGTAACCGTTTTTATACAATTTCATGCGGGACATGTGATTTGACAAGGTAATCAGCCTGAAGCAGTAAAAAATTTGGGATTATGGCACCTATTCTGTAGTTTATATTTGATGAAACCATGTTGCTCCAGGATGCCTCCTGGACAAGAGAAATTCGTTGGCATTGGAGATCTTGAAGGTTGGAGATATGCAAACAGCGACATCCGGGCATATCTTGCAGCTCTATTTTTTGTGCAGGTTTAGCTCTTTAACTAAACATGCATATTTGAAAACTGTCCACTTTTTTTTTTTTCTTCTTTCCTGCCCAAACGATCATAGGAAAAAAGATTGGCTATATATCAGTCGCTTATGCCGTGAAAGGCAGGGTTAATCATGTTGGAATATGATTCATATGTGAGTAAAAAATATTGTATTATTAAAAAATTTAAATAAAATATCATGTATACGTACGAATGATCTAATAATTTAAATTTTGAGTTCAAATGATATTTAATATATAAATTTTGAGTTCAAATGATATTCAATATGTATGTATGAGTTTTTTGGTGTGTTCTTATGAGTTTTAAGTGTGATTTATTTTATTAACAATTGGTATCAAACTTAAAACATCACGAGTTCAAAAATCACAAGTTCAAATCTCAATAGTATTGTTGAAGGAAAGATTCTTAATAGATCGAAGGTTAGCCGGTGCTCGAATGCTGTTGATAAGACTTACATAGGAAAACAACGGCCCAAATGAGATCTTAACTTAAACTTTTAAATCCAATCCCACGCGTGTATATATATATATATATAAATTTTTTAATGTATTTTCATAAATTCCAAATGTGATTTATCAATCCTACAGATCAAACGGTAACATAGTTTCTTCTCTGAAAATGACAGGAGTATTACCCCGAAAGACTGGAAAAGTTGTTCACAGTGCATGCACCGTACATATTAATGACCGCATGGGAAATTGTTTACCCTTGAATTATTTGACAACAAATCCAAGAACAAGTTAATCAAACCTGCAATGTATTTAATTTATCTGGTTAGGTTATATGGTAGATTTGACATAAAAGGTTTTGTGTGCTTTTTAAAGATACTGTTCATTGACAACAAAACGCTGAAATAAACCCTGCTTGAAGAAATTGACAAGAGCCAGCTCCAAGAAACATACGGTGGCAAACTGCCATTGGTTCCAATTAATTCATGACTGTTAAAAGATATATGAGCATATATATGTTCACTTTTTCAATGTCCAGCATATATAAAATCGTTGCAAATTCAATTCCAAGTCTGTTAAAAGACGACTTTTAGTAGGATGTAACCTTCTTCATTAAAATGATCTTTATCTATTTCATGATGCCAGTGACATGAAGTAACGTAACGAAACAAGAGACTTCATCTTGAATTAGGTTCCAGGTTTTGAGAAACAATCCATGGATTCAGTTTCAGTGCACAAATTGCATCAGTATTAGATATAGATATAAACAAAGGGTTGTCTTTAACAATTTCGAAAACCAATGAAGCTTTTCGTTACGAAGTAGTATAAAAACAGGAGCCAAATTTCACGTTGTGGCCTGCAGTGTAGGAAGAAAACAGGGCATAACAGAACAAAAACATTTTGGCATTGGCTAAGAAGGGGATGGAAAGAAAGAAAGAACAAAGAAAGTAATAAAGTGATTGAGTACTGTGGGAGGGAGGAGCTGTTAGTGTCCAGCAGACCTATGACGTGTCGTCCTTGGATTGGTCAAACTGAAAGTGACAGCCCGTTTGACCAAAGCTTTTGTTTTCCTTGTTTTATAATTCTGACAAGAAGATAAAGATCTCTCATGGAGTAGGAGCTTGCTTCCTTCTTCACTTACATTCCCACGGTTTGTCTCCTTAATCCAACCACCAATGTGATGTGGATACGTGTCCAGGCAGTGGGGGAGTTTCATGTCTTTGGACCAACTATGTTGGACTTGTTGATGGGAGCAGACAGGTAGAAGAACATCAGATCATGGCTTTGAGAGAAATGGCGTTTGTCTTTTGAAAGTACAAATGGAAACAGTCTTTTTCAAAGAGCTTCGGCAACCGAGTTTCAGCTGAAACACCTGCCATTTTCTGTACTTCTCTGCAATCTTTTACATTGCCAATGAACAGTATAACATTAACTTGATAAAAATAAATAAATGTCTTTTTTTTTTTTTTATACTAGACAACAAAGTTAAATTTGGTTACATAATTTTTCATTGAAATTACCGAGTTAGCCTTTCCAGAGCTTGTTTTAATTGAAGGCTTCAGGTTTTCAGAATTGCAGAAGAAGTAACCCTTTTCAGAAAGCTCCATTGTACCCTATAAGTTTCAACCCTCTTTTTTTTTTCTTGCCTTTGGACTTTGGCTGCAATTGGGAGTGAGAAAGCCTATAATTTCAAATACAAAAAAATATATTTATCTAATGTACTTAATAAATATCAATTCATAAGAAAGAAGTTCATCTGGTTAACCAAATCAAACATAATGAATTCCTTAAATTAAACTGAATTAAAAGGGTTTTTTCTTACAACTTGCTACCTTGAATTCAAACAATTTTGTTTTTTTAATCTAAATTTGACATGAAGATAATTAAGCTCAAAGTATTCGAAACATTTACTAAATTAATGTTGATTATTTATATATGCATGCATAGGGTGACAATAGGTACAAATAATACCATCATATGTACATTGCATTTGCATGTAATTCATTTAATTTGCCTATAATCCATATTAGAAATGTCAAAATAGAAATAGCATTTGATATTATTAGAAATGCTTAATAATATCGCTTAAGATGGAATAAGGAAGTAACTAAGGAAAAATGGACATGACGAGGTGTGTGTGAGAAATTTCAATGGAGAGAAACTTAGAATATGTGCCTAGTATGCCTAGTAAGATTAAGCATTCTTTTTGATTGATTTATGTACTTGATCTTTCAATTACTTATGTATGAGACAAAGCGATAATAAACTTATTAAAATAATTAATAATTGATAAGATGTTTGCATGAAACTTAAAAAAAGTTCACGTAAATAATTATTAATCTCATTTAATAATTTCAAGCAGGTGTAAATCACATTTAGTGATTTTTGATAAATTAAATATGTTGAGACTTAAGTTTCGAATCCGCGTGACTTCGAGTCTTGGGTATTCATTCATCCGGAGTTTTAGATCAACTTACCTATCACGGTTCACATTCTTGTGAGATATTATCCGTTCTAACCCCTTTGACCTCACGATTTTATCATATAAAAGGTATCTCACAAGAAGAGGTAGTGTGAACCCTTTCATACTCCAGTGACCCTCCTATTATGTTCGATGTGGGATTCAGAATTCTTTCTTAGGTCCGTGACATTCTCCTTCACCTAACTTCGTGACGCTTTCGTCACGGAGAGTGGTCATCCTGCCTATTTCTCTCGAGACGCTTGGCGTAAGTCGAACGGTTTAAGACTAGTTCTGATACCATTTGTCACGAGTCGAGACTTAAGCTTTGAATCCGCGTGGCTCCGGGATCCGAGCATTCACTCATCTGATGTATCAGATCAATTTACCTGTCATGGTTCACACCCTTATAAGATATTATCTACTCTGACTTTCTTAATTTTATGATTTTATCCTACAAAAAATACCTCACAAGTCATTAATCAAAAGTTCGTAGGACGTTTAGCAAATCCTTCCTTTAACAACGGATAAGTTATTTTTCTAAAAACAAATGACGTTCTAAGCAATCCAAAGCCATAATTGCATTCACGAAGTTTTAACCATTAAGTGGTTGATTTAGGATTAACAGGATTATTAAAAATGCTTAAAATATATATATTTATAAAGCAAAAGATCCATTGCATGCATAGTATATAATATATGGACATCGGAGAATCTATCATGCAAAAAAAAAGAAGAATATTATTGTTAGAAAACAAAAAAAGAGAAGTATTTTGCTAAAAAAATAGGGGGGGCATTTTGGTACATTGAAAAGTAATGGAATGTTGGAAGTTGATCTTTTGCTCAACGAAATCAGACCAGGCAACTAGAACGAAGTTCAAAACGAAAAATCCATGCTCAACGAGAAAAGTCAAAGGAAACATAATCTGGCAATCCTCAGATCCATCAATGTTACCCTACGGATCTCTCTGGATCACCAATCGGATGGCTCAAAACATTCTAACATAAAAGTCCTAAATCCTTATCTTAATCACCAAAATAATTTGTCCGTACCCACCTTTATGGGATCATTCTGAAAGTGACGTGTCGAGTTACTATTGGCTCATTATACAAAAGCTGATGCAGAGGAACATTAACTGTGAGGGAAAGGGATGGGGAAGCGAAATGACTGTCTCTCACTGGTTACTGGTTAGGTTCCAACAGTCAGGTGCAAGAAAACCAGTCATGGAAGGGTAGTTTGGGGATTCCAAAGTTCTGTCTTTATAGCAACCGACAGGGTCCCCTCGCCAAAAATCATTACAAAAAACTTCATTTTCTTGAGAGAAAAAAAGAGAGTTTGAGAAAGAAATGGACCCTGAGGCCTTCACTACTGGTAGCTTCTTCAAGTGGGACACGAGAGGAGTGGTGGCCCCAACGCCAGCGCGTTTCATGGAAGCAGTGGCATCACCTCAGCCGCAGACGGTTGCTGCAGTTGCGGCTGCTTATATGGGGAGGCCGAGGGAGCTTGGAGGGATAGAGGAGTTCTTTCAAGCTTACGGGGTCAGATACTACACTGCAACAAAGATAACCGAGTTAGGGTTCACTGTAAGTACCCTCTTAGGCATGAAGGAAGAGGAGTTAGATGAGATGATGAATAGCGTCTCGCAGATATTCAGGTGGGAGCTGCTAGTTGGTGAGAGGTATGGGATTAAAGCTGCTGTTAGAGCCGAAAGGAGAAGGCTCGAAGAAGAGGATTCAAGGCGGCGACACTTGGTTTCAGGTGACACCACCAGCTCTCTTGATGCCTTCTCCCAGCAAGGTTAGTTTTAATTAGTTCATTGATATATTACGATTTCTCTTTCGCCTGACGTAATAGAATCTATATAAGACTTGAAAAACAAGTATTATGATTATTATCTATTACTATCATATCCCAGTGACCGTTTTTTGTTCTTTTTCTTTCTTTGATAATATACATAATCTGATGTTCATTTCATGACAGATACTATAAAAAGTAAATGTTCAGCAGCTGTTTTTGAAGCTTTAAACAATCTCATTTTGCTGATCGTTATAGTTTTATGTATATAAAAGTTGGTTTGACGTGAATGGGAAGATTGTTGTGAAGCAAGCTATATAAATTTCCTGGATAGTTTTTGACTTCTGATATTGTAAAAATGAACGTGTTGCTCTTGATTTTATTTTGGCTGGCGCAACAATATCTTAATCTCAAATGGAAGTAGTAGTATTTCTTTTTCTTTTTATTTTCTTTTTTTCTGGGAGGGTTGAAAGAGTGTCATTGGCAGGGTTATCAGAGGAGCCAGTGCAGCAAGAGAAACAGGCGGCAGGGAGCGGTGGAAGGGGCACGTGGGAGATGGTAGTGGCTGGGGGAAAGAAGAAGCAGCGGCGGAGGATGGGGCAGAAGAAGTTGGTAGCAGAAGTTGATCATGAAGATGAATTACAGGGTGGCATTGATGATGAAAATGGTGATGGTGGAGACTACGAGAGACAACGGGAGCACCCTTTCATTGTAACGGAACCCGGTGAGGTAGCTCGGGGCAAAAAGAACGGTCTTGATTACCTCTTCCATCTCTACGAGCAGTGCCGGGAGTTCTTGATTCAAGTCCAAAACATCGCCAAGGACCATGGCGAAAAATGCCCCACCAAGGTAACAAATTTATCCCTTTTTTTTTACTTTCTTACACAACCAAACAAAACAACAAGAATCAAACGCTGACATTGAAATGAAGTTAATCATTAAGGCTCTTAATCGAACAAGAAAGAAAACTCTTCGAAATTTTGTTTCACTAGCAATTGTGAATTTTTTCTTACTGCACGAGGCTTGCCACCTGACTAGCTGTAAAACATGGCTCAGTTAGAATCTTGGAATCGGACCCTCTCAATAAAGCTAGCTGTTCCAAAGAAAATGTGTCAGGTTGGGTACGGAGAGGAGTGGGGTCTGTCTTTTAGCCTTATTTTCGCTGTCAGGATGGGTTTAAGTGGTATGTCCCCCGTATGACAGCTGCACCATTTTTAACGACGTTTTCAGAACCAAGTCCTTTGCATTTTGGATCCTAACATGTCTTGAACCCCATGAAAAATACTCTATAAAGTCGAAACAAAAGGATTGGACACTACTATTTGTCTCTGAATTCAAAGACCCAAATTCCGGTAATCAATGTAATGGGTAGAATTTTTATACAGGTGACCAATCAAGTTTTCAGGTATGCTAAGAAGGCTGGAGCAAGGTACATTAACAAGCCCAAAATGCGACACTACGTGCACTGCTATGCGCTGCATTGCCTTGACGAGGACGCATCGAATGCGCTGAGAAGAGTTTTCAAGGAGAGAGGAGAGAATGTTGGGGCGTGGAGACAGGCCTGCTACAAGCCACTCGTGGCCATAGCCGGGCGCCAGGGCTGGGATATTGATGCAATTTTCAACGCACATCCCCGTCTTGCTATTTGGTATGTGCCAACCAAGCTTCGACAACTTTGTCACGCCGCACGCCACAGTGCCGCCGCTTCAAGATCCATTTCTGGCGGACCTGATCAAATGGCCTTCTAAAGCTTTGATGTCACAGCCAATTCTGCAATTTGCTTATTTCGAGACTGAGAGAGAGCTAATTACCTTGGCGTAAGTTTCTTTTGAAAAAAAAAAAAAACCTATGTAGCTGTTATATTATGTACGGCAAGTCCTATTTGAATCACAAACATGACAATTAATATAGTTGCCTAATCTTTAATTTTTAGTTTAAGCAGATTGTATAATGTATATCGTGCATTATTCCGAACTGATTAGACGGGGAGGTTATATCGCAAATTTCAGTCATAACTTACATTACATTTACATATCGCTTCTCATACAAAATTACTGATTATGAAACTCTTAACTTATGCCTTCAGAAAACAAAAAATAAAAAACTAGAAGGAAATAGCTTCCCTTGTGTGCTTTGCCCAACGTTATAAAATCACAACCAATTCAGATAGGAGAATCAATTCACATTCATAAAACCTATTGGGATCATTCATCATCCACCACAGATGGAGTGGAATGCTCTCACATTATAGCAGTATTATTATCATATAGACCAACTGAGTACACCTGTTTATGCGCCCCCAAAAATGGGGAATAAGGAATTCAAGAGGAAACTCTGATACCCAATGTTCTTCACATTAGTCTACAATTGTTTTCAGAACCAACAGATTCGTCCCTGGTTGATTCCTAGGTGATGCTTTTACAACCCATTGCGGACACTGGACATAACAAAGAATGTGCTTTCAGCCGAGCGGTCAAGCCAGCAGACAGTCGGGACGGCAAAGTTTTTGTTGACCTGATCATCTTCAATCCAACGTGATAATGCAATATATCCATCTGTTGTCTCTCAAGATGCATGATACACGACTTCGATACAACATGACTCATAGAAGGAAAAACCATGATGGCAATTGACAAGAGGCAAACTCAAGGTGTGAAACCGAAAACAGAAAAAATAATTTTGATACGTACAATGCTTTACAATCAAGTGCTTGGTTTAATATCTCTGCTTCGCATGTGGGTCAAAAATTGTGTAGGTAATTCTGCTAGAAGTGCTTGAACAACAGAAATTTCACCGCCTGCAATTGAAAGGATTGGTATATCCCAAACTATAAATAATTTCCGAAGCACTTTAATCAGTTTTCACATAGTACCATCGGAGTGAGTAGACGTCTTACTTTGTACATCCCTAAATGGAACAAATTGAACAATATCACGTGAAGCCACACGTCCAGTCGAGCTTTCGAGTTTTTCCCCCTTGTCCGCATCTAAAATCTGTAAAAGAGATTTGGTTACTTAATAAACCAATTGATTCTTCTCATCAAGTGCCGCCAAGAAAAAGATAAATTAGGAAGAGATCATTCCCCCTCGAATGGATATAAAAGGGTATAAGTAGCAAGTACCTCCATTTCTTTGAAGTCAGCTCCTCCAACTCCAACAATGAGGATCGACAATGGGAGATCTGATGCTTTTACTATGGCATCTTTGGTTTCTTGGAGATCCGTTACTACCCCATCCTAGAGCAACATTAACAAGTATAAGAGTTAGAGCCAAAATTTGCTTAGTATGTCCCTCAAATAGAGAAATCCAGGACAAGATCACAAAAAGAAATATAAAAAGGTATGAATGTTGGCTACAAATACCAATTACATACATGTTCACAAAAGTTTATATAAACTTCAGCTTGAGCTAGGAAAACCCATCCCTTTCTTTTTTATATCTTACCGTGATTATCAATAAAACAAAGTATTTTCGAGCTTCATTGGCAATAGATTGGCTGGCAATTAATGCAGCTTTGTTAATCACATGTCCAAATAGTGTTGGCCCTGCAAGAGAAACATTAAAAAGGGCACTGGTATAGGCCATCATAATTCCTTGGATTCCTTCAACCTGAGAGATAATGATATTTGGTTAATATCAGGGCCAAGAGAGTAAGAGATAAGAGCATACGAGGTACTGAAAATAGATTTATGTTAGCAACTACTCACCCCACAGTAGTCACTACTTCCATTCAAGTTGAAACAATGAGAAACTGGACCATCAATGGGCCGTGCACCAAATCCCCAGGCAGGAAATCGCTTGTCTGTATCATAAAACTGCAATACCTCTCCAACCTCGTAGATTGCCTGCGTGAAAAGATACATTAACATTTGCTTGGGCTCTCGAAAAAAAAGAAAGGGAGAGGACATCCATTTCTTACTTTCTGATATGCATTCAGCCGTCCTGATGGATCAATATAATGCAAGGAATCGGGGAGGCGGGGATTTCCATTCGAAGCTGATAGACCAGAATTAAGAAATAAAATGTGTATAACCTATTGCATGTTTGCAAAACAGCACATGCAGCATGATGCCTTCCACATGTATCCATATGACTTTAACAGTTTCAAAGTTATATAAAGCAAATTCTAAGGTCTTAAGATGCAGAAATGCAGCATAGTTCAAAACTTAGACCTATATATGCAAGGCATGTTTTAGGCAATTGATTCTAAACAACTTGTTAAATTAGGGGAAAAGGAAACAGAAAAGAAACAAGAAGGGATAATAGATGTAACAATTTTCGTACTCTCAAAAATTGTTTGTTTAATTCACTATTATATTTTTAATCCAAAATGTTCACTATAGTCCAGATTTTATGTTTATACTGGTCCCCCAATTAACATAATTAAAGATGTGGCATGTTTTGCCGTTAAAGTTAATAAGAAAAGACTGAAAAAAAGAATTGGCTAATCAACATAAAGGACAGCAATTGGTCGAATTTCAGAGGGGGCCATATGTAATAACGGCAAGTACTTTGGGTAAATAAAGCATTTGGATCTCACCGTAATTCGGCCAGTGGGACTCCAACATGTCAAATATTAGCCATATCTTATTCCAATCCCATATAAACTTAAACAGCAAAGCATGGAATATTATCAGAGGACTTAACTGTGAGATCAATCTGAAATTTGAATATAAATTTGGCATTAAGGGACAGTTTATAGGGACTTTTCATCATGATAATGATGATTATACAAGGATTTAGTTGAACAATTGCTGAAAGTACAAAGACCATCAGTACCACTATCCCCATCAAGAATGATATGATGATGATACAAGAATTTGAATTAACAATTTCTGAAATAAGAACATGCGTGTTACTTTTCCAACCAAGCATATCATAAAGACTTAACCAAGGAATACACAAAAACACAATGAAAAAGCCAGAAATAAAGATCTTTTGAAATTCTGAACATAAATATGATAAAAATCTCCATGTTGCAAGATGCAGTGAAATGCAAAGAGAGTGTCCCAGTGCCCGGCATGCATGAAAGTAGGCATGAAAGATTATCAAAAATCTTGATGTGCACAATTATGCCTCTGTGCATCACGGCAGAATTAAACTTTTAGCATCAGAGATTGACATGTTAAAAGGATGCACACGGCTCAAATGCAAATAGGAAGCAAGACCAAGACAAACAAAATTTGAATTCCCCGCATGATGACTGACAACCTGACTTGATGCTTTGACCTCCTAAAAGTTATTAAAAAGAAAGTAACCACATCAATACGAAAAATTCCGTCTGTGGTACAAGTAAACAGGAAAATACCAGTGAAATCAATAGCCACCATAAAGTTGAGCTCAAAACCCCCAGCCAAGTAATCAAGGAAGGTATGTTGGACAGTTTCAGAGAATTTTTCCACAAAAAGCTTGCTTCTTAACATCTGTAACAAAGTTAGCAGATCAGTAAAATAAAGCTAAGTGAAAGAAAAATTCATTATGCAATTAATTCCAGTCCATGTAGTTAAACCTTGTTATGGTAATCATGCCCAACCAGTGTTGGCAAAAATAAATTTTCTCCTTCCCTTCCAGAATGAAGCTTTTCCAAATCTGCTAGTGACTTCTGGACTTTTCTGATAAAACCCAAAAAAAAAAAAATGAAGCTGTATCAGGCAAGTGTCCAAAGGAAAAGGAAAAAGGAAAATAAGATCTATAATTACCCAATCAGATCGTGCTTGCCATTGCCGTTGAAGTCAAAGCACTCTATCACTAATGGACTATCCTACAAGTTTATTTAGAAAATGACATTCATAAAACAAGCAAGAAACAAAAACAATAAGGGCTAACTTATCGATAAATGCTCAACATCAATGACGAAAACATCTGCTCATGTTAAGCAGACACCTGCACATTTATATAGCTGATAGTAATTCATAGGCAGCCCAGTAATAATAACCAATTCAACAGTTAAAAGAGCTCTGACTTTTGAGCAATATCAGGATTACTAGCAGGAAGGATGAATAAACTTATTGAAAGGAAAATGGTTGTTTTCCTGTAAGGCCTGAATGGCCAATATTAGACATTTTGCACTGCCATGTAACGAATTACGGAAATAGTAGCTCTTGTTATAAAGTACGAACAAAAACTTGCTATACCTTGCTTCCGACTTGTTGAATATTCAGAAACACTGGCTTCCATATTGGGTTGAGATCATTCTTTAAGACTTCAGTTTTACAAACAGGAATAGAAATCCCACTCTCCACAATTTTTGATATTACCAAAAAGGGGTCCTGAAAGATAAGTACAGAAGGGCACCGAAAGATAACTAATATTCCTGATAAAATGTAACAAAAAGTAAGAGAACTTGAAATCAGCAGTGCATACACTTTTTGAGAAGATATCCTTGGATTCCAAATCTAAACACCTTAACATCATCTCTACTGTAGTCTTTGAGCTAAAGCATTCTTCAGCATGCACAGTAAGCTTTCCACGGTGTTGGGAATGGGTTGATGAGACAGATTCCTCTCTACGTATAAGATCCAAGGTTAATGACCCGTTTGGTTTGGTTACAATCTGCAGATGTAGAAACAATTATTTGATGAGTAACTATATCAAAATTTGTAATTTAACAAAATGAAAGCAAAACAGCAAGGGAAGACCCCTCAATTTTATTTTAAATCTAGGTGTTTTCAACTAAACTAAGGCACTTCGGCTCAATTACATTATAATACATCTTTGCATTCAAATACCCAGCTAACAGGGACAGGAACCGGAGAAGGAAAGACATAACTAAGAAGATATTTATGCTATACCTCTGACAATGCACAACTTGCCTCACCAAGAGATTGCTGCTCCTCCAGCTTCAGCATCTGTGCAGAAGTGAAAGCAAGCATCAACTAAAGATTTAATGTTTGTATGCTCTATTATGCGAGTGACATGAGGAGGAATTGTTGTACATCTTGTTCGTTGACAAAGTCAAATCATATTTCTAAATGACCGAAGTGTAAATAAGCATGTTAATAAATTATAACTTCAGAGCAAACAAATCCTAAACAACTAAAAAAAAAGACATATAATATATCAAAAACAAAGTATACATATTTCCTCCAAGTTTGTCAGCACATAAACTAAGCTATTTAAAAAGGGAGGTGAAGGAGGGGGGAGGCACAAGAAAAAGGCAACATTACTCAAATATACCTTTACTTCGATATTGTGAAACTGACTGTCAACATCAAAGACATGAAACCTGTAATCAAGTGTGATCCAACAAATTAAATTACAGTGAAACAAATCAAATCATTTTGCTGACCAAAAAAAAGATAGGTAGTACAGAACTTACAGCAAGGTTTGGACAACCTCAAAATGATAAGTAATTGTATACTTTGTGATCCATGTAGGACTCAATGAATTGAGAACTACTTCAGTACGAAATACTTCTGCAATTGCTCCATCTATATCTTTAATATAAACCACCAGCATCGGATCACTCTAAAACAAACAAAACTTATGAGATATCAAGCTAAGATTTCTGCAACCAAAGTACAGTTCTCATGACTAAAGAATAAAGCATGGCAGTAAAGTAAATAAAAGTTAATGGTTGATACAAAAGCTTTGAAAATGTTGTAAGAGCCAACTGAGCATTCAAACTAAAGCTAAGCAGAAGCTTACTTTTCATTTATTATAGATTTTTAAATCTTTCCCTATCACAGAATTTTTCTTGTAATATCATGGTATGAACTTAAGATGCAATTAAAATGATGGTAGTAATCCTAGAATTGGTGACATGATTCTTGGATTCATTAAGCTCATATTCCTAAGATGTTTAAGAGCCTTTTCTTGATCAGTTTGGATATGGGGTTAATAAAGGAGTTCTTTAAGTACTTCACATTATGTGAATGTCTCAAATATTTCATCCTAGAAACATGGCATTATCTGTAACCTTTGGTCATACTACTAACAGTGACTCACACAAGAACACACCATTCCCTTCTCTACAAGATGAGCTAGCATCTATTTACAGGTTGCATTAAATGCACCATTTAAACTATCTATATGGCGTCTAAGTTTCAATTTAATGACAAAGACCTTCTCTGTACAGAGTGACTTCTCACGATCTCACCTTCAAGTCCCTCATCCGTACGTCCCAATTCTTATCTCCTAATTCCACTTATTCAAAGGCATCATTAAGTCATCCAACATTGAAAAGACCCTCCACAAATTCTAATACCAGCTATCAACTAATGCAACCAAAATTTATCCCTTAAGCATAGAACTTCCATAAGTAAGTTTTAATGAATCATGGGCAATAATTTTAATTCTAACAACAAAGTCAAATATGGTACTGCAAAAATACAGCAATGAATTCCATAACTACAACATTGTTTGTAAAGCAAATAAGCTAGGGTCGATCTTTGCAGCATATTAAAATACGAACATACCTTGGAGAACACATCCCGGTCTCGCAAATTTGTAGCAGAAAATGATAACTGCATAACAATGTTTTTACATAGAAGAGTCAATGCAACAGCAGACAGTTTGCAAAAAAAAAAAAAAAAAACAATTTTCACAAAATTTAGATAAAACTAAACAGACACCAGCTTATGCAATCAATACTGATTAAAATCAAAGACTCCAAATTAGACCTGACAATTCATGTATTCTGATGTTGTGAAATATAAAAATTCGTATATATGTGACGTGTTTTATACAAAAATTATGTCACAATTCATGCCTATATAAAAGCATAAAATACATTTTTTTTTATTTTGTTAAACTTATATATAGTAATTATTAAAATTTTAAACCGTGTATCTATTTTTTGAATTGTGTTCGTGTGTGTAACCTCGTATTTTAGATTGACAGGTCTACTCCAAATCACTTATCCAAAAAAGATCAGAGACTCCAAATCTAAATATGAATTTAAACCTAGAAATTTCTAGTTTCTGAATTTGAAAAATATTATCAAATTAAGCCGTAAAAAGCTGCGTTAAACCTATTAGTCAATCATCTACTCTTACTCAGTAACAAGCTGAATTCGACCGTTCATTATAAGGCACAACTAGGCATTTTAGACATTATCACTAGAGTAACTGAAGAGAAACGAAAAAGAAAACCTCAATCTGAGAGAAGAGGCCGTGGAAGCCACGAGACTTTAAGTAGTTGTCGACGGCGTCGTTTTGATTGCCGGTGGCGGCGGAGGCCGCGGTGCCACCAACAGCCGCCATACTGCCGCCGACGTCGGAGAAGCAATTTCCCATCTCTAACTGTACTCACGGACTCTGTTTTTCAACTCGAAAAACGATACATATGCATGAGAAAAAAATAGGAAATAAAAAATGTGGAGACAAAAATCACTTTATAATGAGATTTCAAGTTCTTCAACAGTGTTAAGAAATGGGCAAATGGCCCACGTTTTCTTTAGTATCGCCGTCCATTTTCCAAAATCCAAATCAGCAACGGAAAACGCGTTGCTGAGAGCGCGTTTCGTTCGTTGTCATAACTTATAAAGCAACGGTAGCCAAAAAAGGAAAGTTGGGGCCAATTTACAATCAATCAAATTCGCTTTGATATCAATAGATAATTGATTTAATTGATTAAAATTATTTTTATCGATGAAAAAATTTTAAGTTTAAATTTTATCAATAATTATTTATTAAAATTATTTCGAATATACGATCTGTAACTATTTATTTTAAGTTGTTGAATTTAAGTCTTACTGATAATTATTTATTGATATCATTTCGAATATACGACTTACAATCACTTATTTTAAATTATTAAATATGATACATCTTACTCTAATTTAACGGACTGAATAATCTATTTACTTTTAAATTTTTTTCTTATAAAAAAAAATTCACTTTGTTGAATTTTTTTTATTCGATATTATCATGAATTAATATCACATAATTGAAATTAAAATTTTAATATTTCTTCCGTTCTAATTGATTTATCTTATATTGATTTTCACAAAAAAAAATTTAATACATTAAAATTTAAAAAATTTTATAAAATTAAATTTTCATAATTTTTAATGTTAAAAAGTAAAAAAAATATCATAAATTATAATTTTAATATATCAAATGCAAAAAGCCCTTGGATGCTATGGAGGATAAGAGAGAGAAAAAAGAGGAATTAAATCTGATAATTTTTATATTTATAACGTATAAAATATTAATAATTTATATGTTTATATTAAGTTTTATATAAAAATTATATATTATAATTTATATTAAAATAAAATTATAAAATATTTTTATTTTATTAATTTTAGTTATAATTTTTGTTTAAATTTTAGTTATTTTTATAATTTTTATTCATATTATTCATATATTATTTTTAAAATATAAAAAAAAGTTTTAGATATAAAAAATATGATATAATTTTAAGAAATAAAAAAGACAAAAATAGTATTTTATCAATGAAATTAAAATTCTAATATTTTATTAATAAATTATATAATTACTGATTACTTTAATGAATTAAAGTAAGATAACGATATGGAAAGTTTAAAATAACGTTTTTTTAATTTAAAAAAAACATTACTTATAAGAATACAACTTTTTGGTAACATGAATTATATATATATATATATATTATTAAATGTATTAATATTGAAATTTTTTAATTTTACAAACAAAATTAAAATGATAATATATGTCTTATTTTTTAAAATTAATTTTTTTTATTTTTTAAATATGCACTAAAAATATGTCACAATTTTAAAATAAAAAAATTTTAAATTATAATATTTGGTGAGACACAATGCCTTAATCTATCAAATGCAAAGAGCCCTCGAATGCTATTGAGGACAAGAGAGAGACAAAAGGAGTAAACTAAATCTGATAATTTTTATATTTGTAACGTATAAAATATTAACAATTTATATGTTTATATTATATTTTATATAAAAATTATATATTATAATTTATATTAAAATAAAATTATAAAATATTTTTATTTTATTAATTTTATTTATAATTTTTGTTTAAATTTTAGTTATTTTTATAATTTTTATTTATATTATTTTTATATCCTTATTATACTACCAAAAAAAGCCATCACGATTGACGGTGCAGCACTTTGGAATCGAGAACCGAGTAGTGGAAAGCAAACACAATACATTTTTCAGGCTAGACTCTAGTCCAGAGGCATGAAAGCCAATTCCAAAGAGATTATCTGATGTTTTCATAAAAATAAAAAATAAAAAAAGGGTTCATGGAGACAACGAGCCCAAAGGTCAAGAGGTCAATCACTAGAAGTAGGAATGGTGGTGGGGTAGTGGTAGTGGTATGGATGATGCCGACCATGCAAATAGACGCAAGGCCCATTATCTCCTTGCTACCCTTCAGCCAAGACACACCCAATTTGTTGAAAACAATCAAATACAGTACTTAATAATCAGATTCCACATCATAGAAAATCCAGTTTGAAGTTCATGGCAATCAAAACTGGACTACTAAAGAGAGTGAGGGAAAAAGATTCGTACTTCTGAAGCTATGATCAACCTGCGCTAGGTAATATGGTCAACTAAATTGGTGACAAAGCTTCACAACAAAATTAAGACTGTAAATGAATCGAATCGAACTAAACCAAGCATCTTTCTGTTCAAGTTTAATTTGATTAGTAATAAACAAACTTATAAATGAACGTGCTCTTAACGAACTCCACAATATATGTTCGAGCTTGATTTGTCTATTTTCAATCAACTTTAACCAAACATAAATGAGCTTCAATTTTAAGTTTCAAATTCGAATTTTTAACTCATTATTATCGAAAAATCACAATATTCACAATTAACTGTTGATTTTATTAAACAAATGATCAGTGGATTGTGAAAATTTATAAGTTTTACTCGACTTATTTTGATTTTTAAGCGATGTGGGATTCATTTGAATAGTAACATAAGTCTAGCAGAGTAAAAGGAAGGGCTTAACTCATTTTTTGTTTTGATTCGTAATTGATGTGTGGTTAATCAAGGTGTTTATAATCAAAAACACTTTTAATAATCTAATTCAATTTTTATGAGGTGATTATTCAATGTATTTTTTTCAAAAACGCTTTAGAATAATTTTCAATTTTTAGGATTTAGAATTTATGATTTAAAAGATTATTTAAGTCGTTTTATAAGCAAAAATACCTTAAACAATTCCAAAAAAATTTTGAAAAGGATTATTCATGACGTTTTTGACCAAAAATCCCTTGAATAATCTTTTACAAAAAATTTAATAAGATTATTCAAAGTATTTATAGCGAAAAACGCTTTCAATAATCTACTTCAATAGGGTTATTCAAAGTATTTATGACCAAAAATACATTGAATAATTCTTAATTTTAGGGTTTAAGGGATTATTCAAGAGATTTTTTTTTAGAAAAACATCTTGAATAATCCCCAAAAAAATTTTAGAGGGGATTATTTAAGGCTTTTTTACCATAAACGTCTTGAATAATCTTTTACAAAAAATTTAATGGTGTTATTTAAGACATTTATAGTCAAAATACTTTTAATAATCCACTTTAATTTTTATAACAAGATTATTCAAGACGTTTTTGATAAAAAGACCTTGAACAATCTTCAATTTTTAGGGTTTAGTAGATTATTTAAGACGTTTTCTGACAAAAAATAACATGAATAATAAAAAAAATGAAGGAATTATTCAAAACATTTTCTAAGAAAAACGTATTGAATAATCTCCAAACAAAAAATAGAGTGAATTATTCAAAACGTTTTTAATCAAAAACACATCAAATAATCCTCTAGTAAAAAAATTAAAGGCTAATAACCAAAATTTTCACGAACTTTAAACGAGCTTATTCGCTTATATAAACAAATTGAACAGACCTCTGTTCATATTCGGTTCGTTTAACAAACGAACATAAAAATGTTATTCAAGATTATTTGTTACGCTTAATAAATTAATGGAAACTGAACATGTTCACAAATAATTTGTCGAAAATTTTGTTCATTTACACCCTTAACAAAATCAAAATGTTTACTAAAATAATCAGCCAAGGTAGTCAGCATTTTGCCACTTAAATCTATTACAATACACTAAATCTTATTTCTCATACTCTATGATCGACTATATAAAAAACCAAATAAAAAATTAAGTTTTTGTTTGAATTACCCCTATGGACTACCTTCTTTGCTCGTGTTCGTCCACCAAAACAAGAGAATCCTTATCTATTTGACACCGCATCCAGGCGGCGATGCAACGTGTCACTTTCGGGGGATGAATTAGCAACTCTTGCACATTTAACACTCCATTCGAGCTTTGATGTAACGCGTCGTTGGGAGGCAACAACCCAATGAGAATTTTTGTTTCGGTCGAGGATGACCTAGCAACCCTTGCATATTAAACACTACATCCAAGTTTTGATGTAGCACATCGTTGGGAGGTAGCACATCGTTGGGAGGCAACAACCCAACGAGAATTTTTGCTTTGGTCTGGGATAACCTAGCAACCCTTGCATATTTAACACTACATGCAGGCTCTGATGTAGTGTGTCACTGGGAGGCGACGACCCAACAAGAATTTTTGTTTTGGTCTTTCCTCATAGTTTGACTATATTTTACACTACTTGTCAACAAAAATGCTTGGGACCGGCAGTGCGCGGAGTTAAAATATTATTAAAGGGCCCAACCGAATTAAACACTCCATCCTGGCTTTGATGTAGCACGTCGTTGGGAGGAAACAACCCAATGAGAATTTTTGTTTTGGTCTGGGATGACCTAGCAACCCTTGCATATTTAACATTACATCCAGGCTCTGATGTAGCGCATCGCTGGGAGGCGACGACCCAACAAGAATTCTTGTTTTAGTCTTTCTTCATAGTTTGACTATATTTTGTAGTGCCTGTCAAGGAGAATGCTTGGGACTGGCAGTGTGACAACACATATGCGGAGTTAAAATATTTATAAAGGGCCCAACCGGATTCAAACCGGTGACCACTTGATCTGCAGTCAAATGCTCTACCACTGAGCTATGAACCCTTTGATAGTAATACTGGGTACAGATCAGATTTCTCCACTTACCGTACTGTTGAATGTATCATTTATCCTAGTATAGTACCATTCAATCAAAAGTGGGCTTCCAGTTTAAGCTCAAAAGTTTTCCTTTATTTTGGGTATTTACTAGGTATCATAATAAAGTGACAGACTATCAACATTACTAACTTTAATTCACCTTGCAGAACAATAAAAGCCATGGTAAACAACAATACCTTGCATGGTCACTAAAATTTCATATGCATCTTGCAGATTCGAGGTAACATCATTTCACTTTATAAGTCAATGATGAACTGGAGCTGCTCCGGCATATGGATATAAGCAAGGGGAGGAGTCCCATTCGCCACTTCAGCTACTGCCATTGTTGGCATATAAGACAATACTGACGGTGTTACATGAGGAGCAGCAGGTGATGGGTTGGAATTATAGTACGGGATAACACTCTCCTGCTGCTGAACAGTTTCCCCCTCTCTGTGTAATGGTAACTGATACATATTGCCCATGCCAAGCTGTTGATTAATACCCATTGTCCCATCGCTACATTTGCAGCAAAACATGAAACATTAGATTTAAAAAAAAATTGCAATATGCTTGGCAAAAACTAAATAGCATCGGAATAGTAAGAAAGCAGTTGGATATGTGGATTCCCATCTGTGGATTTAGGTCTAAGAGTCACACTGCTGTACAAATTTTACTTACAATGTAATTAAGGATGGTCATACATACTTGGCAAAAAAAAAAAAAGAAATCAAATTCTTACATAAAATTCTTTTATTAAGCAAAGATTCTTTTATAAAATTCTTTTAATAAGCAACAAATTTTTTAAAAGAGTTCATTCATGGTCAGAGGTGCATATTTTCACAGAAAACAAATTTCTTCTGTAGCAGAGAAAGGTGCTTATCAGAGCCACAAATTTTTGGCAAAAATGAATAAAAAAAGATGCCACAAACTTGTTTTAATTAACCAAAATGATTTCTCAGTAACAGTAACCAACCAAAAACACTTGTCTTCAAGTCCAAAGATTCAACTCCTAAATAATAACACATCCATTAAAAGGGAAAGGCACCTGTTATATTGGTCTGGCACAGTTTGGTTAGGGTTTCCAGCTGCATATGGCTGCTGAACTTCTGCCAAAAAATATTAATAATTTGATGTTGGCAAAACTCGTGTTACCATAGTTGGATGGGAATGGCCTATGTTTGTAGTGGATCCAAAATAATGCTGCTGTGGAGAAGGGACACTCCGTAGAATATTCTGAGGCTCTGAAACCGGTTGGACATAACTGAGTTGCAACCCAGTTACATTTGGATCCACTGGATGGACATAGCCCATGCCTCGCTGAAGCCCTGTCTGCTGAACCTGTTGAGACTCTAAGACTTGCACACATGAATCCTTGGGAAATGGTAGCCCTGATTGATTTTGCACAGCTTGAAGTACATCGGCTGCAGATAACCAGGTGCTGGCACTGTCAAAGGATGAAACAATGACAATTGACTCGCCACCTGCACCATGGTATAATGCTATTTAGTGAAAAAGGAGCATGAAGAAAAAAATTACAGGTAAAAGAAAACGTTGCATGCATCCATCTCACCTGCTGCTTGTTGAGTTCTTGCTTGAACTTGAAGCCCTTCTGGTAGTTATGTTCAATGGCATGTCTAAAACAACTGTCACACAAAGGTAAACAATCCCTATAGATCTTAAACCTCACCTGAAAAAGCAATATGTGCATGAGAAATGGAATAACAAACTGGAAAATCATCTAACTAGAATGAAGTAGGGCCTTATGCTTCCTGTCAATTAGAAAAACATGTAAGCATCAAGTAGGATTGAATCTCATTTGTGCATATATGGACTTCTTCTAGATAGACCTAAAACAATCTTAAAGACCATTTCATAAGGGCAAAAGGGACTTCTAGAGCTTCAAATTCATATATGGCTTTCCAATAGCATTAATGAGAATGCTACCAGCAAAAAAAGAGCAGGCTATTAGCATTACAACAACAAAAATCAGAAGAATAACACCTTGAGCAAGGTAAATGCTAATACCTATCAATGGTTTGTTGCAATCCATATTCCTCTAGTCATTGAACTAAGTTCTACAAGCCTATTTCCCATGAATCATTGGTGTTATGCCATGTAGGCTTCATTCTAAAGTCTTTTTGAGTGTGCTGACCACCCAGAGTACTGATGTCCATGCAGCCAAAATATTTGTTTATGTTGATTTCTCAAGGGCAATGCACGTCAACAATTGGGATAATGGTTGTAACAAACAATAAAGATTTCGGATTATATTTGAAAAATATAAAGGCAATATAAACATGTCATAGCCTTGTCCTCCTAGGTGTCTCTATATGTGAAAGAGAAAGTAGAAACTAGCAAGAAATTTAGAAAAGTGATTTCATGGCATGTCTGTCCCAACTTTATGGAGGCCTATACGAGTGACAGCTACCCGATGCCTTCGACTATGGAAGAACAAGCCAAGTTATGGGATAGAAAAAATCACAGGGGAACTGCATAATGCTACCAAAAACCCTTCCAAAAAGTATCCAAGAATGGATCTCAGATGCCAACCATGAAGGTGGTCTTAAACATGTAAACCTTTAAGCTAAAGGCATAAGATTACTTGCCTGGGCAGGAAACCTGCCATTGAAAGCAGTTTGTTCCAGGTTCAATGTTCCAACAGAGGTTGCCTCGTATATGCCATAGAGAAGCTTCAATTCAAAATCAAATAGAAAAAGCTTCATGCCTGGCTTGATTTTCTCAACAACCTCCAATCGTCCAACAGGAAGACCAAAAACACGGTACCTGTAGCACTGTGGTTTTTGTTCTTCCATTGCACATAAATATAAAGCCTGAAAGCTGCTCCTGATCATTCTCATCGATTTCTTTTGCCTGCATGGCAATATCATTGCAATGAGCAGCAAGACCTTGCGCAATCTCAGACGAACAGGTAACTGCAGGAACAATAGCATGAGATGCTTGGCTCTTTAATGCCATTTTATTGGCATCTAGCAATTGCCTCTTCTCTATCCAGGGACAGGGCTGTCAAAATAGAAGAAATTAGTTCCATTTAGTTGATCTCAATCATTATAACCACTCTCGATAAACAAAACCACAAACGTGGGACACAGTAGCCAAATATAAGCTCACATTCATAGCAAACAAACATAAATTCACAATCCATTCAAAATGACATTTTCCAAATAAAAGCCGACTTGCACATCCTAGGTACCAATCTATGTTTCACTGAACAATGCCAACGAGTGCACTATTTCTCTAAACTGAAACTGAATCAAGCATTATTTTGTTTCTAAATACTAAGTTTACCCCATTCTTTTATTCAACATCACATGGGCAAAAAATGATCTTTTATTAAAAAATTCATAGTTTAAAGCTTTTTACTTTGGTAACCCACTTTTTGGCCTTAGTTCTCAAAGACGACCATTTGATGCCAAGGGGAAAAAACGAAGGAAAAGAAAAAAACCTCTGATTTTCTCAAGCAAGAAAAAAACTTGATAATTTAAAAAACGATAATAACATAATACAAACAGATACGAATAAGATAAAAAATGATATGACTTAAAATTTTAGCAACTTTATATGAATTTAACAAAAAAAATTATATTTTATATTTCACGTTGACACGATTTATAACTTTTTTATAAAACACATACGAATACTCTAATTTCAGTATTTTACAGGGACACAAACACAGAATCACCAGCTCTAGAAAAACGTTTCTGACAAACCAAACACGACAGAAACAAGGAAAGGATAAAGGAGGGAAGTGAAATTGCTACAAAAAAAATAAAATACATTACCTGCAGACTTCTGAGTAAGATTTGGGTTTCCCTTTTCTTTCTCGCTGGCGTTTTGTTTAGTGTATGAACTATGACAGTATGGAGCACAGGCGACAGAATACGAGCGACTAAGCAAGTTAGAAAGTAGCGCAGGATACCCAGGGGCCCATGGTGATGGCCTACTGGGCTGGCAATAGGCTCCGCTTATTTTCACCATGTGTACCTCAGAAATTTGGAGGATCCCAAACTTTGCGCCACATTTCCCAGAGTGGCACTTCCACGGTGCCAACCCAGTTACGTGGATCCAACGCTTTACGTCCGGGTTGTCCTCCGAGCACACCAACTTGGTCGTAAACGTGATCTTTTAGGTTTGATCTTGCTTCAATCCAAAAGCATTGTTATTATATTATTAATTAAATAGTATATATTTGAATTATTTTAAAAATATTCTAATAATAAATTTAACCTTATTGAAGAAATTATGCAAAGTTCCATTGAACATTTCAAACGTCATTTAAATTTGATCCGATTTGATTGATTAGTACATCTAAATCTAATCCATCCCCTCCCACTAACGCATAAATGTAAATATTGATAGTGATAGATAAAATTTATATGAAATTTTTTAAATAAAATTTGTAAAATTTTTTATTTAAAATGATTTAATAAAAAATTTAAATAAATAGATTAATAAAATTTAATATAAAAATCAATAATATATAACAAGTATATATTTACTTAAAATATATATAAAATATTAAAAATATTATTTATAATTTTTATTTAATTTATATTTATTTAACAATAAAAATTTTATCAATATTTTCACAAAAAATATTTATCTTAAAATATTTATCAAGTTTTATTAAAATTTTTTTATATTTTATATACATAATTTATATAATATAATGAGATCTTTTAATTTATTAATTTTAATTTTAATTTAATTATTTTTAATAAAAAATTTCACCGAACTTCAACTAAAAATTTTCGTTTAAATCCTTTTTCATGACAGTTATTGCCTTTCCATACTTTTTCACCGGTTATTTTTTCTAAAAAGGGTCAGTTAATTCGGTTGGCCGTTTTTTAAAATCAAATTGAATCGAATCAACCTATTGCTTGCCACTAAATGCAAATACAACTTTGATTACTTAATGCCTTAAAACTTAGAAGTAGAGCTCCAATGATTACTTGCATGCAAATTGACGACCAGAAAATGAAAACCATCAATTAAGATTGGAATACATGAAAAAATTCTGAATATCACAATGTAATCTGGGTTGAGTATTGGTTTGTCATCATTGATACAGGCTACGTATTGCTTGATAATCAAAAACTGATCGATGACCAACTCCTCTTTTCGAAACAAGTTGAAAGACACCAGATTATGGAGCATCAGATCGAAATGAGGGGAAAGGATAAAGTTTCTCTCCCATGGGAATGAACCCGATGTAAAATACTAAGAGGGAACTAAAACTTTTTATGCAGTCCAATTTGTAGATCAGAAGATATGGAAATGAGAAGTGGGAAAGAGTAATGCCATACAGCTTTAAAGACTCGTTTCTGATGAGCTCTGATTGACTGGGATGGCTTGGAAGCATTGTACCTAATATCAAAAATGTGGATAACAGGGTCTGCTGAACCAGATGAGATGTATAAACCATCGGGAGACCAAGCCTGATTTATCAGAGCTGATTGTGAGTCACTGCTTTCTTGCTTCCACCCAAAAGAATGGAGTTCTGTATGCCTTAATCTAATATCATAGAGCCGGAGCTGCCTCTCGTGAGCCCTGCGAAAAAAAAAATCTTCTTGTCTAAAACTCCAAACTGCAGATGAAGTTATAAAACTTCCTGTAACCATGAGCAACAACCTAAGGTTAAACCGACAACTACACAATAACCAAGTAATTCTCTTGAAGTGGCATATAGAATCTGACAGGAGCCATAGAAGACCCAAAATTGCCACCATACTAAACATATTATAATCATATCTTAACTATGCTAGCCAATCCAGGAAACTGATGTACAATATACATCTGAATCTACCGGTTAAGTAAAAGTCGTGTTATATGTTAACTCGGTAGAATCCTGGAACAGACACTATTAATGCAATTGAAAGATGTTCAACATTTATTTTAAAATGCTAGTATTCATCTGAAGAAAAAAAAAATAGGGTCCAAAATAATGGGAATTAAAAAAAAAGTGCTGTTAACTATGCAACTGCTAAAGTGATCATAATACCAAGATTGTGCGTTATTGCCTACTAGAGGTGTCCCAAATGAAGGTTATATAAATAATGCTTGAAGTGTTCTTAGTTTTTTTCATCACTGCTTTGCTCAAAGTTCTAATAGACTAGAGGGAAAGTATAGCAATTTATTAACCTGGTAAAACACCAATATTGAAAAGAGCCAGAAGGTATGCTAAGAAATGTAAAAGGTGAATAGCCAAAATAAAGAAGTTTCCTGGTTGCAAAATAGATTTTTCTTACCCAGTTTGAACCATGAATAGATTGAAGTCACAAGGATTTGGCAGAACACTCATGCATTTACTTTCTATTTGATGTTTGAAGTCTGCTCTTCCCACATGCGCGTCGAACCCAAGAATTCTTTTGTCGGCCCCAGCAGACAGTACAATCTGCTTTTGCTGCATCCCTGCAACTCCCATGACAGCAGAAGAATGCAGATTCCTATGTAGGGACTTTGGCTTCCATACATTCTCATCTCTCTCATTCCAAAGCACCACAGCATGATCGCTACCACCAGTCACAAAACAGGTATTTTCCCAGGGCATGAATGTTATGCCGTTGATGATACCTTTAACATGAGGCTTATCCTCTAAGTAAGTTACACGGGCTCTCTGTAATTGCACATACAAGCAAAAGGAGAGTTTACTTTAGATTAAGATAGGGCCCTATTAAGATGGAAATTGAATGTTAAGTGAAAAATTACAGGGTACTTAGCTCTTCCACAGCATCCACACATCCAAGAATATAGCAGCAGCAAGATTTTTTTAAAACAATGAATTACAACCATCACACTTACCCCTTGTGTTTTGTTAAGATTTAGTACTGATATCTGTGAATCCCCACCATCTGCAGTGTATACAGAAAAAAGGCTGTTTCCGTGAGGATGCCAGGCTATATCTTCTGGCCATCTTCTATCTCCTGAGGAAACACAATCTGTGGAACTAAGAAAAGAGGCTGATGACCTGAAGTCCAAGGCAAAAAAAAAAAAAGAATAAGAAACCATTAGCACTTAATTGATACAATTGAAAGAGAGGGAGATAAGAGTTATGGTTCTGAATACTGCTAAGTAATACACAAATTTGGGTTAAGAACCATATTACAGCCTGCTCTGACTGATGTCATGTCTGCAATGTTCTCATAAATGCCAAGCAAACAAAAGAATGAGCAACGAAAGGACATGCCACCTATGATGCTGTGCTGCCTTAATCATACTAGAATATGCAAGAGGGGAAAAAGGCACAATGATAAGAGATTATGGAATCATATCAGGAAAACTTGAGAAGTGCTCAGCCAAAGACCAACCTGATATTGCATTTTCTGTAGTGAGTAATAAGATAAACCACCCGCTTCAAAAATGGCACAGACAATCAAAATTTAACTTTTGATATCAATGGCCTCCTGCTGTACCTAACACAATTAAGTTTTAATCGCGAACAATTTTTGGCTAACTACGTATATCATTTTCCTCCATTATGCATGCTCTAAGCACGCTAACCTTATCTTGCTCGCCACAGTTCAAAAAAGACTGACAAGGATCTTTCAGCAACAAATTCTTTAGTCAAATTCCAGTAACACAACCCTCCCCCTTTCTTTTCCCAAATGAAAAAATGAATGTCACAGTTAAAAGCTCTTTGACTCTATAAAATACCTTTCTGCAAAAAGAATGCTTACACACTTGTATCACATGGATCATATTCATAGTTCAGCATGGCAGTATATATCCATATCAAACACATACTATGATAAAATTAGAAGCTCAATTATATGAAATTTTTGCCCTGAAATCTGTTGATCAACAACCCATATCAGCTACAGGTAGTAAATAGCAGGTCCAAATAAAAAAAATTTAACTTACCCTCTACCCTGAATTTGCCACAAGTTGACTAATCCATCTAAGGCACTGCATACAGTCCAACACATTAGCAATAATCAGATCCTGTAGAACACAAAGAAACTATAGAATTTGCCATGGTAAACAGTTGAAACAATGAGGTGCATGGGGGCTTCCTGGCATATGTTCCTCTTCCCTTATCAAAGAGCATACCTGGTCACAAAAAGCTGATCATTCACTGGACACACAGCAAGACTTCTCAACTTTCTTTTGTGCTGACTAGGGATGTGATTGCTTGTATAGGAGCCAATTGTGGATGGTGAAGAACTGCTTTGTACCAAGGGAATCAATTCTTTGTGTTCTTTTTGTTCTGATACAGCAGAAAATTTGGAACGTTCATGTACCAACATGAAAATAAGTAATGAACCCAGTTAGAGGCGATCGCCTTACCAAACTTCCTTTTAGTTCCTCTATCTTTAATATCAACAACCTCTACATTGGTAGAGCTTCTATGAGATTTCTCGCCTTTTACTTTTACAGCACTATTAGAGGCAGCACTTGCTTCAAGACCAATGATAGTCTTTGCACCTGATCCTGCTGGTTTTATAGGCTGTGGAATCTTTGGATTCACAGAAGGGATTACAAGTTCAGTTCTTGATTGTGGTTTGTTTTCAGAACCTCCAGTTAAATGTTCAGGACTGATTGATCTTCGCTCCACCTTCAAACTTTTAGTTTCCAAAGAAGCATTAGATGATCTTGTGTTATTTCGCCCTCGAAGGCGAGCCAATTTAGATTGTGAGTCTTGCAGCCTCTTCTCTGCTTGATCAAGCTGTGTTTCAAACAAGCATGAAGAAAGAAAACAATCAAACAAAACACTCAGACATGAATGTGCAACTGAAAGCTTAAAGCTATACTGAAACAAACCATCATTACAATACACTTATCACCATGAATTTGGTTCACTAATAGTTTGCCACTAAACAACTTGATAATCTCATAAATCCATAGATTATTCAACAAAATAAAGAGAGCAAAAGATTGTTTCTTTATACTCTATTGATAACTGCTTCTGAAAAGTGGTAAAATTTATCACTTCATGAGATTATCAGATTGGTCTTTCCACTTCAATATCACTTAACTGAACTTGTTTTTCTCCAATGACAGGAATTAAAACTGAAATATTAAAGCTATACTGAAACAAACCAGCATTACAATACACTTATCACCAAGCATTTGGTTCACTAATACTTTGCCTCTAAACAACCTGATAATCTCACAAACCCATAGATTATTCAACAAAACAATGAAAGCAAAAGATTGTTTCTTTATACTCTATAATAACAGCTTTTGAAAAGTGGTAAAATTTATCACTTAATTGAACTTGTTTTTCTCCAAAGACAGGCATTAAACCCGAAACATTAAAGTGAAAGAGAACTTCAAAGAAGAAACTAAAGATAACTAGAAATCCCTCAATTGATAAGCGACCATTCAAAAAAGAAAAAAACCCAACCATCGAAGGATAAAAAAGAAACAAAAAAGTGGGGAAAAGGGTTGAAGAACCTGAGATTTGTAATAGGAGATACGTTGGCGGAGGTGTTCGACTTCTTTGGAGCGGTGGTCGATCAAAGCCACCAATGCTTCTTCTTGCTCTGCTCTGCTGTTTTCGTCTTCTCCATTGGCTTCTTCTTCTTCTGGTTCTTGCTTCACTCTCTTCGAAATCATTGAACCCGCGCTCATTTTTCTTCACCTATTTTCTTCCCCTTTTTCTTTCTTGTTTTTTTTTTTTTTTTTTTCCTTATGTTGGACAGAATCACATGATAGAACGAGAGCGGTTCGATATAAACTTTCTTGTTTTTACAATTTTGACCTTCTTCTAATAAATCCTTTTTTTTTTCTTTTTTCCAAAATTCAGCTAATAAAATTAAGACAAAAGGGTAAAAAAAAAAAAAACCTTGAAGTAAAATTTAATAATCATCTAAAATTGTATTATTTTTTGTAATTAATTAAATTTTTAAATATATATTTCCATCAATTAAGCTCTTATTAAAAAATGATTAATTATACTTGTTTAATTGAAGATTTAATTGAATAAAAATAAAATTTAAAAATTTAATTAGATAAAAAAATATTTAAATGTTCAATTGATTTGAAATAAAAAATTTATAACTTGATTAATTATAATAAAATATCAAAAGTTTAAATGATAATAAAATTTTTATTTAAGGGTTTTTTTTTCACTTGTATGCCTAAAATTAATCATTAAATTATTTTTAATTTGTACAAAACTTTATAAATTTTTTTATTAAAAAATCGAACCAGACTTTTTAAATAAAAATAATTAATTATCTCATTATTTTAATAAATACAGGGAAATTAAAATAAATTCTATTTTTATGTAAAAAAAAAAGATTTTTTTTTGTCATTAAAAGTGAGTGTTTTTTAATAAAACTCTCAAGGTAACAACTGAAATTATGTTGAAAGAGCGTATAGAGTGACAATTTCATATTAATAATAATATCTACTCATGGCTTTGGAATTAAAGATATAAATAATATATTAATATTTATAAATTATTTGAATTCGATTCGACTTATCGATTGAACCAAATTCGAACATTTTTATACTTGGATAGAGTAATTTATAAGTCTAATTAAATTTTTATATTTTAATATATATTTGTTTATAATTAATAAAATATCTTAAATTTGAACTCAAATTTAAATATAAATAATCAAATTTATTTTATATATTAATTAAACTTAATAAAATAAATTCAAATAATTTGATTTCTATCTCAAATAAAATTTAAACTAAAAAAAAAATTTTAACCGAATTCAAATTGAATTTGAACTTATTATTATATCAACTCAAATTCAAACTTAATACACTCCAAACCAACCTTTTATTAATGTCAATTGGCCAAGCCTTTTGATACAAATGTCTTTGAGAAAGTTGAACACAGGATGAGACATGACCACCTGCAAGAACTCGTTCCCTTGGTTTACGAAACATCAGCCATCAGCTTACTGACTCAAAACCCTGTTGACATCTTGACCTCAGGATATCGAAACACAGGCGGTACATGTTTCAAAACATGTTCCTGTGTTCGGGTCCTAGCTCCAAGGCTAAAAAAATCCACCAAAAAGCATTTATCCGAGTTGTCTGTTTCAAACTTTGTCTTCCAATGCAATAAGAGAGAAGATAACAAGGTTTTACGAGTCGCCAACAATCTTGTGACCTGTTTCAAGTATAAAAAAAATGTATTTCATTAAAAGTAAACAAGGGAAGTTCAAAATGTCACAACTAGAATACTTAGATATGCTCTCTACCTAGAACAAAAGGACTGGAAGGGATTCCAAAGCCTTGGGGACAAAAATGAAATCACATGACTCAGGATACAAAACTGAAACAACAAAAGGATCCCTCAAGTAAAGCATAAGCCCGGGAACATCTATACATGATGGTAATGTTCAGTCAAAGACTATCCAAAACATTACGCCAGTTTACACTCATAATGGCCTTTGATACAAACAAAAATGAACAAAATTTGTCAGGTACCACTTAGTTTTGGATATGCATTTTGGTTCTCAAAACTGCTGCTCTATGGCAAAAAGGGTCATCAGGCCACCGTCAAATACTTAAGTCGGGTGGATGAAGTTCTAGTACTCTGAAATGGTATTAAAGTTAGAGCTGGATAAGCACACTGCTTAATCAGAATCCTTGGAAGAACCTAACAATGATTCTGCGCCATTGGAAAATTCCTCCCCGTTAGCTAAAGTTGAAGAACAGTCTTGACGGTTGTTCTCCTCGTTGCCAGTTGTTCGAGATCTCCCTGGTCTTGATCGAATGTTGGTACCCATAGGAAAGGGCTCCTATCATAAACAAGAAATTAGGAGTTAAATTCTCAAAACTTCATTACAGATATAAGAGTAAGGAAATCCGCATGGAAAGCCGCACAAGTAAAACTACATAATAAATTTCAGAAAACAAGAAAAAAATTACATTGAGCTTAATTATGGTGTATCAAGATAACCTACCTGATCACCAGCATTTGGGCCACCAGTATGAAAGAGAATAGGGCGGCAACGTTTATCTTCATTCATCAAGCTTGAATTCTGGAAATGAGCAATAAGAGCAGCCTTTCCCTGAATCCTAGCATATGCAAGAGATGCCACCTTTTCACTGTTGAACTTTTCCCATTTTTTGCCATTGAATGCCTGAAAACATGTATTGGTTTAACACGATTAGCATTAATTTATCAAAATAAAAGTGAAGTATACAACTAAACGTGCAGATGATAATATTTGCATAAATAACCAATATTAGTGTGACATATCATCCATGTATCAAACCTTATAGAAAGGAATGATCTGTTGTGGATCAATCATGTTGAGGAATGCATAGCCCACATTGCATTTGTTCTGCAGTTAATATTTGTAAAATTTAGGGTGAGTAACACATTCCACTACAAGTACAAGTAGCATGCCCAAGCATGAATTAGTGTGTCAAGGTTGGAAAATGGTTGATCGACCAATTAAGTTACTTGCCTTGAAGTCAATTGGCAAATAAATAAAATCATAAGTTCCTCGAAAGTGCTCATCAATGGCCGCCAGAAGCATCTTTGAGGTATACCTGCAAAAAACACCATTTAACTTTTTCGTAAGGTGATAATCATTTGAAAGAGGGAAAGGATGAGGAATATTTACTAAATGAAAGAAAGTATAATATTGGATGACATCAATAAATCTGAAAATCTGAAGAACGAACACTAGCATAGCATCACATTAAAAGTTCACCTCTGCTAACTCACTTCAACTATACTACTAAACATGACCAAATTGAATGAGTCGGAAACAATTTGTCAAGTAGTCCAAATATAAACAACATTGCTAAATTGGTGATCAATCAAAAATTACACCATTTTGGAGCAACAGTGAGATTTTAAAGGCAAAGTGCAGCTAATTATCATCAGCAAGTCTACAACTTTTTTAAGGGTCATTCATCAAGTAATTTGAGCATAAGAAAGTTTTTAACAGAGAAATTCTATGTAACAAAATTATTTTAATAGTAGAAAGAACAACTCAAGACACAAGAAATAAATAAAATGACTGGAATTTGCATGAGGAGCAGTTCACATACTTGTTGGGTATGTTTTTAATCATAAGTGTTGTTCTGTTGTCTTCCCCACGTATGATGCGGTCGATATCAAGCTCAAATTGTTTCTTGTCAGCATTAATAGAATTTGATTCATTTCTACGATGTGGGTTCCTGCCAGGGAAAAGGTGCATCTGCTGAGGAGAGTGTACCCCACCATTTTTTGTCAAATCCATACAATTTCCACCAACATGAGAAAAAATGTTGTGGGAAGCAATTTCCACAGGATGCGATGGCAAACTACCAGGAAAACCCACACTTCCAAGAGATCCCAGGTGAAAACCTGAAGTTTCAGGAGACTCCCCAGCATAAGGATGCCGCCTGTCCCAGAATGCAGAATTAACTGGTGGTGCTGAGCCAATGTGGTGGTGTACAGGTGATCCTACATTCAACATGACAGGAGGAGCCCTAGAAAATGCAGGGATGTGCCGAAGGGGATTAGCATGAACACCATTGACAAATGATGGCGAATTCGGCCAAACCATGGCACTTGATGGATGTTGTTGGTGTGAGTTGGAGTTGTTCCACATGTAATGATTTCCATTAAGTGACAAGCTTCCATTTCCAGACGACCCAAACACTAGAGAGATTTTATTAGCGACACAAAGTTAGAGAGAAAGACAACACGAGAGAGTAAAATCAAAAGCATTAAGTTTACCCAAAACTTTTACCATAACAAATTGTGAAATTTATCAAAAATATTAACAGACTAAATTATGAAATTTCCTATGAATCCACAAAGGAATGAAACAATGATCAAGGAAAACATTTTTCAATTAATGTTGGATATCATAATCAGCTGAACTTACCCCCTGCATTAGGTTCCATCAAGTGCCCATTTGAACTTGCTCCTCGAATTTGCCTATCATCAAGTCCTTCAGCCATCATGGGACCAATGCTGCTAGCCATGTCTTCTATGGTGCCAGAGGAGTTCAATGGAATACCATTGGCTAAGCTATCACGATACTCAGGAAAGGAATGAGGATGGAAACTTGGTACACTTTGGCTAGAAAACTTCATTTCATCCAGCGAGTGGTTGGGCTCCTGAAGGCTTAATTGTTTGCCTATAGGTGCCACTCTTGCTGGAGAGGCTAAGTTAATTGGAACACTGGAACTTTGATGAGGTTCAACAAAGGTATTCACGGGTGCAACAACATGAGTAGATCCATTATCCATGTAGCCAGATGCAATTACTCCCGGAGAAACTGTCACATTGAATCATAATGAATGAAGCAACAGAAACATTTGCTCTGAAACAACAGCTAATAATGAATTGATCAGATGTCAGAATTTACAGGCAAAACCATACCAATGTGTACAGATGATAACTCATCATCAAAAGGGCTTTCATGTAGGTTACATCCAACTTGCTCCTGCTCAGACTGTCGCATAAAACTGCAAAAGGAACTTTGATTTACCACTACTTATACAACTTAAATGCACAAAAACCATATTTGGCATCCAGAAAACTGATAGCACATCATTTACCAACTCCATGCTCACAGCGAAGTAAGGTACAAGTAGTAAAGTCACAGAACCATCATGTAAAAAGTAATAAGAAAATTTCCCACTTTCAGGAGCCTGGGTCATGGAAAAGGGGAAATTACAAAGGCCCAGATTCCCTTCAAAAGCGAAGACTATTCTAAAAACAGTTTAAAAAGAAGTAGAAGAAAGCACCACAAGTTGATGATTTTACCGCCTAACACCCCCTGGACGGCTTGGTTCAAGTTTGATCTGCTTCCCAGCAATGACACTCCTATTCAATGCTTTAAAAGCAGCTTCTGCAGCTCTTACATCATAAAACTCGATGAATTTGTGATTATGCTTGTGTGGAGACTCACGGATCTGCCACGCAAATTAACCAAATGATTTAGACATTTATCATCCCAAATATAAGGGAATTGTGATGCTGAAAGAAATAGACTGAATCCTTTACTTCTTTAATTTCCCCGAAAGCACTAAATATTCTTTGAAGCTCATCAGGTGAAACAGAAGAATCGAGGTTGAAAACCACCAGTTCCCCTTGGTTTACATCTTTGTCAGATGGATTATCCTGAGGTCACAATTTTTAAAAAATAAATGAATAAAGCAGCAGTGTGTCACATGAAGATGCATCAAAAAGTTGGACAAAACAAAGATTGTAAGTTGTAACAGCAGTGAGGGTAACAACAACGATAGTGGATGGTAACCATCCAGAACAAAATGGTTGAAGTCACACCTTTGGAATTGAATAATGTATATCAAGTTTCCTACGCCTCAATGGCTTATTTTGCAGAGCCCTCATTGCATTTCGGGCTGCCCTTATATCATAATAAGAAATCATAACAAACCCACGATGCTTGCAAGCAGTATAGAGAGTTCGGATATCTCCATATTGCTGACAGAAGGAAACACGTTGGTCAATTTAACTTACTTGAACATGTACCTTTTAAAAGGAGAGTGGATGGAGGAAAATTTGCTTGCACAAAGTCTCAATAAACAGTGTGACAGATGGAAAAGGAGCACAAACCTCAAAGAGAGCCTTTAATTCTGAGTCTTCCACATTGCTATTAATGTTCCTGACAAAAAGTATCCTAGAAGGATGTTCACCATATGGATGTTCACCAACAATTGAGCCACTGGAACCCCCTTGACCATTGAGTATTCCAACAAGATCTGAATTCCTTGGACCCATGGATACACGATCATTCCCTTCTAATTCCATTTCTCCACCACTGCCGAATAGGTCAAAATCTTCTAATTCATCTCCTTTACTGGCATGAGTATTAAGTCCCAATTCATCAATCACTCCAGAGAAAAGATCATCTTCATCAGGGAGGAGATTTCCAATAGTCTGTGCCTCAATTTCTTCCATAGATTTGAAAGGTTCTTCCTCATGGTGTGAAGCAGCCTTACTGGCATTTTGTAAAGATAGATCATTCCCCAATAATCTCACTGCATAAAGATAAAAGCAAAGCAAATCATATATGGAAAATGATCAATTGTATGGTAATAAAAAAAGGCAGTGAGCAACCAGTGAAAAAAACTAAAAAACTTTAGCACAGTGAAGATAGATATTAGCTCTAAGTTTCAATCTATTTGATGGTGAAATGTCCGAACTAATTGGATGAAGCTCTGGTATATAAAAGGGGAAATAGAGAAATATATGTGAACAGAATAATAAAATGGATGATGATTGCATGATTAATTAATGAAACAGTTTCTTACTTTCTTCTAGAATTATGTTTGCATTATATGGTAGGATATTAATAGTCATCAATCAAACCATAAAATGCTACAACAGTTAAAGCATCTGATATTAGAAAAGCAAGAGAAACAGTGCAAACATGGAAAGCATGTGCATGTTGACGCACTATCACATACCTAAACACATGTACAAAAGCTTGATACACATAGACAAAAACACTTACACTTTCTACTAAATATTTCAGACAATGAACTTGAAAACAGACTACTTTCATGCTGGATCACATTGGCATTGGTGCTGTTTCTATTAAAGTTCACTGCTGGTTGCATATACAGATTTGACAGTGATTTTGGATGGTGATTCACGGAATTCCATGAAGGCTCAGATAAATTGGTAATTCCCTTCCAACCAACATCCAACTTTTTTTCTTGATCCCTGGCCAGATTTAATGGAGGAAGTTCCATGCACTCAGCAGATAGTTTTTCCAATGGAGATGAACCACCCAACTTGTCTGCAATGACCAGAAGTTATTTTAAATAGACAGAAAGGAAGATAACCATGCACAAGTTTTGCATAGAAAAGCACATGAAATTTTTCATTTAAAAGATCTGAGATTTAGAGGCAACACATTATTAATTGCAAACTACTCCATTTATCTGTTATAAGGCATTTCAAATTTTACAAATGAATTTCGAAGTTCTACATGTGACACCAACAAAAATTCCATAAAGCAAGAAACATATCTCTAAAAAGAATATGCAAAAAATATGGGAGCTTACTAAGTTAATCAAGGTTAATATGCATGTATGCTATCTCAAGGGACAAAGTCATGCTCCAAGAAAGATCTCTAGAAGGGTGAATTCTGATAATAAATACAGCATTTTCAAAAGGGGAAGAAGCACTAAAACATACTTTTGACTCTTAATTACACCAAGGTATTTCAGGCTTTTTTGAAATAACAGGACAGAAGCCAATCTATAATATATCTGCAGCAATAAACAAAAGCACTTCTCATATGAAATTGAAATCTAATTTAGCACCAATTAAATTAGCACTAAGTTAATCAAGGTTAATATGCATGTATGCTATCTCAAGGGACAAAGTCATGCTCCAAGAAAGATCTCTAGAAGGGTGAATTCTGATAATAAATACAGCATTTTCAAAAGGGGAAGAAGCACTAAAACATACTTTTGACTCTTAATTACACCAAGGTATTTCAGGCTTTTTTGAAATAACAGGACAGAAGCCAATCTATAATATATCTGCAGCAATAAACAAAAGCACTTCTCATATGAAATTGACATCTAATTTAGCACCAATTAAACAGAATTTAATCAATATAGATGGCAAACTCTCCCACCGGCAATTTACTGTTTCAGAAGAACCATCAATAGTCAAGCATTCCATCAATAAATCAAGCTGATTGGTGCATTCTTTTGACAAATATTTCAAGGAAAATATCCCACATTTCCATGATAGATTTTGGATTGACTAAAGTCTTCTGTTATACAATAATATGGCTTGAATTGAAAATACAATTGTAAATATGCTTACCATTCTGACTGGTGCACTCAGAAATCCTTTTAATACAGACAGGACATAACAATCAGGACCACCCAGTTACTAGATCAATCTTTTGGATTATACACTCAATTGTAAAGGTTAATATGGTTATTAAATACATCCCATATATCATCACAAAGTCAGGGGCCACAGCTTCTCGCAATAATCAAGAGCCCGAATCATTCATTAAGTTTAGCGATAAAAAAAAATTGAAGTTCCACTCTTACGGGCTAAGCCCACTGAAAGAAATTAACGGCCAGTTTAAATGGTCAACGCAATTAAGTAAACCGATTAGCAGCAGACAGAACCAGCAGTCAGTTGTCCATAGCACTATTCTCACCTTGGTTATCAGACATGGTATTTGGCTTCCAAAATCCAACTTGTCTCTGCCCAACAGAAGTTGATATTAAAGCATCATGAAACAAATTACTGTTTTCTGGAACTGGGGACTTAAAAAGTATTAAAAAAAGAAGAAAATGATCACTATTTTAAAAGGAGCATATACAGGAACCCGGCCATATCGTCTAGACAAGAAATAAAGAACCAGTCTGATAAACTCAAAATATGAATTAAATTATAAAATTGAGTGTATTGTTATTCCCTAGAGTACCTCAGCTGGGATTGGACTCTCTTCAAAAAAGTAGGACGATGCCGATGAATTCCTTTGGTCCATGATCTCAAATGGCATTGTTCAGCTTCAACACCAGAAAATCTCAAAAACTAAAAGCTCAAAATTTGTCAATGTTGGCTCCTTCCTGGCTTAATGGCCCTATCCTGGAAAGCATTCAACAATCACCACTTCCTAGTCATTAATCTTGAACTTTGTTTATTAAAAAAAATACATCAGAAATGCTAGAGAAAGTTACAAATTCTAAAGAAACACTAATCCTTTAATTTAAATTCTCAATTCTTCTTTTTTAATATATCAAAAATCATAGAAGGAAGTGAAGATGATACAAAAGCTAGCTACTTTCTTAAAAAATTGGCAACTTAGAAAGGATTTTTGAAGGAAACATAGAGGGCAGCTTTTTTTTTTTCTTTTTAATAATTCAACTAAGTTGAAACAATATGTACCATGAAAAGGAAACCCACTTACCTACCAACAAACAAACAAATTTGCCCCGTTTGGTTTCCAAGAAAAGGCAAGAAAAATTTAAAAAGAAAACCCTAAATTACGAACAAAAGAAAAAAAAAAAAAAAAACTTAAGCTAACTGTGAATAAAAGAATAACAATAAGCTATATTCCCAATATTCAAATTCTAGTTTTTTTTTTTCCCACTCTTTTTTAAGCAGCTAAAAACAAAAAGAAATTATTTATGCAAATTCAACCCTAAAAGAAATTTGTTGACTACCTGATCAGTTTAAACCCAACTTTGCATTTCTCAAAATGAATTATTTTTTTACTTCAAAATTACACTTTTTTCCCACTTAACAAAGAACAAAATTCTACAAAAACCCCTGATAAGATAAGGGAATTGAATTATAAAAAAAAAAAACCCAAATTCTGAATATTTACTATAAAAATTGAGGTAAAAAAACCCCAAAATTGTCTAAGTTTGACCTAAATAAAACAGAAACCAAATCTTACCTTTTGAACCCAAAATCTAGAAAAATCTGCAATCTTTTTCATGATCTGATGCCCATTAAAAAAAAGGAGCAATTTTGAGAGAGAGAAAAGAAAAGGAAAAAAAAATCAAAGCATAAAGGAAGATGATAGGGCAAGGGATCTCAGCATCTCTTTCCCTGCATTGCAAGCCATTGCTCACCACAAGAGAGAGATTTTTTTTTCCTTCTTTTTTTTTATCCAAACATTATTTAAAAACAAACAAGAATTTTCAAAAAAATAATAATAATAATAAAGATGGAAGTTTATTCTCTCTTTGTGGTAGCTTGATTCCGGGGAACAACAAAAAGAAATGCGAAATTCCGGTGAGATTTAGCTGCTCGCCGGTCACTCAACGATGCGAGAGAGCCAAAGAAGAGAGAAACAAAAATTAGATTTTGGATTTTAGAGAGAAACCGGAGAAGGAGAAGGAGATGGAATCGCATTGTGTCGTTGTTGTTGGTTGGCTTTGAAAAGAAAAAAAGGTCTAATTGTCTATTTGACCCTAAAATTATTATAATTTTTTTAATGTGATATTTAAATAAAAAGATTTTTAATTAAATACCAAATTTTCATTTTTATGTATTAAAAACTATCTTAATTTCTTAGTACCGATAGAATAACTCGAATGTGCATTGAAATGTTGACGAAGATGATATATAATGTAGATGATATATAATAATGATAATACTATTATATGTCATTTTTAAAAAAAAAAAAAAAATTTCTTAAAATTTTTAATTTAAAAACTTTTTTTAGTTTTTAAAAATGACACTAATGGCCACATCTCATGACATCAACATATTATTCACATCAACATTTAAATATTATATCAGTATCCTAATGGTGTTATCAGATTTGGTAATTTAGTATATGAAAATAAAATATAAGTATTTGATTAGAAAAAATTTTTTAGGTATCATATTGAAAATTTTAATAACTAAGGGTTAAATGAAGTATTATTCTAAAAAAAAAGACAAAACAGAAAAGAAATAGGTCGGGCCGCGTGGGGAAAATTTTATCTGTTCTTTGTGGATAATAAAATCAGAGCCGTTCCTTAAAACACGACCGCTTTTGATTCAGATTTTTTTTTCTTTTTGAGGAAATTTTGGTTAACAACGGCGTTACGGCTCCGTTGTTGTCGGCGATGCGGCGCTTGAGCTGGTGCTTTAAAATTACGGAAAGTTTTAGGTTTTTGATGCGCTGGCTTTTTGTTTGATATATAATTTTTTATTGAAGGATTATTGAGTTAACAATGTGGCCTAAATACGCAGTGTTTGGAAACGGGGATTGAGCTGGAAAATTTGGGTCTTCTTGTAATTGAAACCTGGATAGGATTTATTTATTTATTTATTTTTAGTGGAGTTTGGAAAGAAGTTTGTTTTAGCCAATGGTGCTCCTAAATTGATTATAAAAAAAAAAATAATAGTTAATTGAGCATAATTATTTTTTAAGGGAATTTATGAGTTATAATATTAGATATTAATTGGTAATTGTGAAAATTAATTATCAATTAGTAGTACACGAACTTATTCAAAAGTCAAATTATCGTTTGAAAATTCATTTAAATTTTAAAATGACTTAAACAAAAAATTAAAATTCATTAAATACATTTAAATATAATTTTTAAATTCGTTTAAATTTCAAACCAAATTTTAGGCTAGACTAGACTAAATCTAAATATGCATATAAACCATTACCATCAAACATAACCCTACTCAAAGTCGACCTGACCTATGAATACCTCTATTATTAAGTATTGATTTGACAAAATCTTTTGCAATCGGATTGTAATTCTTTTCCTACATAAAAAGGGAAAAATTAAACTTTAGCATATATAACTAGTTGGAAATTTTATCAACAGATGTAGGAGCCTTTCTAACAGAAGCAGCAGAGTTAGCTAATTCCTCATTTGCAACAAGTTTACAAAATCTCTTAAAGCGCTTGCACTTTGTCCTCTATCTTACAAAGTTTGCTCCATCTGTAAACTGTTCAAAATGCCAAACCACCATAAACAAGTGTGTAAAAAGCCCACATATAAGGATAAGTTTTAATGCCCTCCTTGGTTTTCTAATATCATTACTGCACCAATTCCAATAGGCTAACTGATGGAGTACTCGTGGTTTGCTAAGATACTTCTCCTCATTAAACCGTTATTCTCGACCTTTTAAGTTATCAAAACCTACTAAATGAGCAAACAATAGAATAAAAGTTCTCAATGTCATGTAACAATACAAAATGATAACAGTGTCAATGATATTCTAGTAATATTCTAATAATATTTTAGATTGATTATATTATTCTAGTAATATTTAAGTAATATTTTAAATTGATTAGACATTGATTTAGAGAATATTAGATATTGATTAGGTGATTATAGGAATTGATTTAGTCATTATTTCTATATATTATATTTTCTATTTTGTAACAATTTATTTCTGTATAAATAAGCTTTAAGCCTCATTGTAAAACATAAGTCATTATAATAAAGTTTTCATCATTTTCTCCTTTTTATGATATCAAAGCTATTTCATGATTCATTCCAAAAGTGAATCACCATGAAATTACCAATATATGCCTATTCTCATCCTTGGTTTATTCTCTTTCTAAACTACATTTTTTGCTTTCGCACTTCAATTTTTTAGGTTTCCTTTCCCATCTTTAATATTCATCTCTTATATCAATACTCATAACTTCCTAAATCTCTATTTTTTTTCAAGAGTTTAATGACAGGTATTCAATGAGAAAATGTACAACTAATTTTCATTATCCTTTTATGAAAATAATTACAATAAGTGGGCTACGGTTACATATAGTTATCTAAAATGAATTAAATTATGGCTTGTTGTTATTAAAGAACGCAAAACACCATAAAAAAAAGAATATGAATTCAGTGATAAATTTGTAGATAAGCTAAAGAAATGAGAAAGTAAAAATCATCGAATTCTATCATGGTTCACCAACACCATTATTTCTTCTATCAATGTACATTTTAAAAGATTTTAACTTGCTAAAGATGCTTGAGATTTTCTTGTCACATGGTACAACTTTACTATCATTGCTCATCAATATCATATTTTAACCACTTTATCTCCCCTTCGTCAATAACTAGGTTAATTGATTAATGATTTTCATTTTAAAATGCAACATTTATGGGACATACTTGAAAATTCTGAGCCAAAATTCAAAGATGAAAGTGATGTTGGTAATTGTATTACTTATCGAAATCAAATTCATCTTATTCAATTTCTAATAGCACTTTGAGATGAATTTGAGAATACCAGGTCTTCACTTTTGCATTGACATTCTTTAGCAACTATGGATAATGCTCTCATGAAATTGATATATGAGAAAACTCGATTAAGTATTAGTCAGACTCATAGTGTTGATACTGTTATTACTACTACTCATCAGAAAAGTATTAGCTTTACTTTTCACAAGTCTTATTCACAATGTGATAGGACTAATCATCCCATTCAAAAATATAAAGCTAAATATCATTATAACAGTAGTCTAATTCATGATCCTTGCACTAACAAGAGTGCTGTAGTAACAACCACTAAACCAAACACTTCTAAGTCTTCATTTAAAACCATTATAATCTTCACCATTGATCTTTAAACTTTGTTCCATCAAGTATTATCTCAATCTCATATTCCTGCCACGTCTACTGTCATATCAGGTAATGTTTGGTTATTTGATACTGCCTGTAAAAATTATATGATTACCGACCCTTCCTTGTTCAAAAGTAAGATACCTATACCTAATGGTCTAATCATTAAAACAGCAAATGGATATGTCTTAAAAGCTAGCTATATTGGTAATATTGAAACCTCAAAATTATGTACATTTGACATTTATCTTGTTCCTAATCTTACCTTAAATTTGCTTTTTATTAGCCAACTTTGTGACCTTGATCTTGAATTGCAATTGTTATAATAATATGACTATTGTGTAGGATCCTCAAACAGGTCAGAAAGTTGAGACATGGCATAAGGTTAAAACACTATTTAAGCTTAAAACTTTGAAATTTTCACATCATTTACCTACTACTACTACATCTCAAACAATAAACTCTTCAATTTCTTTAGATTTATAGCATATTAGGCTAGGATATGCATCTATTTCTTGAATAAAGTCACTTGCTTCCATTGGTATCTTAAATAATATTTCTCATGGTATTTTTTATTATTTGTCTTGTCAACTTGGAAAGCAAAGTGTTTTACCTATTAATAAAAGTGATTTTATCTCATCTACTCTTTTTTATTTAGGCCATTCTGATATTTTGGGTCCAGCTCTCACACTAACCTTAAGAGGTTCACGTTACTTTATTATATTTATTAATGATTTCTCTCGTTTTACTTAGATATATTTATTCAAACAAAGAATTAAACTTTTATCCATTTTTTGTGAATTCAATAACATGATACAAACTTAATTTTTTAAAAAAATAAAAATTTTTAGGTCTGACAATGCTACTGAATATACATAAATTGAGTTTTATAACTTATTAAAGATGATGAGACTCTTTCTCATAGGTCTTGCCCATATATTTCATAACAAAATGGTCAAGCAAAAAAAAAAATCATATTCTTGACACAGTTTGTATCCTTCTTATTTTCTTTTCCCTTTCTAAATATTTTTAGGGTGAAGCTACTCTCACTGTTGTTTACATTATTAATCGTGTTCTTACACCAGTATTTGGCACACAATCTCTCTATAAATCTCTATACAATAAGGTACTTGATTATCATTCTTTCAAAATTTTTAGATGTGTTTACTTTGTTTTACTTCCTACTCATAAAAGGATTAAACTTAAACCTAGAGCTAGATTTTATTGCTTTTTAGGTTATGATATAAAACGCAAAAGGTATAAATGTTATAATCCAATGTCTAAACATCTTCGCATCTTAAAACATGTAGTTTTTTGGAAACATAAAAAGTTTACTACTCTATCTTTATTACATTCACCATGTTCTTCTTCATGTATTTTTACATTTTTATTTTTTTATTTTTTTTCAAATGAAGAGACTATTAGAGGTACTTTTGACTCAAACAATTATCCATCATTTTTTACTCCTACTATATTTGATCTGATTAAAGCTCATATTGATACGATTGTCCCTTCTCCATATATATTGCTTCCACTTCGTCATTTCACTTGGGTAAGGGAACTTAAAACTCAACTTCGTGATTTTCACTGTTATTATACGTTAGTCACGTTACATGAACCTCATAATTTTTTTAAAATTATCTCTAATCAACAATCAATGGTAGAAGAGCTTTAAACTCTTGAAAAAATTCATACTTGAGATATTGTTGAATGACCTTTTGATAAGTCAATGATTGATTGTAAGTGACTTTACAATATCAAGATTAGATCTGATGGGTCAATGAAATGTTGCAAAGCTCGTCTTGTTGCTTAAGGATTTATACAAGAATATGACATTAACTATGAAGAGACTTTTACCCTAGTTGCACGTCTCACATTTATTCATTCATTATTAGCTGTTGCTCAACTAGAAAATAGCCAACATTTTAAATAGATGTTAAAAATGCCTTCTTAAATGGTGATCTCACTGAAGAAGTCTATATTAAGCTACTTCTTGGTTCATTTGTACCTTTCAACATGGTC